AATTTTATAAGGTTTTAATTATAAAATTTAACTGTTATAACCTAACAAAACTAACCAAACTTGCTGATAATGCAAAAATCTTAGATAAAAAGTTTGTGCCCCAGATGGGTTTCGAACCTGGAACCATAAGTTTTGAAGCCAGGCACGCTATCCACTAGCCCACGGAGGCCGATGGCTTCATTCCGTTTCATTGCGCTAATGGTGTTCCCTCAGCCAATAAAATGCTCTCATTTTGTTCTTATTAAAATAACTGCAGCTGAAATAAAAATTGTGCAGTCGGGAGGAGTGTTGGTAGGTTAGGTAGTGACTGCTGGGGACTGAACTTCTCGGTATTACGGTGATGGTTTTTTTAAAGTTTTTATCTGTATTTTTTCAGGTGGTTGTTTGATAAGTTTTTATCAAAAATTTTGTGATAATTTATATCTCTCTAATATTTCTTAGCCTAATAATAAATTCGAAGAGCTATAAATCTGCTTCTTTTTATACTATAATGCTAGATGATGATGAATTTAGTTTAATGATAATAATAAATTCGAAGAATCTGCAGCTTCTTGTAAGGTACAATCATTATAGGGGGGAAGGGTGATTAATCTATGGCTAAGACCATTGACTATATTAGTTTGATCCTCGAGTTTTGCTAACTCGCTGTCTGAGTCGGAGACGATTTCAATCGTCAACTTTACAACAAGATAAGACACGTGTCCTCCAGTTACCCTAAACAACGTTCAAATCCCACAGTGCAATGAGGTTAAATACTTAGGCTTGACCCTTGATAGAAGACTCACTTGGAAAAGCCACATCTGGAACAAGAGAATTTCGTTAAATTTAAAATTTAAAAATCTTACTTGGATATTAAATCAAAATTCTAAATTAACAACAGAAAATAAATTACTTTTATATAAAACTATTTTAAAACCAGTATGGACGTATGGTATCCAACTGTGGGGGACATCCAGTGAATCAAATCTGAACGTCATCCAAAGATTCCAATCCAAGGTTCTAATAGTCCGGTGGCTTAGGGCTTTACTTTACGAATACCTACCTGGTGGATAAAAGCACCAAATTTGGCATGAAGGTACCTTAGGGTATACTAATAAATTTTAGCCTAGGAGCCCTTTTGAAATTTTAAATATTTCCACACACGGCACCAAAATCCAAAATGGCCGACAAATACGACAAAAATTACCTTTAAAACAATCCATTCTCCTGTTAACTCTAAAATATAACTTAAATCCAACCAAGACTCTACAATACAAACCGGAGACATACTAAATTATATGAAAGAAATCTTATGTGTGTCTGTGTGTGAGTGGGTGGGGGTATGTGTGTGAGAATTTATGTAACGAAACCTGTACTGGACATTGCGCAAATAGGGTCAAACCAATTTACTGCAAATTTGGTGTGGACTTTGTTAGTATCATATGTCAAAATTTAGATCAGTTTCCTTTTATTTATCTATTTTTATAATTTCATTTGGTTTATTTTTACAATTTTCATCTATTTTTTTTATATATCTACAGAGTTAGGCAAAAGTATGGAACCCCCCAGTTAACTTTTTAACGCTTTGCAGTAGGAAAACCAAACTCGGCATATATTTACAAAATAAAAATTGCACTTTTCATCAAAGTTACAACTTTGCCTCAGCCCCAAATTTTCAAACTTAAAAACCTATCATGTAACCACTCATTTAGAGGTCAATATCACACCCCTAATCAATATGGCAGCCATTTAAATTTAAGATGAGCAAGCAAAAGAAAAAGTCTTGGACACCTCCAGTTAACTTTTTAACGTGTGGCAGGTGGAAAACCAAACTCGGCACATGTTTACAAAATAAAAAAAATCACTTTTTCATTACAGTTAGAACTTGTACCCGGCTCCCAAAATGGGGTATTTGGGGGCAGTCCCAAATTTTCAAATGTAAACACCTATCATCTGACCCCTCATTTTAAAGGGTTTCTCCAGACAAATTAAATGGCGCAAACTAGAAGTCAATATCGCCCCCCTAATACTACTTACTTAATTTCCGTGCCCGGAAATCAGACTTCGCATTTCCAAAATTAAGTTAGCTACCGATATGGCTTTGTCATTTGCATGTAAAAGATCATCTAATGTGCAAGATTGGTCTAGGCGTGGGCGGATCAGCAGATGGCCAGGATCCTGGACAGCACCACACGCGCACAAGATGTTTTCTTCGTCTGGTAAGAGACCCCATTTCTGCATGTTTGTCTTGCATTTTGGTACCTCGAATTCGATTTAGGGCCTTCCACACCGTGTAATGAAGGCCTCCGCCAGGAGCCAGTTCCTCCCTGGCTGGTAAGGAAGGGTTAGTAAACTTGGCCTCCCACCTTGCCACCGATTGATTGAGAGTGATCCATCCAGGACTCGTGTCCGTGATAAAAAGCTCTTTCTGGACCGAAGCCGCCACTCTGCAGGTTGGTGGCCGTGTAATGGGTGACGAGGGTCTGTCTCTTGCTTAGTCCTTTCTGCGTCGGCAGCGACATCACGTCGGATTGATGGAGGGGTGATCCCTAACCCTATGATAGGATAGAGTTTGTGTACTGGGGTTGGTTCAAAGACCCGTTACAATCCGAGCCATGTCATTGACTGCAATGTCAACCTTTTTTGCATGTGACGATGCATTCCATACTGGTGCAGCGTACTCCGCAGCCGACACACTGAGCGATAAAGCTGAGGTTCTGAGGACATTAGGGTTAGCACCCCAGCATCTGCTGGTGAGCTTCCTGATGATATTATTCCTCGCTGAGACTTTACCTCTTGTCGCAATACAATGCGCCTTAAATGTCAGTGTGCGGTCCAGTATGACACCAAGATATTCCCCCCTAATCAAAATGGCAGTCATTTTTTAAATATACCTTATTAACTTTGTAACAGGTTATAGCTGGAACACTAAACTCTACATACCTTTATAAAAAAGATAATTCACATTTTGGCCAGTATTAAAATATTAAATTTTTAAAGTTAACTGGGATTCTCAAGACTTAATCTATTGCTTGCTCATCTTAAATAATTAAAATGGCTGCCACTTCGATTTGGAGTGGGATATTGACCTCTGGTTTGCACTATTCAACTTCTCTTGATAAACCCTTTATGAGTGGTCACATGATAGGGGTTTACATTTAAAAATTTGGGGCTGCCCCCAAAATACCCCATTCTGGGGGCTGGGGCAAAGTTGTAACTTTGATGAAAAAGTGCAATTTTTTATTTTGTAAATATATGCCGAGTTTGGTTTTCCTACTGCAACGCGTTAAAAAGTTAACTGGGGGTTCCATACTTTTGCCTAACTCTGTAGATATATAAAAAAAATAGATGAAAATTGTAAAAATAAACCAAATGAAATTATAAAAATAGATAAATAAAAGGAAACAGATCTAAATGTTGACATATGATACTAACAAAGTCCACACCAAATTTGCAGTAAATTGGTTTGACCCTATTTGCGCAATGTCCAGTACAGGTTTCGTTACATAAATACTCACACACATACCCCCACCCACTCACACACAGACACACATAAGATTTCTTTCATATAATTTAGTATGTCTCCGGTTTGTATTGTAGAGTCTTGGTTGGATTTAAGTTATATTTAAGAGTTAACAGGAGAATGGATTGTTTTAAAGGTAATTTTTGTCGTATTTGTCGGCCATTTTGGATTTTGGTGTCGTGTGTGGAAATATTTAGAATTTTAAAAGGGCTCCTAGGATAAAATTTATTAGTATACCCTAAGGTACCTTCATACCAAATTTGATGCTTTTATCCACCATGTAACGGTAATTACACTAAGCCACCGGACTATAAGGCACATTCTTCAGGCACCATGGTTCGTTAACAACGAAGTGCTCCATAGAGACAGTCGAACCCCAACGGTAAAAGAAGAAATTTCAAGTTTAAGTGCCAAATAAATACTTAAAGAAATTAGAGTACCATCCCAACTACATTGCTTTGAATTTGTTGGACAACAGCATTAACAGCAACTGTATATATAGATTGAAAAGATGCCATGTTTTGGACCTGAGTAGTTGTTTTTAGAGATTTATGGACTTTAAACTTTGTGCCTATATGCAAAGTTTGTGTGTTAGCTTTATTGTTGGATAAAGACTAACTACTGTCATAGATAAAACATACTCCACTCCCTTAGATAAAACATACTCCACTCCCTTAGTAGATTTCTCATCCTTATGGAACAGCTGAAGACAATTTTATTGTTAGTTCATGTACGGTTTATGTAGAGGTCGTGTTTTGTTTACAATTTGTTTCCCGTTATTACAGCCAATTAAAACCTCGTTTAACCAAATAATACGATCTAATCATAAACAATAAATTGTCCCCTAGTTATATAACCAAACAGTAAAGCACAAATCAAGAAATTAACCCTAAAATAATGGAAACAAAGTTTCATCGACACTAGCGCCTTTGTGTCACGCACATGAACTAGACACGAAAAACGTGCTTCAAAATTTACAATGGGATGAGAAGTCTACTTGTGTTGGTTAGTCTATGCTACTGTGTTCAAATTTGATCATATTTGCTTATTGTTCTATTTTTGTTGAACAAGATTGTAAATTAAATAAAATGTTACAAAAAAAATCTTCAACGCGTCAGCGTCAAAGAAAATCCAGTTGTTTGGTTTGGTTGTTTAATTAGTCTTTTTCTTTTCCTTTTCTTTCTTTTTCTACCACTAGAGCGAGCGAGCGAACTGAACTGAACTGAATTAGTGAATTGCGTCTTGCGTCTTCTTGCGTCGTTTGACGACGTTTTCCTTTACAATTTTACAACACAGGTTCAGTTCGGGTTTTGTGCAAACGATTGTTCTTTTCACAATAGAAGTTTAGCTTCAGGTTTGTAAAGAACTATAAACCACTATTTTGTCTATCTAGTTAAATAATTTTCTACAAACTAAGACAGGCTAGTCTAGTAATAAGTTAAAAGCTAACCGACCGATGAATAGTCTCTTTGGACTCCCCGAATCAAACCGGCATCGACGAAGCCATTGCTGGGTTGGCTTGTCGCATGCAATTTTCTTATTATGAACCGAACCTTTAAAATGTTTTGATATTTATCATTGTGGTTAGTCTACCTATTGGTTTACCATTATTGTAGCAGGTGCTGTAATCATGATTTATATAAATTACATCGAACTTATGGGTTAAAAGGCTAGAAAATACATTTTATAACCATAGGGTACTTAGCTGACCTCTAACTTCTTTGAATCTAAGTTAATAAGAAAATTATTGACAATTTGCTTTAAAGCAAGTCTCGCTTTCAAAATCAAAATATCTTATTCCATTAGGCAAAAAACAACGCAATAGGCCTAGCTTAGGATATGTCAACAGTTTCTTATTCTAATATGAACAAGCAAGAAAAGTGTAGGCCTAAGTTAAGTTTATGGTAAGCTAGTAATAGGCCTAGGCCTAGGCCTAGTAGTAGACTAAACTTAGACTGTCATTGACTTATACAATCCTTAACTTTTAAAATATTAGTAGGCCTAGGCCTAGGCCTATTGATTCCCTATGTAGCCTATGCCTAGCTTTTATTTTGGGTTGGCAGAGCTATTCGCATGTCAGACGTGCGCCACTACCACGCATGTCTATTCCAAATGGCGCCACATTAACCGAATCGGGTACACTTCCATGTCTGTTGGCACAAACAACCGAATGAGTAAGTAATATTGGTACTTCAGTATTAAACGGAGGCCACATTTTGTCAGCGCGCTGCGGCGGTTATGTTAGGTTGGGTTATCATAATAGAAAGTATCGTTCGATTCATAACGAAGCGAGGAAAGTCCTACACACATAATATTTACGATAACCCAACCTAACATAACCGCCGCAGCGCGCTGACAAAATGTGGCCTCCGTTTAATACTGAAGTAGGCCTACCATAATATTGATTATTCGATTGTTTGATTCGATATAACTTATCGTTTGGTTAGTTAGGTAAGTTTAACCTAACCTAGGGCCTAGGCCTAACTAACCAAACGACCGACAACAAATCGATATATCGAATTATTTTCATTCGGTTGTTTGTGCCAACATATATGGAAGTGTACCCACCTAATTTGGTACTCTTAGTTTGGGAACAGGTTGCACACAAAGAAAACCTAGGCCTAGTAAGTTATTAGGAACGGTCCCTTAGTCCCTCTAAACCTCATTAGCCGAAATAGATGGAATCAATTTCACGTTAGGTTATCTGCCCGCAGCTTATGTGAAATGAGACTGTTACTAACCTAATCTAATCTAACCAAACTTGCTGTAACATTTCAAAATTCTGTTTGATAGTAGAATTCTGAAATGAAACAACCTAACTTAACTTAAGTTAACTTCAGTTTGTAAAACTTTCTGTAACATTTCAAAAATTCCTAAGTTAATGATAGCAGAAAATGGCTTTTGCTCTCCATCGACTCTTTTAGAACGTTCAATCCTTAACTGAATAAGTTACGCTCGTCTTTTTCTTTTTTGAAATAAATTCTTTTAAAGCTTCAAAATAGCAAAATTTTGAGTGAGTAGCCTACCTAAGTAAGTTAAGTTAGCCTATGTAAGTTATGTTAATTCAAATGACTTATTTCTAGAATAAGGTAAGAATAACTGTTCCCTTTGCATTATTTTGTAATACTTGAACTGCAACGGGATCGGGCTGTGATGTCATTTTGACATGCCAATAGTCACTTCGTTTTGGGTTTTTGGGTCACGCTGGAATTTTTCTACGCTTTGAAAGGGACCGGTCAAGTGCTGATTAAGTTGTCAAGTGCTAATTAAGTTTTTAAGAATAATTAGCTTTGTTTTTATTACCAATCGTCTTGGAAAAGAATAGGCTAACTTCAGTAAGTTAAATTATAATGTAGGCCTAACTTAGATTTTATACTTAGATAACTTAACTTAGCCTACTATAGCTGATATTGGCTGCACTTTAGTTTACGTTCTACATTTACTCACATACTGCAGTTTGGTTAAGATTAGGTTTAGTTTAGAACAGTTTCACTTAATAATCAGATGGTAGTTAATGTAGCCTATAATGTAGGATGTAGGATGTAAACTTAAGTGCAACCAAGCTATGTATGGGGATTAAAAGGGGATGCAGGGTACAACATAACTTAAGTTAAGTTGGAGGCTCTGCCTATTTTACTGATTTTTAATTTTTTACTGTTTTACAGACATAAACTAATTTACTTATGTACTTATGTTGGCATATTCTTGGGTAGATAAGCGGAATACCAAACAACGAAATGAAAATAACAATAGGCTATATATCAATTGCTATTTCTAATAAGTAGAGGCCTAATCTACTAGGCATGTGGCCTCAGGTCCGCCAATTGAGCGGAGTAAGCAAGCATCGATATAAACAAATAGGCCCCTAACCTTCTTTAAAAATACAATTTGTTGTTTCCAAATATATTATGGATTACAACATAAAAACAAAAGTGAATTTTATTGATCAATACAAACCTCATTATTCAAGCCTATTATAAGCAATTTTCTTGAGTCTTTCAATCTCGTTTTCTTTGCTTGCCATTTGCTGCTCTTATTTATCACCTCGATGGTTATAACTCCTAATGCTACATTGAAGTCAAGCCGAGGGAAAATTCTGACTTTCCTAGGTCCACCACAGCCTGATATACAGTACCAGTATGCAGCTTGGCTGCGATGTAGGCTACTGAAATCGCACAGGCAAGATTTAGTGGAAATTGCCTTCGAGAACATTTGACACCATTCAGTTTAAAGGAAGTAGGCCTAGTTGAGTTGGTTGTGTTTATGTAAAACCTGTTGGATTGTAGTAAATATCCAACCTGACATTAAAATACCAACATGCTAGTTCTGTTGGCTGCAATAATTAATCTTATCAAGAGAAAAAGGAGGAATATCGATTATCATATGGTGCCTAGTTATAACTGTACTCCCGTACAGGCCAAGCAGTCTAGGCTAATTAGTTAATGGCCTACTTTTCTAATCGTTACTCTGTTTCTTTATTTATTCGTTTAAGCTAAAATAGACTTCAATACAAGCTTAGTTAAATATTTACTTAAATAGTTGTAACTACTGAACTTCTGTACAGGCCTAGCAGTCTAGGCTAGTATGCCCACGTACCGGTATCGTAACTGTACAGGCCTAGCCAATTATTTACACACCTTAGTTAAAAGTGGACTTCTATACAAACTTAGTTAAATATTTACTTAAATAATTGTAAGTTCACTACTGAACTTCCGTACAGGCCTAGTAGTAGTCTAGGCTAGTATGCATACGCATCGTAATCGTAACTGTACATGCATAGCCAATTATTTGCACACCTTAGTTAAAAGTGGACTTCTATATAAGCCTAGGTATTTATTTAATAATTACTATAGTCGCAACTTGACTTCAGTACAGGCCTAGCAACTGTGTTTAACTTATAGGATAGGCTACTGTTATCAACATTTGAAAATACAGTACTGAATATCTGCTTCAGAAATGCAGTTTCTATAATTTTCAATAATGAAGATTTTCTATATTTGCTACACAACTAATAGAAATAAGAATCATCAAAAGAAATAATTTGCTTTTATAAGGCTGACAGTAATTAGTAATGTGAATCTGTGTACTGCATTATTAATCAATGCTTAATGGTATTCATCGGACTGTCCTTTTCTTTTGTACTGTCTTTTGTAATTACAAGCAGTTACCCTAGGAACTGTACCTAGGCCATCTGCGCATGTGCAAGCTGAGGTGGCCCGTACACAATGTCGAGTCGCATACGCTACGATTATTTGTTTACATCTACGTTGTTATCTCGTACGGTAACCAACATGGCAACCCATAAGACTAATGTTAAAGATTGCAAATTTTATGTCAGTCTAAAAGTGTACAGGTATTATCAAATTGAAATTTGTTTGTTTAGTAACATCAAAAATATTTGTCGAAATACCCCTGGTAAGTTAAATTCAATATGTTCAGCCGTTATTGAGTTAATTGATTACATAGTTTGCATAAGGTCCGATCTCAAAGAGCTCCGCTCACTCCGCTCAATTAGATACAGTAGAACTCCAATTATCCGAACTCCAATTAACCGAATCTCCAATTATCCGAATCGCTTATTTCAACAATTTTAAAAACGTAAAGCTACTTACAGTAATAAGTTTTGCAAAATATCAAAGAATTGTTATTAAACACATTTAGCCAATTTTGGACTTTGATGGAACACTATTGACTTAATAACATGTAGAACACTTGTACTATGAGCATTGTAAACTGTAAAAATGTTCTGATTTAAATTATTATTAATTAAAAGTTCACTTAGTACCGAAAATGAGGATTTTTCTTTAAAATTCCCGGAATTCCGGTAAAACTCCGATTATCCGAATTTTTGATTATCCGAATGGGGTCTGGTCCCTATTGATTCGGATAATCGGAGTTCTACTGTAGTTAAGTTTAACTATAAGTTATTGATCTTTCATCTAGGCTATGAGAATAAAACTTGTTACATAGCCTAGATGTTCTTTCATAAAAAAATAGCCTAAGTTTTAATAACTAGCCTAACACTTTCCTTGCAAAAACTAAGTAGGCCTAAGTAAGTTAAGAAATGTAGATGTTATGTTAGTTTCCTTTCATTACGGAATCATAACTTAAAAGTTAGTCTAAGTGTTTAAAAAAGTTCTCTCAAGGTAGTTTTTATCAACATAAATGACTTAATTTCTAGCTAGGCTAACTTAATAGGTCTAAGTTAATATTTTAATTTAAATATTATTTTAAGTTGATTTAATATTGTTTGCAGGGTGAAGATGCCGGGCTTCAGTAGTGTTGGCACATTCAAGATATTTGTTGGTAATTTATCTGACAAAACAGTTGCAGCTGACATAAAACCCTTGTTTGAGAAATATGGGAAAGTTGTAGAATGTGATGTTGTAAAAAACTATGGATTTGTGGTAAGAATAATTGTTTAAGTTTGTTAAATTTTGTCTTGGCTGCTTACCTATCAAGCCTAAATTGTTTAAGTCCTTAAAAGAGGTTCAAAAAGATCATCAGAAGGCTTGGACAAATTTTTAAAATATCTAACTTTACCGTACTTAAGGCGTACCTACCCTAATTTGTGATGTGATGGAGTTGAGGACCAATCTAGGATGGTTCTGAGGTTTTTTTGTCTTTTCTGGTTCAAGTGTAACCGGTTTTGGTATGAGTCACACTCAACTAAGTTACAATTTTAACAGAGTGAGTCCCCCTACTCACTATCGGCCAACGACGTGTTTGTTCTGAGAGTCTTCACTCGCTCAACCAGTATAAGTTACTGTAATTAGATACAGTTTTTGGAATTGAGTTAATAAGTTTCTCAAATTCGTATACTAACTTAAGTTCAGCAGTCCCCACATGAGTTTGTGATGGTTTACAAGCTTATTCAACGCTGTATCTGTATAGAAAAAATTACTCAACTTGGGCGTTTCGGCCTCTATAGAATTTAATCATGTGAGTTCAGGTCCGACTCGATAAAGATGGTTTACTCGAGTTGAAAACAAACTGACTGGAGTCCGCATTCAACTCTAGTTAACTCACTTGTCACATTTACTACTTAGGCCTCTAAAGGCTAGAGTAGGCTAAGCAAATTGAATTTCTGTAGGACTAGGCCCTATTGGCAGCACTTCAAAGAAACCTAATGATCAAATTTTTCAACTCACTCGAACTAAATCAGTCTGCAATTTGTGTTTGTAGATAGTTGGATACTAGGGATGGGTCGGTTTTGCTGTTTTCAGTTCAGTAAGTTAGGTTGTTGTGCAATTTTCAGGAGTTGATGACAATGTCAACTCAGTGGGAAATGAATAGGATTTGCTGCGATCACGGGAATGAATGATGATGACCTCATGATTGTTAGAAACTGTGATTGTGGTAGCTAATAATGTTCTCAAACGGCAGGTGAATAAGTTATGCAAGGGTGGTTTATTATGCATATTTATAAAATTGGCATTTAATTGATTATTTTGCAAAGCTAAGCTGGTCTTTTGGATGTTATTAAATACCTTACCTGTGCTAAACAAATTGTTTGTAGGCTAAGGCCTATTACTAAAATTCTCTTTGTTTGGTAACATTCAAGCTAATGATAGGTATTTTTAATTATAGCACATGGAAAATGAAGAAAATGGACGGGATGCTATCCAAAACCTCAACGGCTACATTGTACATGGAACTGCAATGAAAGTGGAGGCTGCTACAAGCAGGAAGGGACCTAACACTCCGACGACTAAAATATTTGTGGGTAATCTGTCTGACAACACAAGAGCTCCACAGGTCCGCCTGCTTTTTGCCAAATATGGCACAGTTGTGGAATGTGATATTGTACGCAACTACGGCTTTGTGGTAAGTAGCTAACTTAAATTGTTTTAATAACCATGCATTAGACACATGAGTTGGATAACTCTTATAAATGTTTGGCTATGTTGTTGAATATGATGTAGGCCTACTCGTCCCATTCATTTCCTAAATCTCTATCTCTATCATCATAGGCCTAACTTACCATAGGCTACTCTAATCCTTTTATTTATCGTACTTAGGCCTAATAAATAATTTAAAAAAAACTCTCCCTAAGATTGATGTTGTTAGGCCTACTATCAATCCTTCATGAAATGTACTGCCAATACTTAACCATTTTGATTTGATGTTTAGGCTATTGTTTGTTTTGTTAATCAAATTGTTAAAATTCTTGGTACAGTAGTAGAAACTAGTTCTGTTATTGGGAAGTAACTTAGGTCTAGTATGTAATTTCTGAACATATTTTTAACATTTAGTCAGCTAGGCCTAATTAAACGGACACATTCGTAAATTTAGGCTACTGGAAATTTCTTCAAAATTATTCTCAAGTAGACCATGTAATTTATTATGCAACTCCTTCGTTTAGAAATCATGCAATCAATGTAACTGTCATACAGGTGTAGCCCAAGTTAAGTTACAATCCAATGCTGCTAGAAAGTTTTTTGATGTAAAACATACTTCCAAGAACTAAAATCACAGAATTTAAAAATAGTACCGGTAAGTGAATGCCAAATAAGAGTTTAGGTAAAGAGCACTGACGTATCACCTTAAGGCCGGCGCCACACTATCCCGTTTCGCCGGTCCAATCAAACGGGATCCGTTTGGTGGGATATTCAAACTCATGGGTTTTAATGGGCGCGGTTGTAATGTGTCGACGGGATCCATCGTATGCATGCTGCGACATAGCGGGACGACGGGACAAACGGCAAAACACAAAAATGCAGTTAAATGAGAGCAGCCACACCATCCGGTTGTGACACGTGTTTTTACCCTACTGTTGTTGCTATCAACAGTGCTCAGCATTTGATGCTCACACTCTTCACTCGAAGTGGGTATGTTGCGGTAGAGTTGTAAGGTGTGGCAGGGTAATGTCAATGCGGTAAAAACGCATCCCGCTCAACCGCATCCCGCTGAACAGGATATTGTGGCACTGGCCTAAGATGCTCGATTATGAGTGGTTGATACTCACTAGTTTGATAAATGTTACTAAACTCTACAGTCTACATTCATTTGAGGACATTTAAAATTAGTCATAATTGGGGTTTGTTTCTATTAGGTTAATGACAGTTGTATTTTTTCTCAGCACATTGATTGCACAGACGTAAACAAACTGATTGAGGAGTTGAATGGATCAATGGTGGATGGACAGGCGATGAAGGTTCAGGTGTCCACAAGTAAGGTTCGTCAGAGGCCGGGTATGGGCAACCCTGAGCAATGTTACAGGTTAGTCAATCTTACCCGCTACGGTACTAGGCTTTCATCTACAGTAGGCTTAATAGGCTAAGTATATCCTCTACCTACACATGTGTGTAGAGGATTCAGAATCACAGAGCAATGTAATTTGGGTTGTTTTCTTCCCTTTTAGGTACCTATACTCTTAACATGCATAATCAACAACTCACTAGTCTAACAGGGTAAAATTTGTAGCGTTAAGTGTTTTTTGTGTAGTTTTGTGGGTGGTAACATAAATTACTTAATTAAATTTATTTTTCCACAGGTCTGCTTAAAATCAGAGTAAACTATAGTAGAATTTTTACAGGCGTACTTCCTAATTCTGATTCTAGGTTTATATAAGACTGATAATAATTTTACTTTGAGAGGAAAAAATTAACGTAGGCCTACTAGTCTTTTTTTGGGTACTGCTAGAACATCTCCTGGACCTTAGTTTTCCTGGCCTGAGAGATAGATTTTCATTTTTTTCTTGGATTGATGGGTCTACAACTTAACCGGCTCACCGTATTACACATAGCAAAAGAAAGTGGTGATTGGTGATATTTGAACTCCAACCTAAAAGTTTCACTCTCTGACCACTAGACTAGTGGCACCCAACTAAAGTGGTAGTCCTCGCTAGATGCATATCCGTAAAGTGCCGCTCAAAGTGAAACCATAAAAAGCGAGAACTGTTCATAGACTGCTGCCAGCTTAAAACAATTCTCACTGTACTGTAAAATTTTTTTGTATGTGTAACTTTTGAAATTGTGCAATCTGGGACCATGTCAAGCGAGGTCTACCTGTCACTTGCTATAGATCGTATGATACAAGGCATAACATTTCTTTGAAAAGACTCGTATGTATAAAGTTTTAAAAAGTCAATTGTTGCTAGGTGTGGCCGAGGAGGACATTGGTCAAAGGAGTGCCCCAAAACTGGGTGAGTATTTGGAGTATGTGTATAACACCTAACATATATCAGGGTGTCCAACCTTATTTTTGGATGCCGAGATAGTTGATGGGACATAACAGATAATATACATAAAGTCCTAATAGTGACGTGATCGACAGAAATCGGTCATTTACATCAGGGCAATCTGTTGGGAACTCGATTACGTCCGTTTCTTTTAAAAAACTGGTGACAACATTAACAAGGGGGATGAACATCTTGTATCAACAGTCAAAGGTTTTAGATTTTTTTACATTCATTTGTATTAAAACTTGATATTTGCTTGACAAAATTATTTCTGTGCCAGCATCAAATATCGTAAAATTTAAATTACAACAGTTCAATCAGTCATACTTTTTTATTTTGGTTCTAAACATTGGTTTAGGAAATGGTTCAGTAGATTTACTTTACTTGAATTTTAAAGGTTTATAAAGGTTAAATAACATTTCAGGATGGGACCAGATAGGTTCAGGGACAGAATGTACGGACGGGACCCGTACCCACCTCCCCCACCACCACCTTTCTTGAGAGACCGAATGCTCAGCGGAGGGTTTGGCAAGGTAAAAAAACTCCTATCACTTAATAATTATTCAGATCCCAATTCATTTTAGTCATTAATATAACATATTAAGGTTTGGTGATACACAGATTCATAGCTTTATCTTTGATAGCTAATTAATCATCTATTGAAAATTGTCTACTAATAAATAAACTTGCTCTGCAATTGACGAGGTATTGCTATTATAGAAGGAAAATGCTCTTCCTGAAAAACACAGGCACTAAAAGACTCCCACAACATAAGCATTTCCGCAGGCGTATTCAGCTGCTGAATTTGACATTTGGAAAATCCCTTCTATAGGCTATGAATAGTTTTAGTTTTAATTTTTCCTTTTTTTGACAAGAAGATACAATTTGATTTCCAGGACAGCTACTACGACAGATACTACGACAGGGCTGGCGGTAGGTACGATGACAGGGAGTTTGACAGACGTTTCCCCCCTCTCCCTCCACGAGACTTGGGACCAAGAAGAGACTTTCTCCCTCCTCCATCCATGTCTCGGCCCCTCGGCATGCGTGGACCACCTGACTCGTACGACAGAGCCAGCGACTACATGTTCAGTCGCAGGTCTCCACCGCCATCTTCATCTGACAGATACGGGTTAGTATCATTAAGTAAAGCAGCATTCAGTAAAACCCCTGATATCTGGCCTCGGTTTTAATGGTAATTAGTTTATTCGGTCATTTCTTGTAAGCCAATATGTTTTTTTTTCACGGATTACAGATGCATAGCTGCAAGAACTAGTGTTCACGCTTTGAGCTTTCTTAAATGATCTATCCAAGAGTTTACATTTTACTGTGTCACTACTAAGTTGCGATAGTAGGCCTAACCTCTGATAAATTGGTTGATTATTTCCAGTGGCGGTTACTACAGTACAGTAATTGTTTTATGTTATGAAAATTCCACTTTAGATTGTAACAACGTCGACTGTTTACGTAATGGAAATGATTTAAATAGCTCCCTGTACAGGAAATTCACATAAAATATTAAATAGATTGTACATAAAGTAGTAGAATTAAACTGTTTTAATTTAAACTCTACTTCTTTTGACCTAACAAGACTGCATATCGTTCTTTTAAAACAATCATTCTTGAAGTTTAAGTTAAAGAATAATCATAATAAATAACCTAAAAAATACCTAATTAATATTAACATGTCAAAATTGCAGAGTTTTTGTGAATCTCAACTAAAGTAATTTTACCCCAACTTTATTTTCTTCTCATATTAATTTGTTGTAAAATATAATTGTTATTATTATTTTTTAATAGGCTATATGGGGTCTTTATTTTTAAACCCCTAGTAGAAGTAGTAATGAAATGTATTATATATCTGTGCACAAACTAGCAACTAATTATTGTGGAGATCAGTAGGCCTACACAGTAATAAAAAAGGTTTAAACCATGTTTTGAAGGGGTTAGCAAAACACTTACCAAACAACTTTTTTGACAGCTATATTTATTTTAAAAACCTTAAAAAGAACAAAATTGGACAAAACTAGTAAGGTCTTCCATTATCTGAATATTCTTTATTTACAGCCATCCTTATGACGACTACACAAGAGATTCTTATGATGATCGCAGGTAAGTTATATTTGATTTTTTGAGATTCAAAGTTGTTCCTTATCCTCTAAAAAGTAAACAAACAATTTTAAGAAAGAACGTTTCCTTCAGGATATTGTTGGGAATGTTGGAGATTGCCCTTATGAAAACATGCTGTTAAAGATGGAGACCTATATCATAGAGTAATATATTTCACCTACTTAATTATTTAAATTTTATTAGGGAATAGAAAACATTCATGTTTTCATCAAGTTTGGTTAAGTAGTTGTATTCCCGGCTGATCAATAAATACCAAACCTTTAAAGTCAAGACTGATATGGAGTAGTTGCTGTGATAACATTATTTGTGTTATTTGTAAGTTTTTTTAATAACAAAAATAAGTTTTTTGCTTTTTGAATCTTATTTAGGAAATGCATGGGTTTATTATAATATGTTTTCTTATTTCTTCAAGTCCTAGGTTTTTCTAGCATACATTTTGACACTTTTTTAACTGACCTTTTAGCCTACTAGGCTCTGGGTATGGTGTTTCTATTTTTTTCATTTTCAAACACATCTCACACGTTCTCCTGTTCAAAACTATTTTAATTCTTGTTAAAACTTTTCCAGCCTTGCTTCTCTCCCAAAGTTTCCTGTCTCCAGAAAATCCATGCCCAACTTTGCTTCCTCTTTCATGTCCAAGTCAAAACTCCAAACCAACGGAATTTGGAACTGATACTCTCCTTTTACTGCCACCAAATACGTTTTATTTCACTCTGTTTTAAATAAAATCTTTTAAAATATGCTTTTTTACTTTATTGATTGGATTAAATTGTTAGTATGGATATTAATTTAAACTCAATTAGTTTTTAGAGCAGCAAATAGACTATATGTTTTGTTTGGGATGTTTATTTTCAATAATATGAAGTAGGAATGTACATAGAAGACATTGGTCCAACTAACTACCTATGGTATATGATAGCTGTAAATAGGGCTTCCTTTTAAAGTAGAACTCCAATCATCGAATCAATTGGGACTGTACCACATTTCGATAATAAAAAATTCAGATTTGTACTGAAATTCGGAAATATTTACAGAAAAAAGCCGTGTTGAGCTATTGCGATTGCAGAACGCATCTGCGGAGATTTTGTGATTTGTTGCAATCGCAGAGGACTATTATGATTTTCCGTCAACTCTGATAATGTCTACAAGACTACGGAAGATTTTGCCGCGATTTTGGAAACATGACGTTTGAAACTAAACGACCACCGGAGCGGTTTTGGATTTTCTGCGATCACGGCTTCTGCCTTTCTTTAATAATGATCCTTATTACTGTTTCAAAAACTCTTTCTGTAAGTGATAAAGATAATTGCCGATTCGGATTGTTGGAGTTTGGGTAATTGGAGTTCAACTTTATTAGGTTATCAGAAGATAAAACCTATGGTGTAGATTAATACTTTATTTTCAAGTATATAGGCCTACCACCATTCTTGGGATTTCATAATTAAATCCACAAATGGGTTCTGAAGGTTAAATCCTGTTACGTTATGTTTTTGTAATTTTAGACTTTTATAGGCTAACAAAAGTTTTATAATATTAGGCTCATGCATTGATTGTTGAAATCTTTTAACTGACAAATTCCACAACCAATGTTTTGTGATGACGTTTGAAAAAAATGAGGATAATAAGACCCGGTTAAATATATACTTTGATTGTTTTACTGTCTCGGGTTTAAAATTTAAGATGATTGTAAAGTTTTTGATTCCATCACAATTTTGCTTAGGCACACACATTACGTCATTTAAGATTTTAAAGCACTAGGTTGGTTAATTGTAGTAAATTGTAAATCATACTAGAGTTAAAAGTTGGAATTGATCCTTTGTTTGTCTGTCGAATTGTTATCCAAATTGCCGGTTCAAATTTATTTCAAAATATTGAATAGTTGTTATATTCACATTTGAATCAAATATGAATATAAGAATTCTTAGCTAAAATTTACACTGTCTTGATACTCAATACCAATGTTTTGTGACTGATTTGTTCAATTTTGTTGCGTGTTATAATTATTTATTAAATTCCTCTAAGGCTATTATTATTTTTAGGTATTTAGACTAGGTTATTATGTTTTAAGCGGGTATTGTCATCGTAAATTTTAATGTGTGTGTTATGTGTTAGACGGTTACAATATCACAAAATTGCAACTTATGTAAGCTATTATGTTTTATTATTGTTATAAAAAATATTACATAGTGTATTATGTTTCTTGGCGGATAGTATCATCATCGCAAAACTGTCAAATTAAATATAGTATAGGCGAAAGTATTGTCAAAAAAGCTATGTTGTAGGCGGGTAGTTATGTCATTGGGAATATTAAAAATATTGTTGTAGGCGGATACTATTGTTCTTCTGGAAATATTTCATGGTATGTTTTAGGCGGCAGTATTGTCATTAAATCGTTTACCTATTATACTTTGTCTTACGTAATAGTATTAGCATTGGAAATTTCATATGGTGTATCACGTTCGCTATTATTTTTCTAGGTAAAAACTAATCTGTTACATATTTAAGTTGTAATTATATCGGGTAAATTAATATTTTAAACCACAGGTAACCGACCTATACAGATAGAGAAATAAATTTCCTATGTAATGGAATGCGGATTGATCCTATTACACTAGGAAATGTAGATTTGTAAGGCGTAGGGTTAAGTTACTAGCAAACTTGAAACTTCAGTTTCAGGTGTTTGAAACAGCTCACCAACTAGTCACCTGTTAACATTAAAGCAAACATATGCACGCAGTTTTCTCACATCAACAATAACGAAATTTTCCGATTCGTCTCAGGTGAGTTTCCTAGTGTAATAGGCTACTAGCAAATAACCCTAAATATGTTGATTGAACAAATTTTGTTTTCATCATCTGTGTTGTAGATTCTTTATTTCCTTCATTAATTTGCATGCTTAGTATTTTTTTGTGTTCCTAAACTTAAGTTGTGGTATCGGTTAACCATTTTCACATTTAAATTTGAGTCCTTTGAAAAAAGATTAATATTATCCGGCCACAAAAATTACAATGTTTGCCTTGATTTCAATGTACAATTTTAAAATTTATTTTACTATGCGATTTGAATGTAAACCTTTTTCCGGTTCGTCTTTTTATTGTAATTTAATATTGTATACGGTTTTTTGTTGTTTAGTCATATTCAGTATAGCCAGTATTCTTCATTATATTTTGTCAGCGGTTTGACATTATGAAACGACTACGCAACCACTGAAACCACTGTTAGTAAACCAAGATGTCTCCTGGATTGGATTCTGCATTTTCTACGATCCTGGAATCAACCCTCAACTTAGCTTGTGTTCTGAATGACAATGAGGCGTAATTGTCATTTAGGATTTGTTCCTCATAACAGGAGAAGCCTGCAAATCATGTGTATTGTTGTATTTATTTGAAATTTTTAACATTTTATATGGCATCAAAGAAGCCCGTGCTGGCACGATCGTTGGATGGAGTAATAAATGGTAGTAGTACAATAAATTATAGATAAGAATTTATCAAATGAGTTTTTATTCTATATAGTTAAAACTTATGAGAGTACATTAAATAAGCATAAAAGTCTTTTTGAACACCAATTTATTATGTCTCCTGATTAAAGAACCAATGGAGTTTGTTTGGATTGCTTCTTCAAAATATGATAAGTCATATCCTTCGCACATTGTTCTATCATTTAATTACACAGCTGATTGTTTGGGTTATGGTTTTCATGGAAGATAAATATGATAAAGATTGTATTGAACACAATGTTTAACATACGTTATGATTTGTTATTGAATAAGACTTCAAACATCATGTCTAGTTTTATGTCCACAAATTATATTTTCAGCTAAGTAATCTTTGAACTTGAAGAAAGTTTTGTCTTTAAATTATTTATTTAACAGTAACCAGTTTCAAATATCATTGTAACTTAAAAGAGTACTCCCCCATTTTTAGTGTACAAGTACAATATGTTCATTGTTTAATGCTCAAAATTATCAAGTATTTGACATATTCCTCAGTACTACTTTCCTCAGTCCTCAACTGTAGAAACTAAATATTAGATTTTTATTTAATTGGTGGTATTTTTTTATCTTTGCAGTATCACACTGGTTTGATAATATAATCTTGTATTCCACAGAATATCTATGTACAAAGCGCCCAGAATATGGCCACAGAATTATTATTCTTGGTCCATTACTGTTGAAGCGCTAAAATATCTATATCGAAGGTTGATTTTTAGTTGTAAGATGCTCAATGTTTTATGGTTCTGTACATTAATTTGTTAACTTTGTGTTGCAATAGAATCGGCCTGCGTGGAGGTTCGCCGCGCCGGTACACACCCTATTAGCTTGCTCGGACCGATACTGCTCGGTGAACGGTACGGAAACCCGTGACGTGCACTGAAATCGTCAAGGACGGCCGTTCCATAGGACTTAGACATTAATTTCCAGACATCTTCACTTTCGTGTTGATATTAGAAATAAGTCATTGCATGTTTGTTATTGAGTTTTATTGTATCGATGTGAGGTAACTGTATGTTCCCATCACGATATTTTCACTGGAAACACTATTTTTAGCTATCGGATACACGAAAAGCTTTGATAAATCCATGAAAGAATGTTACATTTTATTGGTTTTGATATTTTCTCGTAGGTTTATTGTAATAAATGTAGTTTCGTACAATAGCGATCCGTGCGGCTTCTTGACTCAGAGTCGTTTTCGGACATATTGTATGTGTTGTTTTAAAATAAGCTTTTATGTGTAACCGAGCAAATGTTTGCTTTTATTGTCTTAATTAAATAAATAAACAGACAACAGTTGTCGCGTTGTGATTTTTCCTTTCCGCCGTTCCGATGTCGGATTTTCCGATATTTACAACATCCGGCCGCAGATGTTCTCCTCTGACCGAAGACTTTCCGGACGGATATCATCGGCTGAGGTAGGCTATGCAATACCAAACTTGAAATGACCTTACCCATTTATTGAACATTTCATCATTCTGGTACACAATAGAAAATATAAACAAGATTTAAGATTTACACATTTATATAATGTGTAACGTATTGGTTGGTAATACAGATTATTAGTCTAAATTGAAAAGATCTAGCAACATTTATTTCAGGTTCAAGTCGTAATTTTACTTCACCCTCTATTTGAGAAAATGTCATTGTATGTATTACATGTAATGTGTTTTTAATGTTAAGGATCTTTTTACTTTTTTAGTTGGACCAGAGATGTAAAATTAAAAAGTTATATTTTTTTAGCTATCTAATAATTAATTCCTTCCCTACCAAGTATTTCATAATTGCGTTTTAATTTTAGGTTAAAAATACTTTCCTAGTATATTTAAAAACCAATCTTTAACTATTAGTTTAAAAGTGTTACTAAGCGCAAGAAGATTTTCCTAAACGTTCTTTATACAATACACAAAATTCAAAATTAAGTCATAGTTTTAAAACATGCTTGAAATTTTATATTTTTGTCACATAATTTTTTAAAGTAAATTAAATATATATAAGAATGTTTTGAGTTCAACGTTACCTTGCAGAAACAACCTCAATGTTTTGTTAACGAGCCATATGTTCTTATCCTTTATTCAACTACTAACAGTTCTAGGCTCATAAATTAATTGATGTGTTGTCTAAAGCGGCCCATACACTAGCGCGCATGTGCCTTGCGTGGCTGGTGTTGAGGTGACTGCGAGCGGCTCTAGGCACATGTGCGATTCAATTGGTAACCACACACTAAAGACACATGCGCACGCACCACCGTCTTTGACGTTTCAAATAGTGGGCTATAACAGCAAATTCAACATATATTATATGTTATATTGAAATCATTCTAATAAACTCCTTTGTATCGTCCCCATGTTAATTTTTACTATTAGTTTTTCATTTTGGTTTTTTTTACAAGGACATTTTTTTAAAGTTGCAAGCAAAGTCACTAATGAATAACATTTTCCTTCAAAAAATACATCAGACGTGATTATACTTTAATTTATAGGGTAGGTTATTAGTTGTATGTACTGTATCATGGTTTTTGTGTTTACAATAACTAATGGGCCTAAAAGAGTGAGAAATAAGGTATTAAAGAATATGAGGGTTTAATACAAGGGTATAAGGGTCGTATTTAGAGTAGCCTATTAGGGTTATAGACTTAGATTTAATTAGTTTATTTGGCTCACATCGATATTAAGCTCTCAAAGAGTTAATTTCAGTCTTCACAAACTTATCGTTACTGTTAGGAAACACCCCCTTGCATTTTGTTATCAATAGCTCCATAATTTCTTTTCTCATTTATTTGTTTGACAAGTTTACACTTTTCACGTCTCAAGAACATTTTTGTGATCTATAAAGCTCAATAAACTCGACCAAAACTTTCTTTTGCCATTAAAGGACATCTTAACCGCACAACAAAGAAGTCAATAATAACCAAACAACAAGGACAAATAAAACACGTGGGGCAGTGAATGTTACACTGTGCCACGCAGGCGCAGACCTAGTAGTACCCGATTTACAGTATGTGCAGCTATGGTTTGTACTCTGCTAGTTCGTGAACCTACCTGCCTTGGTTTCCCACAGACTGGCGCATCATAACAAGCTCGCACACTTGTGACGATGCTCGAAGGTCCGGCGGCAGGCACCAGGCACCTCGCATGCGCGTCGCGAGCATGGGCACATTTACCCACACATTGAGGCGCATGCGTAGAGCTGTTCGCGCGCACAAGTGCCCCAGTGTGTGGACCGCTTTAGTACAAGTATTTTTACAAGACTTGGAACATTTACTGCAGGCTGATCAATTTACATAAAATTATTGGACTAGCTATTTATAAAACACCATCACACGTCATGTATATCTCATTACTAGTTCTGAAAGTGGCATTTTCCGAGCCCCTTAAGTTTCATAGTTGAACACGGGAGCACAAATTTGAGAGCGAGTTTCTTGCACGAGGCAAGAGCCGAAAAATCACTTTTGCTCAAATGAACGATACTTTTCATCATGATGCAAAAATACACAAGATACAGACAGACCTCAGTAAAATAAAATGTATTTCAGTTGACAAAGTGGCCTTTCTTGCACTGATTATAGCACGGAAAGTTGCTAATTGCTGCATCTACTTACTTTTGATGCACACCAGTATTTCAACCAAACAACACAAAACAGCGTGCTTTTATTGGGCACGTAATTCGTGAACGCTTGAAAATAAGTAGGCAACACTTACAATCAATATTACGACTACGATCAGCTGGTGCAGCGTTTTCCATTTTGTTTAATGTTTGGATTTAAACTAACCTAAAAATGTGTTGTACAGTGTTTGAAAGGCTATTATTTCTATGCTTTTTTATAGTAACTGTAGGAATAATATAATGTGTAACGTGAGTGCAAACTGCCTTTGCTGCACTTGGGGAAACTTTCCACACTCGCCAGCTAAGTGCCATTTCCAGACTAGTTGCACAATAGTTATTTGTGTAACTAGTGAGCAAAGTGGCACTTTGCTGCACACGAGAGGCTCGTGCGGAATGATCTCGAGTGCAGCAAATGCGTTTTGCACTCGTGTTACACATTATATTTTTCCTACAGTCACTATAAAGCATATAAATAATTAGTCTTTCAAACACTATAAAACATGTTGTTAGGTTCAGCTGGCAACACAAATAGGTGCCCTAGAGAAAGTAGTCCCCGGTCCGTATCACTCCGCTATTTTTTCCTCGGCAAGTGCTCCGCAACTTGAGAAAATAGTTCCGTATATTTTAGTAATTTGCAGTGGTTTCCCCGCCTAAAAAATGCTTAAAAGGTATTTTCTTGTATATTGAGATCGTTGGAGTTTTGAAAACGTTTAAAAGCAAAATTCAGAAATACCGAAAAGGGAACAAACTATAAACACGAAATTACAGGTTAAATCGTAGTTATAATAGTCAATCAGCTGCTCATAGTATTATTTTCTTTAAGTGTTGCCAACCTATTTCCAAGCGTACACGGATTACGTGCATAATAGAACTAGGGTGGTCTGCCGTTACACTTTAGACGCATAAATGAGCGAAGCATTATTTAAAGATTGTCAATGGCTAAAGCAGCTAACACCCTACAATATGTTCCCTTTCAACAGATTCACCGTTTGTTTGCCCGATATTATTTAAGTTCTAAAGAATGACAAATTTATCTGATAGTTCATACTGTACCTTTGTAGTGAAACTGGCCATCCTGACCATTTGCTTGTACTTTGTAAATGGGCATAGCAGGATGTGACTCGTGCAATCAACATTTGTTCTACAATCGTCAGGTCAGTGAATTCGTTCGGGACACTTGACACATCCATATTATTTAACGCCGTGAATTTAGTTGCATTTGAACGACAACGCGAACATATCGGTGATTGGTTTGAAGCTGTTAGTTGTTGCCAATGACAGTTAGTGCAAGTGTAAAATTTTAGTGCATCTAATTCATGTTGGAATTGATTAGCTAACTGTCTATCATTATCAGCTTCTTCCGCCACTGCTTCATCTGGTTCTTCTTGTTCACAACACCACTCTCTTACAATATTTGCATTATTGGTATTGGTGCGACGACCAATATTACGTTGGGCCTTTTGCTTTGAGGCATGCTCAAAACAAATATAGCAAAACTGTTACTTCCATTGATAAAACTATTACATTATAACTTTAACCTAGGATGAAAGTAAACATTGAAATGTAAACAAAACAGTTACAAACAATTAACATATGTTTATCTTATTTAAATGAAACGAGATAAACCCATATGTCATAAACCCAATATAATTTTTCTTTCAACTTACATACATTAAAATAACAAGCGAAATTGCGTGACCCGTAAAATAAAATCCAGAAGGAAATTCGCAAATACTTTTTACCAAAACATTGTGCTCAGTATTCTTTAGCTGTTGGCCAAATTTTATATCAATTGGTCAAGCCATTACATTCTGATGCTCTTACAAAGAAGTTACAAAGTGAGGGAAAGTGAGCTTCGCTCGCTCTGCTCGCTTCGCTCGCTCTGCTCGCTTCGCTCAATCACGCTGTTTTGTGTTGTTTCGTTGGAATCCTGATGTGCGCCAAAGTATAAACTGTACGACAAAGTATAAATATGCAGCAATTAGCGGCTTTCGGTACTATAAACATTACAGTACAAGGAAGCCAACTTTGTCGGGTGACTGTAGGAAAATAACTATTTCCTGGTAATATTCTTTTTCCAATTATAAAAATGAGGTTTTATATAAAAAATTAAATTCTCAAGGTTATGTTTACTGTTCAGTAAAACACACACTATGGGTATTTACTCAAGGGAGGTACAGAAGAGGCTTCGATGACGTCAGCTGTCAGATCTCCTTTTGAGGGAACACCATTCCCGCAACAATACGGAATTCAGTCATCGGTCTCGGTGGTGTAGTGAATAGCGTGTCGGGGCTGATAATCCGAAGGTGCCGGGTTCGAATACCGCTGGCAGCACTAACTTTTTGTCAACAATTTTTTTCATATCAGCAAGTTTGGTTGGTTTGATTATGACAGTTTAATTTTATAATTAACTAGGCCTAATAGTGAAGTAAAAACTACGCGTTGTGCTCTCTACTACAACGCTGTTCACGGAGGAATTTTGAACTAAACTATGATGTCATCGTTTCCTCACTTATACCTCCCGTAAGTCAGACCCACACTATGCTAAAAACAGCAAAATTAGCTTATGGCTATTTATATTTAGATTTACATTAGGCGCATTCTGGGAACATGTCCCGGTGCACCAGTGCAGATTAACCGGTGACTTACACACCGGTCCGCCCCGGGGCAAGAGTCTTGGTATCCCAGAACGGTTAGTCACCGGTTTACGGTACACATTGGATTTACACATCCACCTACTATTTGCTTTATAATATTTAAATCAAACAAACAGACTTGCCCTCATGGAATAATTATTTGAAAATTATTCGTTTATTACGTAACCCCTCATTGAACAAATTATTCATTCATTGCGCAACATAACCTATAAAACTAATGAACATTATTCGATGGACCCGCCATCTTGCCGTAGTTGCATGCTGTTGTCCAAGAAACTGACCAATCAGAATCCGCCGGTGTATTATGCACCGTACAATTTTTGCACCGGTGGAGGAAAAAGAGGAAATAGCTGTCAGCTAGGTTAACTCACCGGTCTCCCAGAACGACACATTTTGTGCACCGGTACATGTTCCCAGAACGCGCTCATTGTTTAGCAGTAATACCCCCGCCGCAGCAAATCTGCCGTCTAAGCGAATTTCCATTTGGCTGAATTGATTTTCAATTGATCTATTTAAATAACATTAGGTTTAACGAGTACCTAGGTTTGCTGCTACAAGGAAACTAATAAAGTGTGTGTTTTAAGTAAAATAATTATTGCTTTGTATAAAATGGATATATTTGCCAAGTTTGATCAAAAGATATCCATAAACAAGCAAACTACAACATTTTACAATATTCTCCATAAGAATAACATGGGAATTTTAAATTTAAATTTTTTTTAGTTTTCTCCGTAACCAATAACCGTACAAAAACACTTTGATATACTGAATTGTTTGTTTTTTTAAGCTCTTTAAGAAGGTTTAGAGAAAAATTGGAAAATTTTGTGTTTTGAGGGTCAAAAGTGAGAAAAACCAATTTTTACCTCCTAAAACCCCCCATAAAATCCTGTTCCCATGGTCCGATCATGCTGGATCGCGAACTCATTCAAGTTTATCCCGCCTTACACCTTCAAACCAAATTTCATCAAAATCGGATAAAAATTACTCAAGTTATCGTGTTCACGGACACATATATATATATATATATATACATATATAAAAATTTGAACGAATGGTGTTTTTGGCCTCTGGGGACATCAAAATGAAAAAGTAAATCGGTCCCAGGCCTAAGTCTTACCATGAGACCTACGGTAATAGCTACTTTCCTATAGGGAAATTCGCTAAAAACAGCTGATTTAAATCGTTAATATAAATTATATAGAGAAACTAGCACATATAGTGGCCAAAAGGAGAACTGATAAGAGAGCTAGAGAAAATCAGCCGATAGTTCTTCCCTTGCTCTAAATCAGAGTTTGGAAATAATAATTTGAACAGAACATGCCTAGTTTACAACAATAATTTATTGAACCTTATAGAACTTGTGACTGACTTGAATGCTAGAACATTCAAAATATAAAATGTTCAATGAGCCAGGCCAACTGGTTACAGTAGAACCTCGATAACAAAACTCATGGGGATTATTAGATAAGACTTGTTATCAAGGTTAACTTGTTATCAAAGTTAGCAATAAAATGTGATTAGGGTTAAATGAACTCAAAGTGATAACACTTTGTCATCAAGGGTGACTTGTTACCAAGGTTCCATTGTGTTAATATTGGAGTATTATACCGAAACCAGCCAGACTACTTGGCTATAAGTTTATGGCTGTACACAGTTGTTACCTTAAGACCTGAATATGAATATGTTTGCACTATTACTGTACCAAAATCATGTACAAAATAAAAAAAACTCAATAGAATAGATCCATTTGCCATTCCAACCATCATTAGAGCTAATAGGAAGGAGGAAGCTAACAATCACAATTTAATTTGTACCAACTTTTTATATCATAGTACATGTTGGGTGTTACATTTGACCAATAACACAACAAAATATCAATGAGTTATCCGAAGAGTTCAGTATAAACTATAATAGTCTCAAGTTTAGTTAGGTTAAAATAACAAATATGGTAAAAATCATTAAAAAAAATTATTTACAAATAAGGGATTACAGAGTCACTGTGTACCTACTGCCACTAGGTTACCCCTTGGAAGACATTGTAGATTCAATATTGACGAACAAATAGTCGAGTACTTGGCTGGTGGCTCAGCGTTCTCACTGAAACAGTGTGAATTCAATGATGCATGTTTTCATAATCTTACAACATATGGAAACATTAATGTGGTGAGATGGTATAAAAAACTAAAACAAATTATAGGCTACTCTTGGAATGAATGCCATTCATTAGCTATTTATTACAATAGACGAGAGTTGTGTAGAACAGGTAGAAAGGGCTGAATCACTTCTATTGCTTGAAAATAGAAAAGTATAAACTAACATTTCAGACCAATTTGTTAAAAAGTGTAAATAGAAATTAATCTCAAAGTGGTTGAAAACAAAATAACAAGACCTAAGATGTTTCTAAAACCACGAATGTAGCGAGAATAGTGAATACCACAGTGATACAATCATAACTGGGACTAGGCTATTTTTTTACTATCCCTGCTCTTTGTTTTTGTTAACGATGTCTCTGTCAACATCGTTTTCTCTGTCAAGTTTTGGATTTTCAGTTCGGTTGTCAGAAAAAATTTCTAAACTGGATGCATCATCTGATATTTGAAATCAAATTCGTTAAATCCTTTTGTCTTCTGCTTTTGACAGATGAAGTTCACTGCCTGGCCCGTACAGTTTGGCCAAATTTTCTGTGAGCACGGACGGGTCGCTACTAGCCGAACTAAATCATTCGGGTACCGGTTACCCGGCAGTGCTGGGAGTAGGGGCAATACACTAATGTTTTCACAAAAGTACCCCCGCCAACCCCCTTGCCTGAACCCAACTAGATCTGGACACAGAAACGTTGGCCAAACTGTAACCAGTGTTACTGTTCCAAGGTAAGGGGGCTACAGGGCTAAATCCCTCCTACCTTGGACCCTGGAAAAATAAATAAACATTCATCTTGCTTAAAAACGTATCATAGGTTTTTGGAAACAGTTCCAGACATTAAAAAGGTACGTGGATGGTGCTACATAACAAGTGCAAAACATGAGGCAGTGATCGCAATTGACTCCAACAAATCAGATTCTCAGAGCATCTGCATTAGCCACTCGCTGTATTAAGATGAGTAAAATTATACCAAATAACAGCAACATAAAATATGTAATTTACTTATCTTCTCACCAAATAAATTATATTCTAAAAGAGAGCATGAAAGAAACAAAATGAGTCGACTCGCCTTTGAACGGGTTTAAAGTGCAAAGAAGAGTTCCACAATATGACAGAGCCGTCCAATGAGGCAGATGCGAGGATGTTGCTGTCTTTGCTCCAGTCCAGAGCTGTCACAGGCTGGGAGTGACCTCTCAACTCAGCCAACACTCCTCCAGATGCCAGATCCCACACTTTCACCTTCTTGTCCTCCCCTAAACAATGTAACAAGCTCAGTGACAAACAGACATGTCTAGTGGGACAGACTTGAGGATGTTGTTGTCTTTGCTCCAGTCCAGAGCTGTCACAGGCTGGGAGTGACCTCTCAACTCAGCCCCACACTTTCACCTTCTTGTCCTCCCCTAAACAATGTAACAAGCTCAGTGACAAACAGACATGTCTAGTGGGACAGACTTGAGGATGTTGTTGTCTTTGCTCCAGTCCAGAGCTGTCACAGGCTGGGAGTGACCTCTCAACTCAGCCCCACACTTTCACCTTCTTGTCCTCCCCTAAACAATGTAACAAGCTCAGTGACAAACAGACATGTCTAGTGGGACAGACTTGAGGATGTTGTTGTCTTTGCTCCAGTCCAGAGCTGTCACAGGCTGGGAGTGACCTCTCAACTCAGCCAACACTCCTCCAGATGCCAGATCCCACACTTTCACCTTCTTGTCCTCCCCTAAACAATGTAACAAGCTCAGTGACAAACAGACATGTGTCTAGTGGGACAGACTTGAGGATGTTGTTGTCTTTGCTCCAGTCCAGAGCTGTCACAGGCTGGGAGTGACCTCTCAACTCAGCCAAGAATCCCCTGAACAATCTCAGTACACCCATGATTTTATCTTTCTATCGGCCTGTTCAATTGGTTGAATCTTCCCTGTTCTGCGACAATATCAAACATAGGCTAGTGTTCTGTTTCGGGGTTTTATACAATTAACTTTGTATTCGACATTACTCTCGGACACTGAGAAATAATTCCAAATATTTTCCAAGTTCTGTTCAATCACTGAAACCTTTTGACAAGTTCTATCATTGACTTATCAAAGCTATTTGGACAAGCTTTTACCAATATTTTATACAAGAAGAATGTAGCTGAATTAGCCAATTGCAGATGACGCTATAGATTAGAATTCCATTTCCTGTCTTGTTTTTTGTTTCTGAGGGTTGATGGGACATACAACTTAAAATAAGTCGTCCTATCAGTTTGACTTACTTAAAAATTGTAACGTATTAGACTGATATCAGTTAAATTTACATCAGCACACACTGTTGGTTCAATTCGACTTCGTTCATTTGATTTTAAAACCCGGGAAATGAAATGTCCAGCTCTGTATATAGTCCTAACCTGAACAAGAATTTACTCACAGTTTTAGGGGGGGAATAATTACCTGCAGACGCGAGATGTTGGCCGTTGGGACTGAAGGCTAGAGTGAGAACACTTCCAGAGTGACCTCCGTAGACCCTGACTAGACTGCCATCAGTGACAGACCACAGCCTTACAGAGCGATCCGCAGAGCCTGTAGCCACATAACTGCTGTTGGGGTGGAACTGGACACACTAAAACATAATATACGAGGGCTATCTAGAGAGTAGATTATTTTTTTTATTAAGAATAAAGAAATTGTAAGAAAAGCCACACTTAAATCCTACTTATCAATGTCACTGTAAAGATTTTAACATTTATCATATTAATGAATAATTTTACAATTCCTTCCTTATAAAATTCTAAAGCTTGCTACTTCAACCCCTTTGTCACTTGTTGCTTTAGCTGCACGTCATCATCGAAGATCTGCTATGTCAGCTGCTTCTTGATGGAACCAAGTGGTAGTCACACGGTGGAAGGTCCGGTAACTACAAGGTATGGTGGACGGGGAAACGACTCCCAATTAAATTATTCCAGAACTTCTCTTGTGTGGTTGTGGATTGTTTTACCTTTCTGAGCTGATTGTTATGCCTCGTTCCATGAAATCCACAAGAACAACACCCTTTCTGTTCCAAAAAACATACACCATAACCTTCCTTGTCGACATCGTTTCCAAACATTTTCATGGAGAATTTGTGTTCCCCCGTTCCATCGACTACAATTTGGTCTCACAGTTCACATGCTGACAGTGTATATGATATGTTCTTAAATGAACTACAGATTTCATTCATTGTTGTTGCAAGAAATGAGAGAGCGAATACCTGACCAAAAAGATGTTGCAATAGTTAGTGCAATGTCTTCAGATTCCTTAGTCTAGTTAAGATGATGTAGTTTGTGTTTTAATTTACTACTAGTCTAAGGATTTTATGACCACCCTACGAAGATGAGGTTGCAACTTCCTATCATGTAGGAAGCGCTACAAGGAGGAAGAAACAGCTGCAAGTTCACAATTTATCATTTAGTGCTCTGTGTCAGAAAGAAAAAGATCAAGGATAGCACTTAAACAAGGATATTAGGGGAAACAAAAGCAGGAAATATCATAGAGCTTTATTTTAAAATTTAAAAAAATGTAATTTGCGATACATGCTACATGTTAACAATACAGGGTTACTTACATTGACATCTTGACAATGGCCAGCAAACATCCTGAGGGGATAAGTCCTATCAAGGCTCCACAGTCTGGCTGTGCGATCATGTGATCCAGTGGCAATATACACTCCCAGCGAACTGACAGCTACACACCACACTGCATAGTTGTGACCTCTGGAAACAGACATTTTTTCATTTTTTGTTTATATCCAACCTTCACATGCTAGAAGTAGGCTCTAGCCATCCGTTTTCACTTTACTTCAGGTTGGATCTAGATGGTCTATGCATCAAAAATCCATTGGTGGTTGGCAGGATTTGAGCCCGAGACCGAGATCCCACACTCTACCTCTTTTTATTTAGCTCACTCCCCAATTCTAGAAAAAGAATTGTAAACCAAATATCTGTTTACCAGGATTTAGAATAAAAACAACAATAATATCAAGTCTTTTCACATCTTGTAATGACAAAATTTTAGATTTAAAAAACTTCTAAGGACAGTGCCACACTATCCCGTTTAGCGGGTAAGTGAAGAGCGCGAGCATCACATGCACTGTTGTTAGCGACAACAGTAGGGATAAACTAGCAATCACATGGACAAACGTGCAGCACAAACGGGATGGTGTTGCTGCTCTCATTTAACTGCATGTGTTTCGCCTGTCGTCCCGCTACCCCGCAGCAGCATGCGGTGGATCCCATCAATGGTGCTGTTAAGCAACCTCAAAAATGTGACTGCACCCATTAAAACCCAAGAGTTCAAATCATCCCGCCAAACGGGATAGTGTGGTGCCGGCCTAACAGACAGACAGAAAAGTAAATAAAGTAAAACGTATAAAAATACATGATACCTGTAGCGTATTAAGAATTGACCTGTCCATCAAATTACATACTACTTATACTGAACGTACATAAAATACATCTAACAACACTTTGTATGGTCACCTACCTCCATTTAAGCCCCTTGTAAGTAAGTTTAATGTGGATTTCACACGTATGGGGATCAAACAAGCACATGTAGAAATACCTCAATGCTACACTCGTCTGTAACGCTTTATCTAACTGAGCCACCAATTGGTTCCGGCCGAGTCAAGTGCTACCACAGTTATAATAGTGACACTAGTGCTTTCAGGTGTCATTCAAAGAATTACTTTGGCGCCAGTCTGTGTTTCGGCCTCGGCCGCCTGGTACTTGGAAAGAAGAGTTCTGTATGCTTCTTAGGCTAATGGGTTAATGCAAGGGTCACCAACCTTTTTCACTCAAGGGCCACATTGTGAACTTTTAAAGGAGAGGCCAGTCAAAATTTAGTGGAGAAAGTTAGGCCAGGCCCCCTCTAAATAACCCATAACTAAGTCATCTTTTAAGTAGGGATGGTCAAGTCTCGAAATTTCGGGAAATTTTAAATCTCGTTACACGAGATGAGATTTCTTTTTGGCCGAGATTTTTATCGAGACGAGAATTAAAAAAAAAAAAAAAAAAAAATTAAAAACGCCTGCAGAAAGTCAATGCAATACCCGCAATACAGGAGCGTGTTGTAGTTGCGTTTCCTTTGCGAAGGCGTTCTTATTGAATTAATTCTTTAAATGTAAATATTACTTTAATTATTTTAATAATATTACTTTAATAACATTTGAGAAGTTTTGTTAAGTGTAAGCAGTGTGAGGAATGTTTTATTACTATAAAAAGTCAAAACAAGTACTGTACCTAACTATTTTATAAAAATTAATATTGCTTTTATTTTACGATTTATTTTATTTTAGGATAAGTTGAACTCTATCCTAACTGATATCACTATGTTTCCTAATCGTAGGCATTTTTAATAAGTTAGGCGTGATTAATAAAAAAATGTTATGCTGATGTTTTTCAATAAAAGATTGTAAATATTCTAGCCTATTATAATTATTTTTGTATTTAAACAGTCATCTAACAATGTTACAAAATCAGGTAAACATTTTGAACGTGCATTTCCCGTTGTGTATGAGAAGGGAAATCCCGTCTCGATCTCGTCTCGAAATTTTATGAGAAATAAAAAATCTCGTCTCGTCTCGTCTCGAACTATAAATCCAATCTCGTCCATCCCTACTTTTAAGCAAACAACAGTGTTTTTCTTGCTTATGTGTATTTACCGTTTAGTGAGTCAACAGTATAAGTGTTAATATATATGTTATAATAAATGGTGTCCAGGTGTCCAATGGAAGTTAAAGAGGTTTGACAGCATTAGTGAGTTTAACAATTTCACACGCCACCTGTTTTGGATCGTTTTACACTAAAGAAAAGGAGGAAATACATATATAATATTTTTTAAATCACGAGGTTAATGGGTTGAAATACAAACAAATAATAATTAAAATTTTGTAACATTTTCCCACCTGTAAATAGCAGCGCAGGAGTAGTCAGAGAGTTTCCAAGCTCTCATCGATGAGTCGTGTGACACTGATAGTAAGACATCGGCATCATGAAGGAACTCAACTCCTTGGACTGGACCACAATGTCCTCTCAGACTGCTCCATCTCTGCTCTCTGTGTTTAAAAAAGATTATTGTAGTTGTAGACCATCGTTGTCATGTCTTGCAGTCATGGTGCCATCGTAGACAGTGTCTGGAGGTCACGGTGCCATTGTCGACATGTCTCGCGGTCACAGTGCCATCGTCGACATGTCTTGTGGTCACGGCAACTTTTTTCCACATGACTTGCGGTCCCAATACGATCGTCGTCCCGCATTCGCAGCTCCATCTTAAAAATCTACTGCAATCACGGCTTCATTGTCACTTGTGACTAGGGATGGTCAAGTCTCGAAATTTCGGGAAATTTTCGGGAAATTATAAATCTCGTTACACGAGACGAGATTTTTTTTTGGCCGAGATTTTTATCGAGACGAGAATTAAAAAAAAAAAAAAAAAAAAAAATTAAAAACGCCTGCAGAAAGTCAATGCAATACCTGCAATACAGGAGCGTGTTGTAGTTGCGTTTCCTTTGTGAAGGCGTTCTTATTTAATTAATTCTTCAAATGTAAATATTACTTTAATTATTTTAATAACATTTCAGAAGTTTTGTTAAGTGTTAGCAGTGTGAGGAATGTTTTATTACTATAAAAAAGTCAAAACAAGTAACTATTTTATTTTATGATTTATTTTATTTTAGGATAAGGTCTAGTCTTCAGTTCTATCCTAACTGATATCACTATGTTTCCTCATCGTAGGCATTTTTAATAATTTAGGCGTGATTAATAAAAAAAATGTTATGCTGATGTTTTTTAATAAAAGATTGTAAATATTCTTGCCTATTATCATTATTTTTCTATTTAAACAGTCATCTAACAATGTTACAAAATCAGGTAAAAATTCCGAACGTGCATTTCCCGTTGTGTATGAGAAGGGAAATCCCGTCTCGATCTCGTCTCGAAATTTTATGAGAAATAAAAAATCTCGTCTCGTCTCGTCTCGAACTCAAAATCCAATCTCGTCCATCCCTACTTGTGACCATGTGAAATTGCTGACGCGATCGTCTAATCCCGTTTCAATGATCTGGAATATTTTTTCCTCTAAAATTTCAGGACCTGTCCATATAAATTAGGCTATTAAAAAAATAGTGAATATATCAAATTTGAAAATTTCAAGAAATACAAAATTCACGCATAATTCTCAGTTTGGCCTTGATTTTTTCTTTGTAGGTGGACAACCTGTTCGAGTTATCAGGCTAAAACACACACATATGTACACAAATATTGGAAGTATTAATCAATCAAATATCCTTTATATATAAAGTTTAGACAATATGACTTGAATAGCGTCATTAAACTAAACCTTAATAAAAATTGAAAACTAAATTTATAAATTGTATCTTCTATATATTTAATACACAGTTGTAACACTGTTTTCTCAGTAATTACTGGACCGATCTGCAAGATTTATGTCTCGAATTAAAGGGGATAGTGTGTAGATTTGCCGAACTTCCTTAGAATTTACGTTTTTTCTAAGGGCTACGACCTACAGCCCTTTAAAGGTCGAGTCAATACAATTCTTATTGAAGAATAAAATACACAGTTTATAAATTATTCGTCAGCTGTAATGTTTGTCAGACATGTGTTATTATTTTTATAACCTCACTTTCAGTATGCAATTATATAAACACACGATTTTGATCAAGGAAAGTGTATTTGTTAACTTATTTTTGAAATGTTTTAGTTTTCCTGCAAAGTGATCTGAAGGAAAGTGGTTATTGAGTTTAAGTTTGAGTATGGAATGTGAAATAATACCCATAGTAGGGAACGGAAACTTATTGTTTTGAGTCGGTCGTCAGTTTTCAAGCCGTGCACGCGCTCTAAATGTTTTCGTGTGTCCGTCCTGTGCTTATATGTGTATTATTTATTCAACCCCTGACGCAATGCAGATGAAGACAATTCGTGTTACATGTGACAAGACTATAGTTTAGTGTACCACTACGCACCTGACGATGGAGTCATCTCCGAAACGGCCATAGTGGAATATTACCCCTGATTGCGTTGACGGTAAGAACCATAGATATTATTATTATATTTGCACGCAATCTGCCACACTCAAAAATATATTATTGTTTTGATCAATATAATTTATTCTCTACGGCCACTAGAATAATCATGGGCAAATCCGCTTGCAAGTTGTACATATAATTGCTAATGAGTGGGAAACATACAAACATTTTATAGTAGGTGACAAATCTTACTCAAGATCGGTGTTAGACGTTCAGTGGTACCAAACTTTACCTTCTCGAGATGGCGAGTACGCTGGAATACGTGGAACTACAATATATCAGTGAACTTTTTTTTTCAAGTACACAGGGAAGTTGCTTGAGAAACTGTGACTTGCCATTCGGTTCTGACGGAGAAGTATGTGACTTGATGTTTAATGGCAATGTTGACTCGGGTCATTATAGCGTTATAAAACTTTATCATTAACCTCAGGGTGTGAAAAGTACAAAAAAAAAAAAGAAAAGGTAATCATTAACCGGGCGTAAAGAGACATACCGAACGAAAAAAAAATGTAGAGAACCATCGAACTAAAAAGGTAAAGAGCAGTGTTGGTGTTAAATGTGCTCTGGAAGTCCCTACAAAAAAATACCAACTCTTTTGAATTGGGGTCGTTAGAATGGATTTGTCAGTACTGCAAATCTATGAATATTGAGTCACAACAGACTAACTGGGACATAAAATATTTTTTCCTTATGTTGTCACAAAGGGAAGGTAAAATGAGCTCCTTATCAACATTTTGAGTTTATGGAAAATCTTATCAACAGCAACTATAAAAAAAGTATTAAGGGTCGAAAGAGACAAAAACTATTTGAGTAAAATATAATACAAATCTGAATTTTAAATGGCCAGTTCTAAGTCTCACTTGAATCAACATCTTTCTGGTAGTGGTAACAGCGCCGTCCTTAGGGTGGAGCGAGTGGAGCGGCCGCTCCAGGCCTCGCGGCGGAGAAGGCCTCGCGCAGCGAGGCCTGCCCAGCGAGGCCTGCCCGGCGAGGCCTTACTTTCGCTAGAAATAAGTTAATGTTTTGGAATGAAAATAAAATAATAAAGGACAGACCTAAAATATGTCTTATTTATTATGAATTGGCCTATATCAATCGTTGTATCGATTAAAAACCTACGAACGACATTTAAAACACAAAATAATATCAAACAACGTTTGACAGCTCGGTGGCGATGACGGAACCCGAGCCTCGTGGCAGCCACCGAGCCACCCCGGTGAATCTGAGTGAGTCATACGCTTACTCTTAGGCTACGGCCACACGGGCGTTTTTTCACGCAAGAACGCAGCGTAAAAAAACGCGAGAAATATGGGCAGCATTAAATGTAATGAGGTATGCCACACGGAGTGTGTTTTCACGCAGATTCGGCGCGTCTTCAAAATCGACCACTTAGTAGGATCTTAAAAATAGGCCGATCTTACTGGACCACTTAATAATTTTGTTACTAAAAAAGGAAAGGCATTTAGTTGGACTTAAAAAAATTTAAGAGCAAGAGACATTTATGTAGTAGAATATATATTCAAACATATGATGAAAATCGTGTCATAAAAATATATATATTATATATTTTTTATACTAAATGTCAAAATAAAATAATTTTACTGTTGTTTTCATATCGAAATTAATATGTTATAGCCTATTTATTTTTTATACTAAATGAAGAAGATGAGAAAAGTTTTTTCGTCAAAGTGCTTAAAATGACGACTTTACAAGTATAATTTTATAAAAATTTTGTTACACCCGGACCCCACCCCTCGGCTGGGGGGTACTCCGTACCCCCCCCCCCACGACCCCCCGGTGAGCTTAGTTAAACAAGGCCTCGCAATTATGTATTGCCCCAGGCCTCGCATGTTATAAAGACGGCTCTGAGTGGTAATCTACATTGTTTTAAAATCCACGACTCCTTTTCCATCAAATTGGACCGTTAATACCCTCTAACATTGGACAAAGTATGCCCAACTTTATATATACGACGTAAACACAGCTTTTACTCACAGTATGGGTCAAAGATTCGTGAAATGCGACCAACTGTTGATGAGTGATTTACATGTAGACTAAGTGACTATCTTTATTCCAACAAATGTAATGAAAAAAAAAAACGACGAACATAGGAATATACTTGAGCAAATTATCTAAATATCATAAATAGCTGCTTATTAGGTTATCAGCATTGCCCAGTTCGTAAACTATTTATTTTTCAAATGAGACTCGAATTAATATAAAACATTCATTTGGTTAAAATAATATATCGGTTTGATTAACATAAAATAGTTTATACAGGCAAACTATCAGTTCTATTTCATGTAAAAAATTAAACAACCCCTAAATAAAATACAAAGATAAACAGTATTTGTTAATTATTATTTCTTTTATTGCTGACAATATTCCTGTGGCGGAGCACGGGCGGTTAACTAGTAGGTATAATACAGTAATAGCTTATTCCCTAAATGAAAATCTTAAACATTGAATATTATTCTCAACTTGTACAAGTTGAACATCAGTATTCAACCAATATATCCATGTAGATGTAGATGGTAAGTTAGTACTCACTGGACAAAGTGGTCTTGAGGAGGAGTGTTGGTGGCCAAAGGAACAGTTGAATAGTGGGTGGACCCAGGGTTGATCTTGGACTCTGACAATGTCCACAACTTGAGTAGAGAAGATGAGTAGCCAGTGGCCATCAGTTTGCCTGACCTGGACACCCTGGCGCAACACGCACTGGAAAATACCAAACATTCATTACTTGGCATATACTAGATGATACAAGTCATTTTTTTATGCCCCACCTTCACATTATAGGACAGTTGGCTCCTAGAACTGTTTTCATATTACTTTAAGACCTAGGCAGTTGTGGCATTATAACTTACATAAAACCCATTTTGGTTATTGGTGAAATTTGAACCTACGTCGTCAGGGACTTAAGTCATGCACTGTACCACAAGACCAGCGTCCCTATGTGATAAAATAGTACACCCATCACGGTTTGCTCAACATATTACAACACTCCAACTCAAAATTTTGGTTATTTTTGTTACCCTAGCTATTTTTTGTAGAGCAATGAGCTATCTTCAGGGAGAGGTTCTTTGCCAGCCCATTTAATGAATGAGTGGGGTTGTTACTTAACAAAGCTTATTATGATATTGTGTTCCCTTTATTTATATCTGGAGAGATGAGGGTGTGTCCCTACAATAGTAAGTCAAGAGTTTGTGTTGCAAAAATTAAATATTTATTCAACTATTTTATTAAATATAACATTCAGTCTTATTCAGTAATTATCACAGTGATCCTTCTCACTAACAATTCATAAATATTTAACTTGAAATTGAAAAAAATATACTTTAAATTATATCACAAAATATTAATGACTCAACAATTCCTTAACTAGCAATAATGTAATCCCTGAGAAAGGAATTAAGTTTTGCTAATAAAAACCCTAATATGTACTTCTTTGTTTGAAGTTCATTGTTGGTGATGGTGAGTTAATGTTGTTCAAAGGTTTATTGCGGACATTTTCCATCACGAAAGTAAAAAACAATACACAACGTTTCGGGATCTGGAATCTGATCCCGTCTTCAGGTGAAAAAACTTAACTAACACATTACAACTTACAATACACAAACGCCCAACCTAAGTTGGAATACACTACCGAGGGTAGTAGTAAAAAAATATGCACTGTATAGCAGTCAAGTCATGATACAACATGCAATTAATAACAAATCACAAAACACTATAATCTATAAAAGGTTTACGTACAAAAAACTCACACAATGGAACACTAACAACACCGTACGCTATGACTCCACCAATGAAACTGAACCAACATGGCTGACCAATCGGAAACACGGAGACAACAGAAATGGCTTCCGGTCCCTGGAAAAGTAAAACCAACAGAATGGCGGAGCGATGTACGATGCCGCAAGATGGGTGTTAATTATGTTTATTCCTATCACGAGTTTTACTACGAGTTAACATAACGTGCGAATTTTGAGGAGAACTCGTTATTTCCCTATTTATTGAACAATTAAGTTCCCTATCCTTTAGTTCCTTGTTCAAAATGGGTAGCCAAAGTGGCCTTATTTCAACCGATGACTGACTGATTGGTTGGTCTGCTAATTTAATGTATGAGGCTTCAAAGAGTTTACGTTTGAAAAAATGATAGTTAGCTCCCGTGATTCTGCTTGTAGGGAATTGTCTAAAGTCCTTCTGGACATTTTAAAGCCTTTAGTAGGAAACACTGATTCGTTTATCAAAAACTCCAAAGATTTTGTAGAAAAGTCTAAATCTATCGTACTGGCTGATACTGACAAGCTGGTCAGCTTCGATGTTGAAAGTCTGTTTACGAATGTCCCCGTTTCGGAAACCCTAAAAATAATTGAGAATCGTCTCACAAACGACGATACTTTAGCAAACAGAACTAAACTCCCTGTTAACGTCATAATGGAACTTTTGGAGTTGTGTACTCAATGTAACTATTTCCAATTAGAGGGTAAATTATACCGTCAAGATGAGGGTATGGCCATGGGGTCACCATTGTCACCTATCTTTGCCAACATCTTTATGGAGGAGTTTGAGCAAAAAGCTTTGGCTTCAGCTCGGCTCAAACCGAGGATATGGTGGAGATATGTCGATGAAACTTTCGTGGTTTTCCCTCATGGAGATGATAAATTGAATGAGTTTTTAGAGCATCTTAATAGCGTTTCATCCTCCATAAAACTAACCATGGAGGTGGAATCACAAAACAAACTCCCCTTTTTGGACGTGTGCGTAGAAAAGCATTTGAACAGTCTTAGAACATCTGTTTATAGAAAAAAGACACACACAGGGCAGTATCTAAACTTTCAATCAAACCACCAAATTTCTGTCAAGGAGGGGGTTGCTTACTCTCTGTTTGACAGGGCTAAGAGCATTTTTCCTCGTTTTTCCTTACGATTTTGTAAAGATTCACGCGTAGCCCTATCTTTCTTGCATTTGTTTATAATGGATCGAGGGTATCCGTTACTAGCCAAATCCTGTTCTACTTTCTTAATTTCATCCTTTAACTCATCCTGATTGGAGCAAATGCTCTTAGCCCTGTCAAACAGAGAGTAAGCAACCCCCTCCTTGACAGAAATTTGGTGGTTTGATTGAAAGTTTAGATACTGCCCTGTGTGTGTCTTTTTTCTATAAACAGATGTTCTAAGACTGTTCAAATGCTTTTCTACGCACACGTCCAAAAAGGGGAGTTTGTTTTGTGATTCCACCTCCATGGTTAGTTTTATGGAGGATGAAACGCTATTAAGATGCTCTAAAAACTCATTCAATTTATCATCTCCATGAGGGAAAACCACGAAAGTTTCATCGACATATCTCCACCATATCCTCGGTTTGAGCCGAGCTGAAGCCAAAGCTTTTTGCTCAAACTCCTCCATAAAGATGTTGGCAAAGATAGGTGACAATGGTGACCCCATGGCCATACCCTCATCTTGACGGTATAATTTACCCTCTAATTGGAAATAGTTACATTGAGTACACAACTCCAAAAGTTCCATTATGACGTTAACAGGGAGTTTAGTTCTGTTTGCTAAAGTATCGTCGTTTGTGAGACGATTCTCAATTATTTTTAGGGTTTCCGAAACGGGGACATTCGTAAACAGACTTTCAACATCGAAGCTGACCAGCTTGTCAGTATCAGCCAGTACGATAGATTTAGACTTTTCTACAAAATCTTTGGAGTTTTTGATAAACGAATCAGTGTTTCCTACTAAAGGCTTTAAAATGTCCAGAAGGACTTTAGACAATTCCCTACAAGCAGAATCACGGGAGCTAACTATCATTTTTTCAAACGTAAACTCTTTGAAGCCTCATACATTAAATTAGCAGACCAACCAATCAGTCAGTCATCGGTTGAAATAAGGCCACTTTGGCTACCCATTTTGAACAAGGAACTAAAGGATAGGGAACTTAATTGTTCAATAAATAGGGAAATAACGAGTTCTCCTCAAAATTCGCACGTTATGTTAACTCGTAGTAAAACTCGTGATAGGAATAAACATAATTAACACCCATCTTGCGGCATTGTACATCGCTCCGCCATTCTGTTGGTTTTACTTTTCCAGGGACCGGAAGCCATTTCTGTTGTCTCCGTGTTTCCGATTGGTCAGCCATGTTGGTTCAGTTTCATTGGTGGAGTCATAGCGTACGGTGTTGTTAGTGTTCCATTGTGTGAGTTTTTTGTACGTAAACCTTTTATAGATTATAGTGTTTTGTGATTTGTTATTAATTGCATGTTGTATCATGACTTGACTGCTATACAGTGCATATTTTTTTACTACTACCCTCGGTAGTGTATTCCAACTTAGGTTGGGCGTTTGTGTATTGTAAGTTGTAATGTGTTAGTTAAGTTTTTTCACCTGAAGACGGGATCAGATTCCAGATCCCGAAACGTTGTGTATTGTTTTTTACTTTCGTGATGGGAAATGTCCGCAATAAACCTTTGAACCTAATATGTAGTTTAATTTGCCAACTTTCAGCTCTTACCAACTCCAGCACAAAGCCGAGTGTAGTGTTTGCCGAATGTAGCTTTGAGGACTCTGTTCTTCCAGCTAAAAAGCCGAGTTAACAAGAGAGAAGTCTCATTGTTCAAAAATACCGCCCCGCGATGACCCCGGAGTGTGTACCGCGCAGAAAAAACTATATGACGTAATGTGATTGTTTTACTTCCTCTCACTCGATTCGCAAACCGGGCCGGGTGCCGATGTCTGTCAAATGTCATGTCCTGGAGGTTAGGTTAGTGATGATTGTAAATAATAGACATCCGTATAAAGTTATTCTTAATATGAATTTAAGTAATCTTACAGTAATTAAAACAAATCATAGCTATAGGATGATTTAAATAAAAGAATGATTATTCGGAGTCTAGTTAATGATAATTTAATTACGGCCTTTGATGAAAGTAAAAGTTGTATCGGCAGACGTTAAGATATCGAAACGGTACGTGTACGTATTGTAGGTTATCTCAACTTATTCATTAATGAAATTTAACTTAAATCTGCTATTAATTATAGAGGTATTTATTAGAATTTTAATTATTATTACCTTGAAATTGCAAAGCATCAAGAGGATCGGTGTTTATTGCAACTGTGCAACAACCTAGGCTATTTTAAATTAAGTCTTTCATTGGTTATTGTTCGAGCCTATTAGAAAGCTTGATAGTAATCTAAGTTCGGTTAATTGAGTAGGCCTATTATATTATTATTACGGCGGTAAACTTTGGTAACGTCGTAATATCTATTAAGATTTTAAATACCAATCATAAACTTAATATTAGTATATACAAGGGCTATCAGTAAATTAAGGTCTCCTTGAGCTCCCGTCGCATCTATGCTAGCTTTATATCTAAGACCAACACCGTAATCCTAACATTCACTACAGTACTATTTCAGCAGGTTACCACCCCTATTGAACCTCAGCAACAGTCAGACTCAGACAGTGACAAATGTGACGTTGACAGAACACACACGCGCTCCTGTGCCAGTCTACTACTGCCGTACAGTGTCGTCTACTGTCGTCGTACTGTAAGTGAATGTAAATAGTTTAGTTTGGTGTTTAAGTAAATAAATTATATTTTAAATAAGTAAACTGTGCTCCTGACTATGCCACACATACTGGTGAAATGTTACATCGACCTAACAATCTTCAAGAACCTGGCAACCACAAGGTAATATTATATTGTTCTTGAAACTGGGAATACTTGAAAAAGATGATTTAGTCACCTCTCGGAGTTGTTGAGTGTGTACAGCAGTAGGGGAGGAGGTGGAGTAGGACTCGCCCTCACTAGTTTGATAGCTTCTTGTAAATGTCGCATCTCTTTGTCGTCATGAGACTGTTGATACAGCGACTCCAGGTAGTCTGCGTTCTGAAAAAAACTGTTTGAAATTAACAAAAATTCCCTTTGCCCCAGCAAACCTCTTGACTAAGCGCCTAAGCGCATTCCCATTTACCTAAATAGATTTCCACTCAAATATTCCCTGAAAATTGTGAGATTTGTTTTTATTTTAAATAGCATGAGTTTTGATGAATAGGTACTTACGTTTGCTGCTACAGGGAAGGTAATGAGAAATTTTTTAAATTTAAATGTTGATAGCTAGTGTGAAATAAACAAAGTTTTCAAATTGCTTAAAATCTATATCTATAAAAGAGGAACTATGTATGTATGTGTGTATATATGTATATACGTTATGGACTCCGAAACCGCTCGACAGATTGTAATGAAACTTTCAGTCATTGTTAAGCATCTTTCAAGGATGGTTCGAGTGAAGTTTGGTGCAGATCCGTCAAAAGGGCTCTGCCCTAGAGGGTTTTAAGTGGGCCAATGTCAGACTTTTTGATCTACAATGTTTACAAATAAATATAATTTAAAAGCAGATGTTTACTTTCACCAACTGTGTTTTGTAGGTTTGAATAATCACAACATTCTGTATTAGCATTAGTCGTGATTTCAAATAGTGCCACAGTGTTTCTACTAGGGATGGACGGGATTGAATTTTTAGTTCGAGACGGGACGGGAATTTTTTCTGTGCATAAAAAGAAAGTACGAAATCAATTTTTACCATTTGTGGCAATGATCAATAAAAACCAAAAAATGGGTAACAATTTACAGGTACCTATAGAAACTTGTGACTCGCGATCACGACTCGATCGTCAGAATGACTCCGCGGTCACGGCGCGATCGTCGTCATGACTCGCGGTCACGGCGCGATCGTCGTCATGACTCGCGGTCACGGCGCGATCGTCGTCATGACTCGCGGTCACGGCGCGATCGTCGGTATGACTCGCGGTCACGGCGCGATCGTCGTCATGACTCGCGGTCACGGCGCGATCGTCGTCATGACTCGCGGTCACGGCGCGATCGTCGGTAGGACTTGCCATCCATTATCGTCAGTATGACTCCGCGGTAACGGCGTGATCGTCGGTAGGACTCCGCGGTAACGGCGTGATCGTCGGTAGGACTCCGCGGTCACGGCGCGATCGTCGGTATGACTCGCGGTCACGGCGCGATCATCGGTAGGACTCCGCGGTCACGGCGCGATCGTCGGTATGACTCGCCATCCATGATCGTCAGTATGACTCCGCGGTAACGGCGCGATCGTCGGTAGGACTCCACGGTCACGTCGTGATCGTCGGTAGGACTCCGCGGTCACGGCGCGATCGTCGGTAGGACTCCACGGTCACGGTGCGAACGTCGGTAGAACTCCGCGGTCACGGCGCGATCGTCGGTAGGACTCCACGGTCACGGCGCGATCGTCGGTATGACTCCGCGGTAACGGCGCGAATGTCAGTAGAACTCCGCGGTCACGTCGTGATCGTCGGTATGACTCGCCATCACGGCATGATCGTCGGTATGACTCGCGGTCACGGCGTGATCGTCGGTATGACTTCGCGGTCACGGCGCGATCGTCGGTAGGACTCCACGGTCACGGCGCGATCGTCGGTATGACTCCGCGGTAACGGCGCGAACGTCGGTAGAACTCCGCGGTCACGTCGTGATCGTCGGTATGACTCGCCATCACGGCATGATCGTCGGTATGACTCGCGGTCACGGCGTGATCGTCGGTATGACTCCGCGGTCACAGCCCGATCGTCGTTATGACTCGCGGTCACAGCCCGATCGTCGTTATGACTCGCGGTCACGGTTGACGGTCCAATAATCGCGGCCACGGCGCGATCGTCGTTATGACTCCGCGGTCACGTCGTAATCGTCGAAATGACTTCGTCTCCTGCGTTCGCGGACCTATCGCTCGCAATAACGGCGTTATCGGCACTCGCGAAGCGGAAAAATCGCCGACGTACGGACCAAATCCCGTCCCGAAAAATTCCCGAGTCAAATGTAATCCCGTCCCGATAATCGGGAATATTTTTTTCCCGAAAAATTCCCGAAATTTCGGGACCCGTCCATCCCTAGTTTCTACAGAGTGCAGCACAGAAAACTATTTTACTTTTTAATAAGTCCAAATGTATTAAACACCAATCGCAGCACACCTGTGCACTGAACAACGTTTAAATTCTCCAATGTTAAATATTAAAACATAAAAACCTGTTGTTGTTTATCAAAGTATTATAAACAATTAAAGGGATGACTTTTTTTAAATTTATGACAACAGCTAATTTGCAACCAAAAGTTGAGTGAGCGTAGCGAACGAACATCAACCTGGAGGCGAGTAAGCGTAGCGAACGAGCTAACCTGAAAACAAGTGAGCGCAGCGAACGATTTCCCTACCTGAAGGTGAGTGAGCGTAGCGAACGAACTTCAACCAGGAAGTGATTGAGCCATGCGAATACTTATGAAGTTAAGCGGGCAAAGCCCGCGGGTACAGCTAGTATATTCATAAACCAACTACAACAGTTTATTTATTCAAGAATATTAGGAGATCCATAAGAATAAAGTAGTAATTTTTAACTAATACTTTTTTTAATTTTCTCTACAACCGTTAGGCATACAGTAACGCTTCAATATTCTAATTCCAAGCTCTAAAAAATGGTTTAGACAGAAATTTGAAAATTTTATGTTTCCTGGGTCAAAAGAGGGAAAACCCAATTTTTACACCATAAAACCCCTGTTCCCATAGTCCGATTGATCATGCTGGTTTGCCAACTCGTTCGGATAAACGTAGGTTTACACACTTGCACCAAAATTCATCAAAATGGGATCATTTTTGCTCCAGTTATCACGCCATAACAGACACATATATATGAATGAGAACAGAGGTTTTTTTGCCTCTGGGGACCTCCAAACAAAAACGTAAATCGGTCCCGGGTCCAGGTTTTACCATCAGACCTGAGGTAATAGCTTATTCCCTAAACAGGTAATTGGCTAATAAATGGTATCAGCAAACTGACACATTCACCCCTTATAATGGGTAGAGGGGAGTAACTTCGACATTTTATGGGGAAAATCATAAAGATAATATTGAAATATGTATTAACAGATAACAATGGAGTACAATAGGTACAACAATGAACTAATACAAACTCAAAACCCATAAACTAAGACAAACTGTATAAATTGAAATTGTCGTACATTTGTGAAAAATTTGGAAAAATGCTACAATAGTCGGGGTTACGGCCGAATAGAGCATTGAAAGGTCCCCTGAAATCCACCCATCATTGGGGATTTCCATGACTTTTTGCCTATTTCCATGACTTTCAATGACCAGATGTTTTTTCCATGACTATCCCTGACTTTCCAGAATGTGGAAACCCTGTAATAAATCTATTTAAAAACACTAGACAAACCTCATCAGAACTGATATCAGCCATATCATCGTCACTTTCCAAAACACTCTCACTTGTTTGTACCTCAATATCAAACCAGGTCTGGAGCACCTGTAAAAGATGAAACCTGAAATAAATCAGAAATAATACACTTACTCTCTTACTATCATGCAAGTTACTATTAAATACATTCATCAATTACAAGCATCCGGATGTACAAAAGGAAATTGAAATTACCTGTACTTTTTTGTCACAATTAATTTGTCCCTCTACTAGATCATAAGTTTTAAAATGACACATCAATTGTAAAAATCGGTTAAGTAGGATGGGTGAAAAAGGGATGTTACCGAAAAAACCATTAGTCCTGAAACTGAATCAGCTGTTACCATTTCAGTATGCTACTGTTTATTTTGGCTAATACTGTAGGTATATAATAATAGATTAGATTTTAGATTTGTTTTTAAATAAAAATGAGTTCTTAAAGGTGAAAAATCCTTGAACCAACCTGTAGAAGAATCACGTGGCTCTGTGTTGCCAAATATTTTTTTAGAGCTGCCATGGTAGTAGTGCTGATTTTCATTTGATACTTACATGACCTAAAACATACAGACAAGTTTAGTTTGTTTACGACTTATTAATTAAAGTGCATGTTGAAATCAATTATCCGTACCTGTGTCACATTTATTATTCCGTCGCTTGCAATACAAAGGGGGTTAGTACATATTACATACGTACTTATGCCCTTTCGTCTTGCAAGCAACAGTTCATATGACGAGCACTAAATAACCACAATAATATGATACAAATTTAAGTTATTCAATGATAACAGGTTTATGCTGCAAACAATAAATATAACTGGATTGTCCCTAATAATCTAGTGACATTTACTGCCAATGGTGATGCTATTAAACAATACAACCAGAGTAAAAAATTTAAACACGTCAAAATTATGATATATTGTTTAAGTAAACCAGATGATAACAAGTAAGTAAACATTATAGTAGTTTACGTAAAGATAGTGTTAACGAAAAGAATAGAAAATTTAAGGTACGAGCCTTTTCCAAACTACTGTTCTCAATCCAAGAACATCATTGGTCCGTTACCCATGTTGTTATGAGTGCTGTTATGAAAGTGAAAAATGCTGTTATGTGAAACTTTTCAATTCTAAGAACTGAAATAAAACGGCTAACTTATTTTGGTAGGCCTACAAGTAATTTCACCTTGAAAAAAAAAAACAGAACTAGAAGCTACTAAAATTACCGGCTAATCTTTAATTACCCACTTTAGTAGAGAAGAACATAACCTTGGAGGTGTAGCAATATATTCCAAGGAAACCCTTGCTGATACAGTATCAGCTATGGACATATCAAACACATGCCAGGAGTTAATTTTTGAAGTAGCAATGATTCGCATGCAGGCAACAAATAAAAAGGATATCTACATTCTGGGAATCTATAGACCACCAATAGAAAATGCAAGAATTGCCCTTGATCTCCTATCTGACACGCTAGAACTACAAGAAGTACTCAAGAAAAACCTCATACTCATCGGTGACATAAATATTGACAGGCTCACCCAAAATTCCAAAAACACCATGCTGGAAGAAGAGTTAACCACACAAAACATCTGGAGATTTCCTCTAGAGGCCACCAGAATAACCAGCCACAGCCACTTCCATAGACTGTATATGCTCAAACATACCACATACGTATATTACTGGACAAGTTGTGCATACTGGTCTATCTGACCACACTGCGCAGCTGTGCCTGTTGAAAACACACCAAGAAGACACTTCCCTAAGATTTGTAATGAAAATGAGCCTAAACAACACAAACCTAAACAAACTGAAGGCTCACCTCCATCTACAAAATTGGGAACATGTTTACTCTTCACCCAATCCTGAAACCTCCTACAACAAATTTCATAATATTCTCCAAACAGCACTAGATTATGCATGCCCATTAAAGAAAACTAAAATTAGTACAAACAAAAAACATAAGAAGTACTACAATCCCGAAGCAAAATACCTTAAAGAGAACTTTTTGAAGGCTATGCAAAAGTTTGAGTTAACAAACAGAAATGAAGGCAAAGTAGAAATGATTAATAGAAAAAGGATATACGACATGAAACTAAGAAACCTAAAAATGTCCCCAACAGCTAGCTTCATAGAACAAGCTGACAACAAACCAAAAGCGCTATGGCAAGTTATAAACAAGGAAAGGAAAGGAAAATGTGAAGAGAAAACCCTTACAGAATTAGAAATAAATGGCAAACTCACAAACGACACAAAAGAAATGGCCGAACACTTCAACAAATTCTTCTCAAATATAACAGAAAATACCCTTGACCAAAACTGAGCAATCATTATAGACCCTGAAACAGTGCTGAATGGAGAGGAACCAGTCCGTCCAATACACCTTACCTTAACTTCAACATCCTATAAAGAAGTTGAAACGATAATAAACTCCCTAAAATCCAAAACATCAAGTGGAATAGATGAGTTTTCCTCTAAGATGATAAAGCACTGCTCCCAAGAACTCATCTCTCCTCTGGTTTATCTTATAAATAAATCATTTAGAAGGCAAATTCCCATCCACCATAAAAGTCAGTAAAATATATCCCAAACATAAAAAAGGACCAACTGAAAATGCTCAAAACTACAGACCCATCTCTCTCATCTCCAGTTTCTCTAAAATCATAGAAAAAATAGCTCTGGCTAGAATAATGGCACATCTTAATCATAACAAACTCTTAACTGACAACCAATATGGCTTTCGGAAGAATAAATCCACCTCCTCAGCTATAATAGCCCTAATTGAGTTTGTCCTAGACCAGATAGAAAACAAACAATACATTTCTGCCATTTTCCTTGACTACAGTAAGGCTTTTGACTGCCTGGGCCACGACCTGATATGTAAGAAACTCGAAACCCTCGGTATAAGAAACTCAGCGCTAGAATGGTTCAAAAGCTACCTAACAGTACGTTCACAAGTCGTGGAACTGAAAAACTCATCAAATGAAGTCACAGCAAGTTTCAAATCTTCAAAAAGCAAGCTGACAAGAGGAGTTCCACAAGGCTCTGGATTAGGCCCGATTCTATTCATCCTATTGCCTAATGACTTCCCCAAACAAATTGAGAGTGAAAATGCTGTTGCAATCATGAATGCAGATGACACAACCATTTTGATCAAGGACAACACAGCCCAAAGCCTGTACCTTAATTCAAAATCGATCCCAAATAAAGCCATCCTCTACTCAAAGAACAATGACTTAGCAATAAACCCCACAAAAACTACAACTCTGAATTTCAGTAAGAAAAAAGACATAGTCCCTTAATTAGAGGATGTAACAATAGAAAACCATACAAAATTTCTTGGTGTTATCCTTGATAACAAACTAACATGGAAAGAGCACATCAACCACCTAAGCAAAAAAATCAGTGCCGGAATATATGTCGTCAGAAGAATAAACTACATAGGCGGACTCTCTGTGGCCAAAACAGCTTACCTTGCACTGGTAGAGTCGCATATTAGATATGGCTTGACAGTGTGGGGAGAAACTTCAACAAAAAATATGAATCGAATCCTTGTTCTTCAGAAGAAAGCCATAAGAGCCCTCACCAACCTTGTCCCACCACAGACTTGCAGACTAGCATTCGCAAACCTAGGAATCCTCACAGTGGTGTCTCTCTACATACTTGAAACCATAAAGTATGTGGATGAAATAAACCCCCCAAGAAACCAAGACCTGCACCACTACATCACCCGTCATGGCTCCAAATTTGCCCTACCAGTTCACCGAACAACTCTTTGGAAAAAAAAACCTTCCTACACCGGCTGCAAACTGAGGAACCGTCTACCTGACTACCTGAGAGACCTGACTGGCAACAAGCTACACCAGGAGTTGAAGAAGTGGCTAATCGCAAGACCCTTCTACACAATAAAGGAATTTTACGAAAATTATGGAAATTGACACATACAATTCACTATTGTATTGACACTATTGTAATTCTTAATGAATGGACAATTTAAAGAATATTGTATTGTATTGTATTTATATAAGTGCAACAATAAAATGTGTATTGCGAATAAAATATGCAAACGATAATAATTTAGTACTATACTACAGTTAAAAGTTTTTTTAGATAAACCACAAAATTGAATAATTTTATTTGTAGGCGCCTATTGAAAATATTAATCAAATTGACTTGTACTTATTGGACTCTTCAGCCACCTTTATTGTGGACTTAGTCGAGCGGGAGTAATACAGGACTGGCCGGCACGCTTGCGACTTGGGAGTCAATACCCAACATGGGACATGGACCCAACCCTTCGTTCAACTTGCCCAGAACTATCTGAGGATGTTAAAAAACATACAACTGAGGATGTTTTTTATTTTTCTTTTACATTAGTGTAAAATAAAAATAAAAAAGGTTTTTGGGGAAATTATAGTCAAAGAATGAACAATCTGAAAGGATCGTTCTAGACCTCTGTAGTAGTGCGAGTCCCAGAGTGTTCAGGGTATAGAAAATACCCCATAATTTATGTTGTAATGCAAAATTAACTATCACAATTAATTTAACAGGCATTGATAGGTACTTAATGTTCCTAAAGTTCATAACTTTAACACAGTTTGAAAAGTTACTTTAACACCATATACTTACCTAAATGCTTTAATCAATGGTTTGCTATCAATATCTTGAGTGGTAAATACTGTTGATAGTTCTTCAATAATGTCTCTGTAGTTTTCATTAGCTAAGAAAAGTTCTTGGTGACGTTTCAAGAATTTTGAAGTTGCTTGTCGGTCTAGTCCTCCTCTTAGTATTTCCAAATACAGGTGGCAAAGCAAAGGGAACAGCATCATCTGAAGTTCATGCTTACACTTTCCTTCTGGTAAGTCTACAATCCATGACTTTAGCCTGTAAAAGAAAGTGACTTGTATTAGAATAAACATAATATATTTTTAGATGTATTTGTAGATTTTTAGGTATGTCCCCAGGTTAAAAGTAAATTTTCTGTAATTTCTGCAAAATTTAAAAAACTTCTAATAACTTAAAATAGTTACACTTTATGGAAATATTATAACTGTTTAGTTTCACTATTTGCCCTAAACCAGAAAGGTAACAGGAAAAAAGCTAAAATCAGTTTTACACTGGCACAAGTTGAAACGTTCATTTAACACGTATTCAAATTACAGTCGTTTCTCACTGAACTGTCCTACTAGGCTACTTTCGTTAACTACCATACTACAGCGGTTCTTCTTCCAGTCTCTTATTTAACTGACATTAAATTTTTAGCTAAAATTAAAAGTAGCTCAAGATAATAAGTTTCCTCTTTTTCTAACCTCTTCAAGGCTTTAAGTTTTTCCATTAAAACCACCTGCAAGGAGGTATGAAGTTATGATGAGGTGACTAACATTGTTGTATGCAGCGTCAGATGAAACAGTGTGTGGTGAAGTATAAACACCTTAAGCCTGTGTGGGGGCTTTCTTTTAAGTAGGCTACAGGCGAGGGGGGGGCAAAAGGGGTTATCTAGACTCACCCGCTACATTGTTGTTCAGTTAAGTTAGGCCACAAAGAAATGATAACTTACAGTCTTGGGATTGTTATTGTCCATCAGATAATTAAGTTAATTAGTTACTCTAAAAGCAAAATAACATTTTATGATAAACTTGAAAGTTATAGCCTATCTTACTTTGTGAATTGTTGTTCGGCTAGTGTAATGTCATTGCTTATTGTGCTGAAAATTATAGAATTTAGTCGGGAGGCATCTTTCTCTACGGCTGCAGCTAAGGTCATTTGCTTGCAGGACTGACTTAAAACCAGATCTGATTTCCTGAAGTGATCCGCATCCTGGAAGAAAATTTAAATTAGATTACAGCTTGATCTTGTAGTTTTAGTTTTTGTTAGGCCTACCTAAATATGCCTACAAATTGTTAGCCCTCAGAATGGATGTACACTACCTCTGTATGTAAAATGCCTCAGTGCACTCCAACTACTATAGCTCAACCATAGCTTAACAGTCAATTATTAAATGAAACCGGTAACTTGACCCACTCGGAAATTGGGTTTACTGGGGTTAAACAGATTTAGTTATGGGTTTATCTCTTAGGTAAGTTGTTAGGCCTCGGCTTGATAGAATTGTGCTGCTAGTTACTACCATTTTAATTCAAAAACATGTTGAAAATATAATCATGTCTAGGAAAACTAAACTAAAACTAAACTGTCAAGGAAAATGATCTCTAGACTTGATGGGGCAGATTCAAACCCGCTGATCATTAAGCATCGAGTGACTCAGGGCCCAGTCATCAGACCTGCCCTGTTCCTTGGTATGTTGGGAAAGATCCTTCCTTTGCTGATGACACAACCATCTTTGCCAGCGGAAACAACCCCAACTAAGCCAGGACCGAGTATCTGACACCTTCAGTCTTGCTAAGCAGTGGTTTTGTCAAATAAACTGAGCCTAAACGAGGCCAAGACCCAAGAAATTACGTGCAGATTCACCCCTAACATGCCAAATGACCTAATTTAATGAGGTTAAGCTTTTAGGCTTCACCCTAGACCCGAAGCTTACCTGGATGCTAAGCCATACAGACAAAATCTGCCTTAAACTTGCTCGGGTAACTTTTCTCCTTGGGCGTCTGAAACTTTCACTGGGAAATAAAGCTTTGATTTGATTTGATTTGTCTAAGAAACGAAGGAAAAGATCTAAAGGTCTAAGAGGAAAAGATCAACTCTATGTGCCATTCTGTATTTTGAGAAAGAAGAACTGTTTCCCTACAAGCAATGAACCTATGTAACACATTGCCAGCTAGTAGCCTACTAAGAATCTTGATCCCTACAAGTGTAGGCTAAACAAAAAATTGAAAATGGTAAAAAAACACCCCTCTACTCCATCAAAGAACTCTTTGAAGCCATTAGCCCATGTCGCTAATCAGTAAAGTTTTAATGTTTTGATTGGCATTTCCTTTGTGACAATTTACTGCACAGTTCTTCTAATTAGTTTAGTCTTCACTCAATCTATCTAGCAATTGCTGATCTATCAAAGACGAAAAGAAGTAAGATATGCGTTCCTAGAGAGGAAATGAAATCACTAAGTTACCGATGGAGAAAGAAAAGGCAAGAAAAGAACAAAAAATAATCTGAAATTCATGTTGCTGATGTGATGCCAGCGGGAATAGTCCAAGTGATCCAAGTGCAGGGCCGGTTTAACCCATGCGGTCGCATATGGCGCTACGAAAAAGTGCCGCCAACGGGACACAATTAAGCACCACACCAAAGGCATTTATTCTGTTTGTACCAACAGCACTTGAAAAATGTGTATAAGTTACTTACACTCAAGGACTCAAGGCATTGATTTGCAGTTTCTATTTGTAGTGAGCTGACACTCAGCACCGTACAGCGCGGTGCCTGTGGGTTTCATTTCATGACTGACGCTCGAGATAAGCGCGCAGCGCCACTTGCCCCAAGTGTATGTATTCAATTAAAATTACTCTCTTGTCATCTACATACACCTGTTTTTCATTGTAATAGGCTTTATAAAAACTTATATTGTATCCAAGTTTTTCTGTAAAAATTGATTTCACATTTAGAAATAAATTGTTAACTTTGGGTTTTGCTTAAGTGGCCTAATGATGAGTAAAAGTGTAAAAATGTTAAATTTCTGTGAATAATAAACAGTACCAGTAGGCCTAGTTGAAAAAGTCTTTTATTGCAAGAATTCTTCAAACCTAAACTCTATAAAAAAAGTCCTTCCCCAAATCTTTGGGAAACAATTTTACAAATAGGGTTAAGTTAAGTTATGTTCAAGGGGGGTGGGGTGGGGGGGAATTCTAGGTGGCACTATTAGGGTGTTCGCTTAACTCTGAAAAATTCCTAAAACCGGGCCTGTCCAAGTGGGTACAGTACCGCAGAAACGCTGTGATATATTATCGGATTTATGTTAATCGATTATATGATATTTGGTTCAATATTAAATATCGCATTGAATTCAATTTTATCATCTGCTAGGCCTATTAATAGAAAACACTGAATTGATAGTTTCATTAGGTTTAATTTAGGCTATTAAACATCAATAAAAACACAAATAGATCATAGCCTAAGTTAGCTCAATTCAATGTTTACATAAAAAATTATATTGTAACTTAGAAGCAATGTAAGTTTAAACCTAAGCTTAAATTTATTGAATCGATTCAAAATCAATGTACCGTATTCCAATTGATAGGCCTATTTAAACCCATAATATATCGCAGGTTCTCTGCAGAACTGTACCCCTCCAAGTAAGTAAGCTTTGATAGGCCCTATGTTAAAACTGATTTATGATAAATTGGATGATGACACTTAACAGTTAAGTAGGCATAGTCCTAAGTGACTCACAATAATGAAACATCGCATGAAGGTTTACTAATCGAATCGATTGTTTCAATTAGCATAGCCCAGTTAAGAAACTGTAACTTATCCGGATACAAAAGAAAAAAATAATCAACTAATATTTTGGGCTGCACTTTACTTTAGGTCCTACACTCATTTGAATGAAAATATCGCTTGTTCTACCGTTTCATTTGATATATCGTTTGGTTAGTTAGGTTAGGTTAACCTTACCTAACTAACCAATCAATGAAACAATCGATATATTCATTTGAATGAGTGTAGGACCTAAAGTAAAGTGCAGCCATATTTTGTTTAGCAAACTATCATAAAAACATTAATTCCTAACTTGCAATTTAGTCTCCCATGAATGTTTATTTAAGGTTAGGACTACTTACCATATAATGTCTTCTTCTTAAGTACGAATTTAGAGCACTTTTTACCAGATCATTACCTGATCTTTTTTTAAAGTCATTTTCATAAACATTTACATACGTACAGTTCATGTCTTGGAATAAATTGTATTGTTTCTTGTAACTTAGTTGAGTTAAGTAATTAGCTAAAATGATTACCGATTACATTAGGCCTATCTACATACACGGAACGACCCGACCACCCGACAGGTTCGTTCGTTCAACGACGATTCACCAATCACCACACCACACACATCAGTCCAGTCACAGTTCCGTTACAGTTCAGTTACAGTCCAGTCCAGTCACAGTTGCATCCGCAATTTCTCAGTCAATTGTCCGTCAGTTGGTTTCAGTCAGTCTTTCGTCTCTAATATTTACAGTAATTTAGAGTCAAAAAATTTAAATTTTAAACCTATATTCTTTTAAATTATCATTGTCCATCTTGTTGATTGTTACAAACAGTAGGTACTCAAAATACAAACGCAACCATTTAAATAATAATAACTAATAACACTATTTTCTAACCTCAAACAGTTCCGTCAGGCGTCCTAACAATCAAAAAGTATCGTTGGAAAGAAATCTGAAATTGACTGACGGGACTGCAACGGATGAGTGTAGATAGCGCAATATAAAATCCATCAAAGAATATTTTTGTTAACTGTGACGTGCCGTAACTGATGTGTGTGAATCGACCTTCATTCGGATTCTGAACTGAACTGACTGAGACTGACGTGACGTGACGACTGACGAGTGACAGATTCAAATTCGTTCCATCCAGAGGGCAGTGCAGTCTTGGTCGCCTGGTTGGTCAAGGCGTATGAATATGAAATGAAAGGGCGTGTCCACTGAGCTAAAATTATAACTGGAGGTAGCACTGCCATGGCAGAAGTCTGTCAAAAGCGAGTCGCTGATTTTGTTAGGTTGGTATAGCAGTAAGTTTTCTTACCATAGCAATAACATGGCTTCTTATAACTAGGTTGGTATAGCAGTGAGTATTTTTGTCATACTTGAATACTTTTAATACTTTAATAATTTTCTTTGAAATGGCGAACATACAAAGTAGGTATTTTAAGCCAAGTATAATAATAGTTATAGCAATAATATGGCTTCTTATGGACACCCACCTCACGCAAACATGGCGGCTGGCGACACGCATCTTTGACATTCAGTGCTACCTCCAGTTAGAATTATAGCTCAGTGGGCGTGTCGGTCGGGACCACTGAGCTAAAATTATAACTGGAGGTAGCACTGCCATGGCAGAAGTCTGTCAAAAGCGAGTCGCTGATTTTGTTAGGTTGGTATAGCAGTAAGTTTTCTTACCATAGCAATAACATGGCTTCTTATAACTAGGTTGTATAGCAGTGAGTTTTTTTGTCATAGCAATAACATGGCTTCTTATGGACACCCACCTCACGCAAACATGGCGGCTGGCGACACGCATCTTTGACATTCAGTGATTCAGTGCTACCTCCAGTTAGAATTATAGCTCAGTGGTCGGGACCACGTAAGTTTGCAGTTGGTAGCAGCCAATCACAAGACAAGTCTAGTGCGACGTTGCCACATCGCCCATTGACAACACTTATTAAATATACAAAGCAATATTTTCAAATCAGCTGGTATTATTAGATTTGGCAACACCGCACGGTTCTCATTGGTTCATTCAAAACCATATGGTAAATAGGCTCCTCCCTCAACTGCAAACTTATGTGGCCCCGACTTGCGCGCTAATGCTAAACCAATGCTGGAGGAGGTCGCTTTCTAAGCGGCCAACCTATAATTTCAAATTTTGAAAGAACCAGACTCGACGTTCCGTACCCACTGGCATCTCACCTTGCGCATGCGCAGAAAGCTCTTGAAGCACTTTCCGAGGTAACTGTTACTTCTGATGTGTATTAGCTTCTCACAGCTTTCCGCTGTGGCTACGGCCACACGGGCGTTTTTTGACGCAAGAACGCAGCGTGAAAAACGCGAGAAATATGGGCAGCATTAAATGTAATGAGGTATGCCACACGAAGTGTGTTTTCACGCAGATTCGGCGCGTCTTCAAAATCGACCGCCGCGGGCCCGCAGAAGAATAGACTGGGGTGCATTTTTGAAGCTTGTTTTCACGCTCTGTCCCTGGCCACACGGGCGGGAGCAACACGCAGCTTTGATCAAGTCGTCCTAGCAAGTTAAAATAAATATAAATGTATCTAATTTTGTCCAGGATAGCGTAAAATATTTTTGGGTCTAGCCAATTACACAGTAGACCTACACGTTTGATCTTAAACATAGGTCGACCTTACTGGACCACTTAATAATTTGTTACTAAAAGGAAAGGCATTTAGTTGGACTAAAAAATGTAAAGAGGCATTTATGTAGTAGAATATTCAAAGATCTGACGAAAATCTTGTCATACAAATATTTATAGGCTATTATATTTATTTTTTAATACTAAATGTGAAAATAAAATAATTTTAGTGTTGCTTTCGTATCGAAATTAATATATTATATTCATTTTCTATACTAAATGTAAATAATTAAATGAAAGGTTAACAAAATAAAATAATTTTAGTATTGTTTTCGTATCGAAATCAATATACCATTCATATTTCTTGTTCACTAGTCAGAAACAAGGTTACTATTCCAGCCATGAGGAAGATATATAACAAATTACATGAATTCGTCAATCAACTGCGGGTTCCCATTGCATTTTGCCGCCTGGACTTCAACCGGCGTGAGAATAAGCTACATTTTACTGCGTGAAAAAAACGCACGTGTGGCATACAACAGCGGGAATTCAAGCGGCGTGAAAATAAGCTACATTTTACCGCGTGAAAAAACGCCCGTGTGGCCGTAGCCTAACTGCTATTCATACTCGACGTTCTGTTCTGTACCCACCATAGATCTCTATATATAGAGATCTATGGTACCCACGGGTACCTCTGCTTTCTTATGTAACAGCTATTTTGTTTATTAGCTTTACATATCTTTCTATGACCCGTGTTCCGTCCCGTCAAGTCTCTTTGTTTTATGTATTAATGTTTAAATGGCTTTGTTTTTAACAGTCCATGTAATTTCATCACATGACCATATCCATTGTTGCATTAATTCGCCTCGAATCACCTCTCATAACATTACGTACTCATTTTTCTCTCTTAATAAATCAACCTCTTTTTGTACCAAAACTCTCGACTTTTTCGTCTCTAGTATAATTAAACCACACAACCCGCCAAGAAAGATATACAGTAAACAAATAGCTGTTATCCCAGGAACTGTTCCGAGGCCTTTTCTGTGCATGTGGAACCATATAATAAATTATCGACTTTGACTTTATAATGTGTTCTGAATTCTGAAATCATTCTATACTCCATCAAAGTATTCAAAATAGCATTTTTGCAGTTCTCAAAATTAATTTCTTAACATTTTGTATTTTTTAAAGATTAAAACCACTTTTTTGATCATTTATCTTCCAAAATTTAGCTGCCCCTAAAATTTGCCGCCCTAGGCACGCGCCTAGTCCGCCTATTAGAAAATATGTCCCTGTCATGAACTAGAACTTTTATATAGTTTTTATGACAATAAATATAGGCTTAATAATTTTATTTCATTATACTATAATAATACCAAATAGCTCCTGATAATTTATTGAATGGCTTATGTAAAAATTAGTCTCTGAAATAGTGAGGAAAATAAGTCTACTGTCCAAATAATATATCCTCATTTTAATAAGTCAAGCGAATCTTTTACTACAATACAATTTCTATACTTACCCACAAGTTTCAAACATATCAAGGTTCTTTAAATTTGCAATAAAAATTTGTTTATTTACGAGGTTATACATGCTATACAAAATATGAACAATAATAAATTCAACAATACAGCAAATATGAGTTGATTTTGATTTATTTTGGTTCGTTTCCATTTTTATCGCCATTTGAGATTTTTTCTTTGAGAAGTCTCCAAGCACGTCTTGACATGGCTAAAAACAAACAAATAAATAGTTACTGTATAGCAAACAAATATTATGCCTTAGAAATACAATTGAAACCACTTTTAAACATGGGCATTTTTGTTTTGGAATCCTAAATAAAATTGGGTTTTAGGACCTTCTTTAAGCAAAATCAAATTGCATTAAATGAATATAACATCGCTTTAATTAGACTAACTAATTAGACTAACTTTAATTAGACTCCAACCTAAAGGTGGGTGAGCGTAGCGAACAAACCAACCAGGACGTGATTGAGCCATGCGAACGAGATAATCTTGAAAATTAAGAAGTTAAACGGGGCAAAGCTCGCGGGTTACAGCTAGTTTACTATATATGAATCCGTTTTAAAGTTATTAAACTATAAGTTATTAAGATAAAACATATGGTTATTAAATAATTTAAACCTAGTTAAAACATACACCTTGAGTAAAAACTAGCTCTTCACTCTTTTAGGACCATTATTTAAGCTCCAAACTGTTTTACTTTACGGCTTATTCAGGCTATACTGTACTGAGAGGGTCCATTATCATCACATTCATGTGTTTGGCATACCTGCTTCCCTTTAGCATTGTTGTCTACATGGTTTAGGGAATTTTTTGTCAATAAGACTAAATAGGTTTTCACAGACTCAAAGCAGTTTTTACACAGAGGAACATATTAAAAGTAAATGATCAGTTTTATGTCAAGGAATGCAGCTCTCATATGCAACTTTAGGTTATAGGTCTACATTCATCATTCAGTGATATTTTGGTTAAAATATGTCTCTCATAGGTGGTGGCCCCATCTAAACTAATTGATAATTGATTGATAACTGATGTACCTATAAAGGTAAAGATCAATACAATACTTATTTTTTCAACATGTGCAGCATCAGTCATAAACATGAGTTAACTGTGTGGGTGACAATGCTAAAATGTAAATAAGAAAATCAGCTATAAAGCAGAGGAAGTAGGGTTGCCAGCTTATGGCCTTTTGTGTCTGTAAACGGTGACTCTCTTATATATACTTGTAATTTTAAAAAACCCTGTATTTTCAAAATACTGCATAAAGAAATTTTACCTTTTACTCTCATTAAAGTTGGACAGTCCTGCTCTGAACCAACCAGCGTCTTCTTAATTGACGCAAGTTCCAATACACCATCCGTGTGTTTAGGCTGTAGTAGTACAGTGTATTGTTTTGTAACACATCTGCCGGCAGTGTTCATGTAAACTATCTTAATTTCCAGTCTATTAACATTTCCTACTCTCACATCTTTGACTTCCTTCAATCTGATTGATGTGTCCAAAGCATATGTGTTACATGTTGTAACTCGTATTCTCTCGACGGGATAAGACCTGACGACCACAGTAGCGACTCTCATACTTTCCCTACTTGTTGGTGGATGAGTGTGCATTCCGCATTTAACAAAACATTCATTTGGTAAACACACTATTTCTTGCTTTATACGGTCACCCACGGTCGAAAGTGCTGTTTTTGTTTTTCTTATGTCATTGAGGAACTCTGTTACAGCCCAGGTCCCTGATTGGCCCCAATTTGATACTGAAAGTTTATATTTTCTACAATCGGTTAGGCAAGGATTGTTTACTTGTTTATAACACAGTATCGGTTATGCTTTAATTCATTGAGTAGCAATTACAATTACAGATATCGTCGAAAGATATTTATGTAAACTTAAAGCTTTAAATATTTCCTGTTTCGCTCCCTCTAAAGTTTGTATGAACAATAAAAGCAACAACTGAATGATAAACAAACAGAATATTATGTTTATAAGATAAAATCAACAAAATAAAACCTCCTAAAGATCTCTTCAAAAGACAAATTTTAATACTATACTTATAATAGTATTCTAGATCCTATTCCATTAAGTTGCTATTATTATTATTCCATTATTATTTCCATTATTATTATGAGATTATTTTATCATATAAAAAGTGTTAGCTTAGTTTTTGTCAAATCATTCAGTTTATATCTAAGAAACATAAAAATTACATTAACCAACCCAAAATTTTTAAACACCCTGTGTGTCTCTTTCAATGATTAATTTTAATTAAATAACGTAACAAAAATTAAATTAACTTAGTTCTGGAATCTCCATAAATATTTGATTTAAAAGCAAATAAATATAAATTTATACTTACTATGTCCAGGGTGTGGTGTTACCTAGAATTGTAATAAAAAGAATTAGTTTCAAAAAAATTTACATTTTCTGCCAAATTACTGATCCAAATCTTCTATAATACGCTAAGCCAATTTTTGTGAACAGAACTCCTCCCTAATTTTTGGACCGATTTTGATTATTAAAGTGTCAAAAAATGTCCCTAATCTGTAGTTTTGCAAAGTGTTTTTCATTTTTTGAACTCTTCATTAGTTTGGACAGGATCTTCCATCAAAGTTGAGTTTTCTCCCATAAGATTAACATGGGGAATCTAAATATTTAATTGGCAACTTTGTCTCCACTAATTTGAGAGAACGGGTGGGCGTAGAAACTTGGTAGAGGTGTCCAAAGAAAGGTCTCGGTCTGTAGATGAGCAATCAAAAGAAAAACTAAGTTATTTCCCTTAGGGCTCTGCCCCAGAAACCTTTTAAGTCCCCTTACCAGATTAGTGTCTGCCTTTTTGACCACTTTTGCCAATATTTTGTCATGTTCAAGACAGATCATCATAGGTTAATGAGATTATTTTCATACATATTTTAAAAATTATTGGAAAAGATTTCAATTGTGTAATACAGTACAAAATGATACAAGTGCAGAAGGGTACGTTGCCCATATGAGCCGTGTCCATATTTTGTTAAATTAATATAGTGGTTTACAGCAACTGGATCAAATTTTTAATAAATTAAATGAAGAAATATGTGCATGATTTTGAAAGTCTTTTAACTGCAAAATTGCAATTTAATGCAGACTTTTTAGAGATGTTACTTCGATGTATTCATTCAGCTTAGTGAAAACATAATAGAGCCTTTGAATGTTATTAAACTAACGAAAAGGGTTGTGAATGTTTACTAGCGCTACTCAGCAACAAAAAACATTTAATTTATCTCTAAAAAGAAATTTTTTAAAGTGCACTGGCACCCAGATGGTAACATAAAAAATGCCCAAAAACTGTATACTACAAAAAAGGTTCAGGCCAGAGCCATTTTAATGCGCTTGGATTGTGACATTTATTAATTCGGCTTATATTTCTCTTAACCAACTGATTATTCATCTGCAGAAGAAGTTCATTTTGCTCTTATCCTGACTAATAACATCCAAACACAGAAACCTTGCCTAAAATAGTACCTATATCTTGACAGATGGTTTGCAATGGCCTATTACGAACCGTGGCCCACTCTGTTGGCCTTAAGTGAGATTTTTGAAAACAACACTACACATCGACTATAAAACAAATTTCACAAAGAGTAATTACCATTTAAGCAGTTACTGTCATGACAGAAAAGTCGTGTTCCTTTTGAACTAGATCTCCTCATCCTAAAGATACGTTGATTAAAAACAATGTATGAAAACGTCATTATTTACGTAACAATTTACAGTATTTTCTTTTTGGAAATGCAGCATTCCCCCGAATGAGTTCAAAAACATCTCATATTAAACTGCAAATTGAGATTTCCACAGAAGAAAAAAATTGTTTCGTTATAATTTAAGATCCCCTATCGCCTCTCATGATGATTGGAGTGTACTTACCATCTTTTATATGTATGAGTCAACAGTATACGAGTAAAAAGACATGTTTGAGTGTTGTTAGACATATTTTTACTTACTTTCTGTAAATTGAAGAACTTGTACATGGTGATCAAGAAGCCTTAGTGACTACAAGATCGCACCGGCACCACTCATCCTATCCTACACTCATCTCTATTCATTCTTGGCAACGCCTACCTTCGTATGGTAGCCATTTCAATTAGAAGTATTAAATTTGAAATTAAAAAGTATTAAAATTTATTTAGTGGAGCTAGTCAAGCAAAGTTAGCATTAAAATATAGGGATACAAGAATGAAGGCAAATGTCACAAAAACATCACAGATATTAACTACAACGAAGAATGTAATACTGTACCGGTACCACCATAGCATCAAGGTCGACTGTAACTCTACTGCTGCCAATAGAAGACAAAAGAGAAATAAACAGAGGTGAGGAGAGGTATCTAGAACATGATTAAGCAACTTATCCTCAAAAAATGTGTGGGAGGTGAGAGTATGTGTCAATTTGCTGATTTATTTTACTTCGTAAGTATTTAATTATTAACAATATGTGTCAGAAAGCTATTTGTTATCATGTACAATATTAAATGATAATATCTATATCAATATTGTAGCAACTGATTGCCCTCACTGTGTTAACACAATTTACTTACTCCATCCACGTCTTGGACTGGCCCTCTTTTTACGAATGTAGTAAATTTGTTGCTGGTGATTTCAAATTGTCTCTCATGACGATGGCCTGAATCATCAACGTAAATCAAGGTATGTTTTCCGACATCGTTAACGGATTTTGCTTGAATAGAGTTCCTGAAATCAATGTTTTTGCACCAATCTACAATCTGAACGTTATCTATTTCTACTCCTTCAGATTTACTTATGATTCTTGCTCTGGATGAAGGTTGTGTCTTTCCATTGATATCAACAGAATACACATAGCATTTTAATTCATATTTTTTGTGATTTTCACTTGCGAACTCAAAAGTTTGATATCCTCCCTCCCAGTTTGACGACCAATTGGTGTCAAAGTTCATTGTTTCATCAGGTGGTGAAATGTCCATGTCAAACACTACAACAATATCGGAGCGTTAACAAATATGTAGCTTGTTGAAAACATGTTTTAAACTTAACAAACAATAATATATATGAAACATCGTCTGACTGTAGTATAACTCAGTTTTAGGAAATTATTACATTTCAATTTACTTTAATATCAAAGCAAAAATGAAATGTACCTATCAAATGTCTGTTAGCCAAGGAAAACAAAATCTACCTATTCGAAAATATCATACAACCATTTTCAGAATCTATTATAAATGTTTAATTGCTGTTCATCAAATTTTACAACAATAAATGTAAAATAAATGTCCTGTTAAACTAAAAGTGCAAACTATGTGAACAAATTTATGCGTAATGGAATCATTTAAATTTGAAATAATGCTACTCAAATAAACAAAGTTAAAATTGACAGTTATATCATCAATTATATCATTGACAGTTATCCAAAACATCACCTCAGCAAATGCAGTACTATATGAGTCATTTCTTCATGAAACATAAACAGTTTTAGTTTGAAATAAATATAAAATAAAATAGAGAAATTAGCCAAATTTTTTAAGATATACCCATCTATAAACCGTCTTCTTAAGTTGATTAGAATGATGGCGAAAATATATATTTTTTAAAATTTTTAATGGGGAAAAGACAGAAAAAATTTTTAAGTATAAAGTCCACTCAAAATGTGGACAGAAATAGGTTGTGAACAAATATACGTTCTTCAACCACTTCTAATAGCATTACAGTGAGGGTGGCTCAATCAGTTTAGCGCCACAGACTTTGTTCCCAATGTATCGATGTCGTGGGTTCGGATCCTGGTACCTGCCACTCTTTTTTATCAGGCATAGGCAATTCACCACTGTACTGGACCCGTTCACCCTTTGCTTTGCTGGATAGTTCCAAGCACATGCCTATGTGGAGGGCCAAATGCAAGGTTAAAAGAGGGTGCCTTAAACTATTTATACAAAAATTGTTTCAACCCGAATATATTTTAATAGCTATGTCCACACTCGTGCGCTCAGTTTCAACACCCTTTCAAAAAAGGGTGTTGAAACTTCAACAATGTGTTTCAAATTCAACAAGGGTGTTCAAATTCAACATGCATCAACACATGCGTTATAGCATGCAATTTGAGGCATGTCTTTCAGCTGTCCACACTCATGCCTCACTTTTCCAACTTTTTAGATACCTTTTTCTAGATGAAGGAAGACGACGCTATTCTGATATAGGAGGAATTTGAGCTGCATATTTAGTGATAAGAAAAGTTCAAAAATGTAAGAAATCAAGGCGTACAATGTGGATGAAGGAGTTCTATAAAACTCGTAATTTTCTTAATTAATTTAATTAAAATTTAATTTAATTAATTTATATGTACAGGGTGTTCAAAAAAGGTGGGGACATATTTTACCCAGTGGTTCCTTGGGTCAAAATAAAGAGAAAATCCAAAATAAATCAAAAAATAAATACGCCATTTTGTATTTATTACATAAACATTTTTATATTTTAATATTTTCAACCGATCTTAATGAAACGTGGTATGTATGTTAAGGTAGAAGAGACCCGTGTTAGAAAAAAATTCATCTTGATTCAACCTAGAATTGCAAAATAATGGCGGCCATTTAAAATTTTAAAACTTGAAATACTAAAAAATGGCTGATTTTATGAAAAAATGTCAAGAACATTTTTATTTATAATTTTTAATTATCTATCAAACGATACCAAGTTCAAAAAGATCGAATAAGAAATAACTGATATATTACGATATTTAGTTGTTAAATGGGGTAGAATAAGGCAGCAGCTAGTCAGGTTTGCCCCGCGCTATTTACAACTAAAATCCTAATATTTTTATCTTTTTCTTATTAGATCTTTTTGAACTTGGTATCGTTTGATAGATAATTAAAAATGCTAAATAAAAGTGTTCTTGACATTCTTTCATAAAATCAGCCATTTTTGAGTAATTTAAGTTTTAAAACTTTAAATGGCCGACATTTTAAAATTTTAAGATGAATAAAGATGATTTTTTTTCTAACACGGGGCTCTTTTACCTTAACATACATACCAAGTTTCATAAAGATCGGTTGAAAATGTTATAAGATAAAAATGTTTATTGTAAAAAATACAAAATGGCGGATATCTGGTTAACGAAGCGGTTTTGGAAATATTGTTATTCTTGATTTTCTCTTTATTTTGACCCAAGGAATCACTAGGTAAAATATGTCTGCACCTTTTTTGAACACCCTGTATATATTTATTTATTACTTTGTAAGTCTCACAAACATACATGAGAGCTATAATCTTCTACGAATTCTGAGGTTTCTTAGTTATTCATGTTGCTTCAAGCAACTACAACACGGACGTCTTGTCAAAAATTTAAAGCAGTTGCAAGTTGAAACACACAGAAACCCAAGGCTGGTGGATCGCCTTGTGCTACGCTGTGCGCCATGGAATGGAGCTCCTTTCGACTCATTTCGGGCATGCCTTGACGCATGCGTTATTGCGTCTATCTGTGTCAAGGCATGGGCTAAGAAGCATGTACTTGGCGCACACAAAAACGCACGATTGTGGACATGTCTAATTTTATTTTCCTATTCGATACTGACCAACCCCTCTGTCATCTGGGTTGTTGTTGTCTAGATTGTCTCCAATGCATACAGCAAAAACCTGGAAATATTTTGCTGGGTGATTAAAATGTTTCATATTTTGTTGTATGTTGCTATGCTATGATAGCTTTAGTACAGTGTTTAAGAAAACAGCTGTTTATAAGCCTATTTTTTTTATGAACTTTTTTTTTTTAACTAAATAATACAATAATACCCCTGCCACAGCAAACTTGCAGATTAAGTGAATTTCCATTTACATAATATCCCTATGAACCTGCGTAAGTGTATTTAAAATAAAATTTTAAACATTCACTAAACAGGTAAGTTACAAATAAATTACAAATGCAGTTTATAATTGCATTTTGTACTAATAAAGATAAATTTATAATTTATCCATCATGTCACAATAAATATTGCCATTATTTTAGGAAACTAATAGGATAAATCAAAAGTTTGTACCTTTATTTGGTGGGAGAAAATAAAATAATTATTAATTTCAGATTTGCATGAACAAAATTTGTTATTTATAAAGATTTGGAAGGGAATAGGTGCACACATCATAACTTACTTGTTTTGAACTAAACATACCTTAATAAATACACCGATTGCAAGAGATAGGTACATGTTACTTTGTTATCGTAAAATAGTGAAATCGTGAAATTCTGAATGATATGATGTACAAGTGTGAGCAATTAATACTAGTTTCACCATATGTTTGAATTAGGAGTCGATGGTGAAAGTTGGTTTTACAAAATCATAAACCACACAGTGAGAATTTTTCTTTAATAAAAGTACAGTAGTTGGTGTAGTTCAATTACCGGTAATTCTAAAAAAGAAAAACACAGGTAAAAAGGACAACACAAAATCTCTTGTGGATTATAGTAGACACCTTTGAATGTCGAATTAAAACATGGAAAAGACATCTTTGAATAAGAAGTGGAAGGAAGTTCAAGAGTCCCAAAATAAATGCTACAACACAACAAGATACAAAAAACTGTTTTATTAAATTTTTGTAAAAGTCGATCAGATGATCTAATAACTACTTAAGATTCATTCATTGTAGTTGTTCATTTCATAAAAATACTTGTAAACATTGACAGTTGCCATTAAAAACTACCAATTTAATGGTAAAAGCAATTTAATAAACTGCACCATTAAATACGAGAACCTCTGACATCACTGCCTTGCTCTCACGGCCCACGCTATTTATTTATTTATTTATTTATTAAACATCATCACATTACATCAATTCTCTTGACAGGTGATTTGTCACAAAGTCTAATACTAATACTATACTACATTTTAAAATAAAATACCCCCGCCGCAGCAAACCTGCAGACTTAGCGAATTTCCATCTGCCTGATTAGATTTAAACTAAATTGTCTCCTTAAAAATATCACATTTATTCCCTATTTAAACAGAATTAGTTTAATGAGTACTTAGGTTTGCTGCAACAGGGAGGGTAAAAAAGTTTTTTTTAATGTAAAATATCAAAAGGTACTGTGGTTTAGTAAGAAATTAATGTATTTTCCAAATTTGATCAAAATATGTTCATAAACAAGCAAACTACAACAGTTGACTTATTCTCCATAAGAATAACATGGGAATTTTAAAATTACAATTTTTTTGAATTTTCTCCGTAACAATTAGGCGGATAATAACGCTTCAATATACTAAATTATTTGTTTTTTTAAGCTCTACAGAATGGTTTAAAAAGAAATTGTAAAATCTTGTGTTTTTAGGGTCAAAAATGGGAAAACCCTATTTTTACCCCATAAAACCCCCCATAAACCCAAGTTCCCATAGTCCGATCATGCTGGTTCGCGAACTCATTCAAGTTTATCCTGCCTTACACCTTCAAACCAAATTTTATCAAAATCGGACAAAAATTACTCAAGTTATCGTGCGGATGGACATATATATATATATCTCTCTATATATAGATATATAAAAATTTGAACGAATGGTGTTTTTGGCCTCTGGGGACATCAAAATGAAAAAGTAAATCGGTCCCGGGCTTAGGTCTTACCATGAGACCTACGGTAATAGCTACTTCCCTATAGGGAAATTCGCTAATAGCTTACAAAAGAAATAAAGCATATAATAAGCTACAAACCTATGGGAGAAGCAATATCTTTCAAATATACTCATTTTCCAGATATTCTTCTAACGAGTAAAATGCCCTCTCCAAAAGGGAATTTTTTAAAGATAGTTTAAATTTAGAGAATGAGGCAATGTTTTTAATCCCAGCGGGTAATTTATTGTAAATTTTTGGTCCTATATACTGAGGGGATAAATGAAAGATTTTAAGCCTATGTTGAACTGGTTTTATAATATTTTTGAATCTTGTGTTATGTGGATGAGATTGTTGACAGTCCATGAATGTGTCGAAATCACTTTTAACCAATAATGCCAATTTGTAAATATAAGAGCTAAAAAAAGTTAAAATTTTAAAATTAATAAATAAATCTTTACAATGTGTTCTACGGGAGACTCTGGCCATTAATCTTACAGCTCTTTTTTGGAGAATAAATATTTTTTTGGCCTGGCTTGATGAGCCCCATACAGTAATTCCATAATTCATAATCGATGAAAAATATGCGTGATATACTACTATTTGTGTTTCTAGATTAGTAGTATCCCGAATTATTGTGAGAACAAATGTTGCTGAGCGTAGTCTTTTTGGTAGGTTTTTAATGTGTTTTTGCCAATTTAGTTGCGAATCGATTTCTATTCCCAAATAATTTATTGACTGTTGTGAATGAATTGTAGTTAAGTTTGTATTTACAATTATTTCTTGGTTAATATTGGATGCAGAAAACTGAATTAGTTGAGTTTTTGCCACATTCATGGTCAGGCCATTTACTGCAAACCAATCCCCAAGGAGTTGAAATTCCTTAGTTATTGAGGCTTGAATGAACTCATTGTTTTGTCCTGTGCAAATTAAAGCGGTATCATCTGCGTATTGAAAGGTGGACATCTTAGTAGCATTGCATAGATCATTAACATAAATAATGAATAAACAAGGGCAGAGAATGGAGCCCTGAGGAACTCCATTGGGGTTAATGTTCCACTCTGATTTATAATTTCTCTGCATTTTTTGTAAAATAAGTCTTTGTTTTCCGGTCTTTAAAAATTATATGAACCATTTTAATTCAGTATTTTTTATTCCATGCATACTTAATTTTTCTATGAGTATCTCATGATTCACACAGTCAAAAGCCTTGGATAGGTCACATAGCACACCCACAGTCTTCTGCGATCCATCCAAGGCTTCTGCAATGTAGTTAATCATTTTTGTTATGGATTTTTCAGTACCGAGTTCTGGGCGGAAACCAAACTGTGAAGGATTTATTAAATTATTGCTTTCTAAATATTCTGTTAGTTGAATCTTTAAAATTTTTTCAAAAATCTTTGAAAAACAAGGCAGAAGGGCGATGGGGCGGTAGTTAGAGGGATCGTTGACATCGCCCTCTTTGAACAGAGGTTTAATCTCAGCCAACTTTAGCTTATCAGGAAAACCCCCCCCCCCCCTCAAGGGACTGATTCACTATTTGGCATAATGGATGTTCTATAAATTTAAAAACTTTTTTAATGACAAATACCCCCGCCGCAGCAAACCTGCAGACTTAGCGAATTTCCATCTGCCTGATTAGATTTAAACTAAATTGTCTCCTTAAAAATATCACATTTATTCCCTATTTAAACAGAATTAGTTTAATGAGTACTTAGGTTTGCTGCAACAGGGAGGGTAAAAAAGTTTTTTTTAATGTAAAATATTAAAAGGTACTGTGGTTTAGTAAGAAATTAATGTATTTTCCAAATTTGATCAAAATCCTACTAATATTATAAATGAGAAAGTTTGGATGTATGGATGTATGGATGTATGGATGTATGTTTGTGACAAGTGAACGCGAAAAATACTGGTCGGATTGGGCTGAAATTTGGCATGATGATAGCTCACATTCCCGATTAACATATAGGCATATTCTTATTTCAAAAATCCTTTCGGGCTCCGCCCCAGTGGCTCTGGAGTTTCCCATGTTAACCTTATGAGAAATGGAATTATTGAATCTTAACAGCTGTTTCAATTAAACAAGTTGGTTCTGTTCTATGATGTTCAATAGCATTAAAGTTACAAGGATTACCAACAGGGTGCAGCACTATTATTTCTTTTACATTTACATAATTTATGACAACAGCTAATTTGCAACCAAAAGGTGAGTGAGCGTAGCGAACGAACTTCAACCTGGAGGCGAGTTAGCGTAGCGAACGAGCTAACCTGAAGGCAAGTGAGCGCAGCGAACGAGCTCCAACCTAAAGGTGAGTGAGCGTAGCGAACGAGCTCCAACGTAAAGGTGAGTGAGCGTAGCGAACGAGCTCCAACCTAAAGGGGAGTGAGCGTAGCGAACAAACTTCAACCAGGACGTGATTGAGCCATGCGAACGAGATAATCTTGGAAATTAAGTAGTTAAACGGGGCAAAGCCCGCGGGTTACAGCTAGTATGTTCATAAACAAGCAAACTACAACAGTTGACTTATTCTCCATAAGAATAACATGGGAATTTTAAAATTACAATTTTTTTGAATTTTCTCCGTAACAATTAGGCGGATAATAACGCTTCAATATACTAAATTATTTGTTTTTTTAAGCTCTACAGAATGGTTTAAAAAGAAATTGTAAAATCTTGTGTTTTTAGGGTCAAAAATGGGAAAACCCTATTTTTACCCCATAAAACCCCCCATAAACCCCCGTTCCCATAGTCCGATCATGCTGGTTCGCGAACTCATTCAAGTTTATCCTGCCTTACACCTTCAAACCAAATTTAATCAAAATCGGACAAAAATTACTCAAGTTATCGTGCGGATGGACACATATATATATATATATATATATATCTATATATAGATATATAAAAATTTGAACGAATGGTGTTTTTGGCCTCTGGGGACATCAAAATGAAAAAGTAAATCGGTCCCGGGCTGAGGTCTTACCATGAGACCTACGGTAATAGCTACTTCCCTATAGGGAAATTCGCTAAAAGAGGAATTTCACCCCAACCTGAGGACTTAGTGTTACTGAGAGATGTAACAACTACTACTACTACTACTACTGATGAGCAACTTACTACTACTACTTACTTACTTACGCTACTTGCTGAGCAACCGACTCACCAGTCACCAGCATATAAATGCACTTAAGACTCTGACTTTGATGAATAATTTGACTCTGTACCTAGTTCAAAGAGTTTATTTGATGTTTGATCATAATTTCTTCTTATTTCTAGCTATCTATCTTCGATGGAACATATTCTTAAAGAAATTAGAAAATGGTCCATCAGATTTTGGTCCTCTTGCTCCAGGATCTGTAGGGCCACCGGGGCCGTACGAACTTTGACCCCACTTTGGACCCTCATGGCCGTAGGAGCTTTGACCCCACTTTTGACCCTCTTGGCCGTAGGAACTTTGACCCTCCTTTGGACCCCCATTTTTGTATTGGTAATCAAAACCTCCCCCAGGTTTCTCCTTGTAGTAGTGGTGATGATGGTGGTGCACGACTCTCGGGGATGGGTGGTGGTTACGACTCATCAACATTGCCAAGAGCAAACCCAGGCTGCCTAGTCCGAATCCCCCTGTGTATCCGAAAAATCCGGGGCTGAAGCCAAAGCCAACCTGGGGTCCAGTGTTGTAGTCATCATAGTAAGATGAACTGTAGCCGAATGAGGCAACATTGCAGCTGCTGCTGATGGATAGAAAACACGCTGATATCTGGAATATAAAGTATACTTGATAGTCATCAGAACAACTTATGCCTTAATGTTGGTCTATTTTTTAATGTTTCTTGGTTGTTACACAGTGTGTCCAGTAAGTAAAGAGCTAAGCCCTGTTAAATGCTATGTTTTGTAACATTGTGATTGGAGTCACTCGATTTCATGAAATATGACTTTAAGAACTTTAAAGTCCGACATTTTGAAATTTTAGATCTGTCCAAGCTAAATTTTTTTTAAAGAATTATTTGTTAACTAGTATTTGTAAAGTACAAAATGGCATAGTAAAAAAGTATTTTTGGGGAAAATGTCAAACATTATTACTCTACTTTGACCCTTTTTTTAAACCGTTTCCTGAGGTATTGCTTTTTACTTACCGGACACCATGTATGTTTTTATATTTACTGACACATTTCCATTTCCTCAACTGAAACTAAGTTTTGTTATGGTGGTTACAAAATAGACAAAAACACTCAAGAGCCAAACAATAAATTATAATAGAGTTAAAATATAGACAGCTATCACATCATGTATGTAAATTTTATCTGTATTTATATAAGTCTGAATAGGATAAGATACAGTCATATTTGTATTTATAATCCTTATTGGGAGAAAGCACAAGTTCTTTCCAAAAAAATCAATCAATATGAGCAGTAGTGTTTTATCATAATAGAGCATCACACTATAACAAAACTATGGGTGAATATATGTAAATACCCAATAAATGGTTTGTTGGTTAGCTTCCATGCCAAAACAACTTTTATAAGGGATTATTGAATGTACCTATTTGAAAGAAAACACTCCTCAAAATCCACCAGTTGATTTTTTACATTAATTGTACTTGTATCACAAGTAATTTTTAAAAATTACCTGTTTAAAAAAAAAAAATCCAATTTCAGAACATATTTTATAAAAGCTTTTGTACAAACAAACAAAAATATTTCAAAACATTTATTTAAATAAAAAAATATATTTTCAACATTTAAAAAAGTTTTTTTTCCTATTACAGGGGCCAAATAAATTAGCATATATGTCTTACTCTATATCACACATACAACAAGTTTGACATACATTTAGTTAAGTTTAAGTAATAAATTATGCTTATTAGAGGACAATTCATATTTTCAATTTAAAATTTGGATAAAAATAATATTCCTGAATTTAGCTTTACTCAACAGCCTACGTACCACAACCAGATAATGTATCTTCATTTTCTAAAAAAAAAAACAGAAATCTTAAATTAAATAAACATTTGTACAATTACACTAAATCGTTCCAAAGCACTTGTTGACCACTGTACACCTCATTAAAACGGTCAGTTATCTTATATACAATCTGGATGACTATAAATGACAGAGTTGATGAATCATATCAGATTACAAAAATATTTTTCATTTGTATGTATCTATGCACGCAAGCAAAGTCAAATATCTACCTCTTTTGTATAATGATACACAAGGGCAAACGAATTTTTGTAAATTAATGCAGAGTACCGTACCTGGGGACTGATGTGATTAATCACAATGGACTATTAATTAGGGTGATGTTAGATAGTAGATATTTTTATGTTAGATATTAAAAAGATATAGGGTGCGATATTAAAAATCGGTAGTGATGCTGTCAATATAAATTGCAATTTATTTACCTTCTAAAACATCTGAGGATGTAAAAAATGGCATGCCCAACAACTTGATAAAGGTATTCAAAGTCAAATATGGCACCAATTCAATTAGCAATAAAGTAAATCTACTTGAAGACTGTTTCCATCGATATTATATATATATTGATAGATATTATATATATATATATAGTATATATAGTCTATATAGTATATATAGTATATATAGTCTTTATTGATATCGATGTGTGTTTCTTGCTGACCCATGTAGCATAGATAGTTGGGCCAACTTTGGCCAACTGTGGGACAGTTGGTCGATGGGACAGTTGGTCGATGGTTGGTTGGAGCTTCAACAACCAACCAACTGTTGTCCAACTGTATATCTCGTAGTTAGGCCAACCAATATTTACAACTGTCTACCAACATGGGTTCATTTAATGAAATACATTATATGCATTGCTGGGTATCATACATCAAGCCAACCGTTGTCCAACCGTTTTTCACTCCGTTGGACCAACAAAAGATACTTTTGTTGGACCAACGATGGTCCATAGTTTTTAGTTTAGAGGACTTTCATTCTCTGGATCTAGCTTTCACAACATAATTATAGTAATGCAAATATTTTTAAAATTAATATTCTTTAACTTATTTGCAACAATTTAAGGGGAAAGAGTAATTAATCATACTCGTATAACAGTCAATTATAATAGCATTAATAATCTAAAGGTAATTAAATAATCTATATTCAAATATACCAGTATCCTCTCTAACTCCCCCCCAAAAAAATAATAACTACTTATGGTGCCTTTAACAGATTAAAAGAATCATATTATACTGTGTAGTTTGCAATTGTCGGCTACTCTTAATTACACCACTTGAAAACTCTCTATATCAACAATCACAGATAGCTCAGTGGTAAGGTAAGAGGCTCATAAGTCGAAGGATTCGGGTTTCAAAACCCGTCTGAGCCAAAAAATTTTGTTCTAGCTTTTTTTCAAAATTTGTTTTTATAAACTATTTAATAAATATACTCAACTAATAATCATGCTTTTCATATTAAATCTTTATTATTTTGTGTTAAATAAAACGGTTGGTTGGATATCAGTTGTGTTATGGTTACTAGTGGTTTAAATAGTGGTTTAAATATGGATTAGTGGTTTAAATGGTACCTTATTCATGCAATCCAATTGTTGTCTCCACAACTAGTTTCAACCTGCTAGGAGGTCATCATCAGGTGAGTACAAGGATGAATTACTTCATATGAAGGTTGTCGGTAACATTTTTTTTACATTTACACAAACACATGCACAACAATTGGATTGCATGAATAAGGTATTTAAACCACTATCATAGTTATTATTCGCAATCCGGATGCTACCCACACCATAATGTGTTATGGTTAGTTGGCCATCAGTATTTTTGGATGGTTGGGCCATTGTTGGACAATGGTTGGTTGGAAAACAGTTTAAAGAGGTGACATTTCTACCGTTGGCCAACTGTGTATGGCTCCACAATTTACCAACGTTGGCCCAACCATCTGTGCTACATGGGGAGTTGAAGAGGTGAGAATAAGATACAACCTTTAACCCTGACATTTCTATCTGTATTTAAAGGAGTTTGGACGGATACGATTCGAGCTATGGTCTTGCTGGTTTCCACCTGCGTAATATTATGAGTTTTCACTTTATAAGTTTGCAGCTTTCTATATAGTAGCAGTGACGTAGCCAGGATTTCAAAATAGGGGGGGTTGACCGACCGGGGGGTCTGGTGGTATCCCATACCCCCCCAGGTAAAAGGGGGGCCCGGTTAATATTAAAAAAATATAGGCCCTAACACGGTGTTAGGCTCTATTGGCATTGAAACTAATCAACCCCAACGTCAATACAGTATGATTATATAATTTAACATTTCATTTAACAAACAAAATATTATATTTAAGACTGGAAGGGGGGGGGTCCGGACCCCCAGGACCACCCCCTGATGGCTACGTCACTGATAGGAGGTAAGTTAGGCTTCCTAGAACAAATATCCCTCAACTCAAACTGGTGAACAAGTGAGACTGAGAGGCAAACCAAAAATAAACGGTATCAGCATTCTGACAATACTTTCTCCTATAAGTTTGTCAATAACCTTTATCATGTAAGCGGCGAGAGTAAATATACGGAAATGGGATTTGTACAATTTTGTTCAGAATTTAAAGGGCTACAACATACTAAATTTTTATCAAAATCGTTCGGGCCATCTTTGAGAAAATTCGATTTTTCCTGTTTTTTATGGGTTTTTATGGGAAAATCCCCATTAAAAATCAAAACTTTTAAAAAATGAAAAAAACGCCTGGAGATAACATGGATTAGAACCTACATACCAAATTTGATCGAAATCGGGCCACAGGTGTAATCCCTAGCTCTGTACACATCCAGACACACTCACACACGCACACAGACACACACGCACTCAAACAGACACACACACACACACACAGACATCACTCCACGAATATATCCACTCAAAACTTGAAAATGTTGACGAAAACAATACTTTCTCCATATACTATGGTATAGGGGGAGAAAGTAAAAGGAGCACACACTTACAAAAAATACTAATACTGCCAGAAATAGCAGTGGAAAGTAGAAGAGTAATGTAGGTACTGTACCTATTTATTTCACGCTATATTTTATTTCCAATGTAATAGCCTAACGTATTAAAGGAATGAATAAAACAATATCTGTAATAATGTAGTAAAATAGGGAAGGTTATGCCATAGACTAACCAACACTTGGGGGAGTATGTTTTATCTATGGTTATGCCCCCTCTCGGTTTTAAGTGTATTGAGCCGTTGGTTATACTTTTTACATCCCTTAAACGGCTTACATTTTGCTAATAATATTAAATAACACTTAAAACATAATAATAATAAAATGAATAGTCTAATTATTTACTTTTATGACACGATTTGACGAGGGTGGAGCTTAATACACTTTTACCACAGACAATATAATACTTTTACGAATTGTTATTATACTTTTTTGTAGTACGTCCCTCTCCATGGATCGAAGGTGTTTGATGTTTACTGGCCGTTTACTTTATCCAAATGGTAAGAAGGAAACTCCCTTAATACACAAGTCATAATAACAAGTAATTTCCTACTAATAACCTTAATTTTTGCTCTCGTAGGAAATACTATAAAATAAAAAATTATATACATTGACAATGTGTAATCTAACTTGTAAATAGTTCTAAATTTAAGAAGCTATCGTTATTATTATAAAGTATTTGGTCAAGTTTTAGCTAATCTACTTCCTGCTGTTCAGTCATTGGTTAAGAAATTGACAGACGCTTGTGCTTGTGTGTATTGTGTATTGGTTGACGTCTGTCTCTGTACTGACAAGTAAACAAAGTGGTTTGTGACATAAGTACAATACTAAAAGGAGTTGTTTTTGTGTCATCTAAGGTAAATTTACTCTATATTTACTCTCAACACATCGAATAGACGAATTAAATCCGTGTATTTTTTATGGTTTCATTCCCAGTAGTTACAGTAAGAGAATTTCATTGCATTGTCGGTTTTGTTTAGGCTAAGCTCTCCATTGTTATCCGTCATAAGGTAAAGCAGCCGGTTTCTGATAATGGCTTGAATTTCAATGACATTTATTTACTCTATCAATTCTTACTTTGTATTTAAATTTGTATTATCAGTGAACATCTTCTGCAATTTGTATTTCAGACTGCACTAGAAGTACAGATACAATAAACAGCTTATTTTTCTTAAACTTAGGTCCTAGTCTAGGCCTAGATGATTACGTTATCAATAAAATTTTAAGTCAATTTGACACAAATCAGAGTCTAGATGTTTGCTAATTAATTTGTATCTTTAGCCTAGCCTATACAAATCAATTTATGAACCATTTTTGCAAAGTTACAGATGTCAGATTATTGAAACCCCATTAAGTTATCACACTCTTTCAGTTGTTCAGTTAAGATTCTTAACTATGTTTAACCTTGCATACATCAAAATTGATTAAAATATAGGTGGGCTTGTGTTAATCCTGATTCATAAATTGGGTTAAATTCGGTTTGAGTTAGGCCTAATCACTTTTATAAATTGACCACAAATTTCACTTTAACTGGGTGAATGAAATAAAGTTATAGTCCGTCCATTTGGTCATGATACCCAGCGGATTAGGAACCTTCTCGGGACTCCAACTCACCCGCTCGCCGGGCTGGCCGGAGACAAACAGTGACTCACCCACTGTCACAGTCCCACAGATCTGCAACTTTTTTTATTTTAATTTAAAATAAATTGTTCTATATAGATTTGAGTTCTACATGAAATTCCAAGGGTACACTTCCATATCTGTTGGCACAAACAACCGAATGAAAATATCAATCTATAACTTAGCCTATATCAATTATTCGATATAACTTATCGTTTTTAGTTAGGTAAGGTTAACCTAACCTAACCAACCAAACAATAGATTGAATAAAAAAATTGAATAATCAATATTACTCATTCGGTTGTTTGTGTCAATAGATATGGAAGTGTACCCAATTCCAAAAATAATGAGGCCCAAACATGATGTGGATATTTAGGTAATATCTACGATCTGAAAGTAGTTGGCCTACAATTACTCTGTATGGTCACCAGCTTTATTTTATTTATTTATTTTTTTGTATTTGATTTTATTTTAGTTTACATTCTAACGGACAGCTGCTCCATTTTGATATTTGGTACAATTTAGTTCAATAACATACAAGACTTGCTTAAAGCTAACTAACTTAAGCTAATTAACAATGAATCAGTTAAAATCAAAACAAAAATGAGAAACGGCAACATGGTGGTAAAAATGACAGCAGCAAGCAACAAAACGAGTGATAAAACATAACAGTAACAACAAAATACCCCCGCCGCAGCAAACCTGCAGACTTAGCGAATTTCCATCTGCCTGATTAGATTTAAACTAAATTGTCTCCTTAAAAATATCACATTTATTCCCTATTTAAACAGAATTAGTTTAATGAGTACTTAGGTTTGCTGCAACAGGGAGGGTAAAAAAGTTTTTTTTAATGTAAAATATTAAAAGGTACTGTGGTTTAGTAAGAAATTAATGTATTTTCCAAATTTGATCAAAATATGTTCATAAACAAGCAAACTACAACAGTTGACTTATTCTCCATAAGAATAACATGGGAATTTTAAAATTACAATTTTTTTGAATTTTCTCCGTAACAATTAGGCGGATAATAACGCTTCAATATACTAAATTATTTGTTTTTTTAAGCTCTACAGAATGGTTTAAAAAGAAATTGTAAAATCTTGTGTTTTTAGGGTCAAAAATGGGAAAACCCTATTTTTACCCCATAAAACCCCCCATAAACCCAAGTTCCCATAGTCCGATCATGCTGGTTCGCGAACTCATTCAAGTTTATCCTGCCTTACACCTTCAAACCAAATTTTATCAAAATCGGACAAAAATTACTCAAGTTATCGTGCGGATGCACACATATATATATATATCTCTATATATAGATATATAAAAATTTGAACGAATGGTGTTTTTGGCCTCTGGGGACATCAAAATGAAAAAGTAAATCGGTCCCGGGCTTAGGTCTTACCATGAGACCTACGGTAATAGCTACTTCCCTATAGGGAAATTCGCTAACAATTCAATTTAAGCTTTACAATTCAATAACAATAATAGTTAACAAAGAATAACAGTTTAAATTCATTATAAAAGAAATAACTTAACAATAAATTAACAAAGAAAAACAGTGTGGAAATAAATGCTTTCAACAAAGATAACAATATAAAGATAACAATGATAAATAAAATTGAAACAATGAAACAGTGGTGTAGACTTTGAAAAGAAAAACAAAAGAAATAGACTACATAAACACTCTTCTAACCCTTCGCTTGAATGAGGCAACACCAAACAGGAAGAAGTCAGCACCATCAGACACGCCGTTTCCTGCTCGTTGCATGCGTGCCACAGCCCCATTTGCCTCGTAGTTCGTGCGGTGGTGTAGTCTCGCAAAGAGGTCTCTTGAACGGGTGCACGAAGGAGTTTTGAGCTGGATCTGTCGTAGGATTTCAGGACAGTCAATAGGTAGGCTACTACCATTTAGTATCTTATGAAGGACTGTCAGAACAGTGATAGCCCTACAATCCTCCAGAGGCTGTAGGCCAAGGTCCCGCGACAGGTCTTCAACTGGAACCTGGTGATATTGAATTCCATTTTTTACCTCAACCATCCTGACGAATCTGTGTTGGATCCTCTCTAGTTCATCACAAGGTACTTCTGATGAGGGCTCCATACAGTTGAACAATATTCTAGGATGAGTCGCACCAACGTACAACGTTTTCAACTTTGTCCGACTTTCAGATAGTAAATATTAAGTACTGTATGGCTATTCTATAGTACTCTGGGCTTCACAGCCTTTCCAATCCATATCAACAAAAGCTTAAAGGTTCCAGATGTGTTTGCTAAACAGTATATAGGGAGATTTTTTTGCATTCTGTGATCAGGACCGGTCAGTAACCTTCTTTTGTACAGGCTGAGAACTTTTTAGGTAACATTTTAAAGTTAATAATAACTTGATAATAATTTGGTCATTTGTGGAACCCTTGATAATTTCTTCAAGTCATGTTTAAAAACATCAACTGCATCGTCATCTGCTGACAACTTCTTTCCAAATAAATATAGCAAATCCCATAGCGATTTTTAAACCTGCTAAGCCACCTGTTACTAGCATCAAATTCTTTTTATATCTGTGCCAAGCATTTTAGCCAAAAGCTTAGCCTTTTCTGAAGAACAGAGAACCTTACCTGGGTTCCTTTTTCCCTTTGTTGTGTGAACCAAAAAAAACAATGATTCATTAGGCCTAACTCTTTAAAATTAGTAGTACTTCATATTTTTACGATTAGGAACTGTTAAGTAATATTTAAAAGTTTTTCCTTGCTTATAATCCAGTCAGCAACTGTTGAAACCTGCAGCTACATTCCTCAAAATTTCTTCTATTTCCTATTCATCTCACAGCTTCTAGTTTTTATTGATGCTCATTACAACATGTTTCCTTTTAGCGAATTTCCCTGTAGGGAAGTAGAGCTATTACCGTAGGTTTCATGGTAAGACCTAAGCCCGGGACCGATTTACTTTTTCATTTTGATGTCCCCAGAGGCCAAAAACACCATTGGTTCAAATTTTTATCTACCTATAAGTACCGGTATAATATCTAATATATAAAATTCTCGTGTCACAGTGTTTGTCTGCAAACTCCTCCGGAACGACTTCACCGATCGTTATGAAATTTGGTGTGTAAATTCTGTAGGTATGCGAATCGGACGTAAACTATTTCCCGTTTCGAAATTCTTAAAAGGGCTCCGCCCCAGTGGCTCTGGAGTTTCCCATGTTAACCTTATGAGAAATGGAATTAATGAATCTTAACAGCTGTTTCAATTAAACAAGTTGGTTCTGTTCTATGATGTTCAATACCATTAAAGTTACAAGGATTACCAACAGGGTGCAGCACTATTTTTTTTTTAAATTTATGACAACAGCTAATTTCCAACCAAAAGGTGAGTGAGCGTAGCGAACGAACTTCAACCTGGAGGCGAGTTAGCGTAGCGAACAAGCTAACCTGAAGGCAAGTGAGCGCAGCGAACGAGCTCCAATCTAAAGGTGAGTGAGCGTAGCGAACGAGCTCCAACCCAAAGGTGAGTGAGCGTAGCGAACGAACTTCAACCTGGAGGCGAGTTAGCGTTGCGAACGAGCTAACCTGAAGGCAAGTGAGCGCAGCGAACGAGCTCCAACCTAAAGGTGAGTGAGCGTAGCGAACGAGCTCCAACCCAAAGGTGAGTGAGCGTAGCGAACGAACTTCAACCAGGACGTGATTGAGCGATGCGAACGAGATCATCTTGAAAATTAAACGTAACGGTACTTTCTTTCCATCGGTCTGTCTTAGGGGAAACCTATAACTTAGGCGATACGAAGTTCGCCGGGTCAGCTAGTATCTATATATAGATATATATATATGTGTCCATCCGCACGATAACTTGAGTAATTTTGTCCGATTTTGATAAAATTTGGTTTGAAGGTGTAAGGCGGGATAATCTTGAATGAGTTCGCGAACCAGCATGATTGGACTATGTGAACGGATGCTTATGGGGGGCTTTATGGGGTAAAAATAGGTTTTTCCCATTTTTGACCCTAAAAACACAAAATTTCACAATTTCTTTTTATACCATTTTGTAGAGCTTTAAAAAACAAATAAATTAGTATAGGCCTATTGAAGCGTTATTATGCGCCTAATTGTTACGGAGAAAATTCAAAAAAATTGTAATTTTAAAATTCCCATTTATTCTTATGGATAACTAGCAGAGTACCCGTCCTTCGTACGGGGTTGAAATATAAGTATAATATGCTTATTGCAGTTATACTTAAGCTTTGCGATTGCAATGGTTGGAGGACACAGTTTGATAAAATTTGCTTTTTAAAATTTACAGTATTCTATAGTATTACACATCTACCATAGCCATAATGTTCTACCATTTCACCAAACAATAGAGAAAAATAAATTATCAATTCGCAAAATATCACAAATTATTCATGAAATGAAAAACATAAACATAACTGTAAACAATCCTACTTTGACAGTTCTCATTGCGAATCACAGTTTTTTGCTGCTGCTTAGTTCAAATTAGCTGTTTTCATTAATGCAAAAAATATATAGTGCTGCACCCTGTTGGTAAATCTTATAACTTTTTAATGCTTTTCCATATCATAGAAACAACTTTTTTAGTTGAAACAGCTGACTAAATTCTTTAATTCCCTTTAAATATGAATACTTATAAGGTTAACATGGGGAATTACAGAGCCACTGGGGCGGAGCCCGAAAGGATTTTTGAGATAAGAATATGCCTATATGTTAATCGGGAATGTAAGCTATCATCATGCCAAATTTCAGCCCAATCCGTCCAGTGGTTTATGCGTGATTGAACTTCAAACAAACAAACAAACAAACAAACACACAAACTTTCACATTTATAATATTAGTAAGAAAGATAAGTCAACTGTTGTAGTTTGCTTGTTTATGAACATATTTTGATCAAATTTGGAAAATACATGAATTTCTTACTAAACTACAGTACCTTTTAACATTTTACATAAAAAAAAAACTTTTTTACCCTCCCTGTTGCAGCAAACCTAAGTACTCATTAAACTAATTCTTAGACATTTTAGTTTGAATCCAATCAGGCAAATGGAAATTCGCTAAGTCTGCAGGTTTGCTGCGGCGGGGGTATTTTTTTACATTATAGGCCTAGCCTACAAATTGTAAAATTATATATATATATATATAAAAAAATAGCACTGTAAGTAACCCGTTAATCTTATGAAACACACACATACGGTTAGAACAGTTTTACATTTAGGCCTAATTTACTTCAATCGCAAGACACAAAGGAGCAGATGCAAACGAGTGCACTGATACAAATGTAACACTGGCCATAGTAATGCAGAAAGTTTTCATGGAATGCGCAAGCGGGGGAAGGCTTGGTCAGTCGCAACGGGTTATTCTGAGAAGGTCAGTGGCCGCGGCGGCAGTGACTCTTGTCATGCCGATGCCGGGCCAGCTATCTACACCACGGCTGACAAGCTCTCCTGCTCATCTCATTTTCCAATTGATTTGATAAATTACAGTTTCGGTTTAACGGGGTCCGGTTTAAAATTTTAATTTTTAGGATAAGGTAGTGTGGTTAGTTTACTACAGCAGAGAGGTTTAATAACAAGATTTGCTATAGTTATTTATGAGCTGGCTAATATTTAACAATCTTGCAACAATTATCCTGCAGTGGTCTGTAATATCTCATGATCAAGGAGTTTCTTTTTTTCAATGCATCCTTGATAATTGTGTGCATAAGTTCGTTACTTTACTGTTGCTTATCATAGTTAATTATTTAAGCATTAACAATTTAATGCTGACAACTATAATGGATCTGTATCCCTCCGATAGTCGACCCATATTCTCCATTCTTAAGCTTCCAGCGTTTTCTTTTATTTCTCCTCTTTCCTTTAATGTTGGCCTACAGTTTGTCTACAGTGTGCACAGAAAAAATATAAACAAAAAAATCTCTGTATAAGTTATTCAGTATAAATTCTTTTTGTTTAGGATCCCTGAAGTGTGAAAATGGCTTGGCGATTTAAAGCATCCAAGTTTAAGAATGCCGCTCCCATCGTTCCCAAGCCTGAGGCTTGTATTAGAGACATTTCTGTGGGCTCCTATCAGACTTATGGAAACAACATTACTGCTTCTGCTGCGTTTATGGCCTTCAATGTTGACCACAACGGTAAGACTTTTGATTCTTTCTATTTTTAAGTTTAAAACTAAAACTGATTTGACTATGCAATTTTTTTTATAGGCCTATAGTGTGTATTGGCTTAGCCTAATTAAATAACTTTTAATAATTATTGTAGGCTCAAGTTTGGCAGTTTTACCAATCGATGACTGTGGGAGAAAAAGCAAAACAATGCCGTTACTGTACGCTCACACAGATACAGTAACGGACATGGACTTTTCGCCGTTTCATGACGGATTACTTGCTACAGGATCTCAAGACTGTCTGGTAAGTTAAATCAGTTTTAACTTAAATAAAAAAGAATGAAGTCAGTCTTTTGATATCTTGAACGGTTTTCAAGATATTTCCATCCACTTTTTGGACTAATACCAGTTAAACTGGTAATGTGATAGAAATCCAACAGGAGCTGGTTTGATCCTGGGACGGAGATCTCTTGTTGTTTCTGAAATTAAACATCATTTGTCGTTGGACTTGATGGGTAGGCTACAACATCCAACAAAATTTCAACGTTAAATAAGAACAAAACCAAAATTTGACTGTTGTCTTAAGACTATAAATGCCTAAAAGTATCACTGAGGTTAAAATAATATAACATTATTTAGGCCTATTCTGTAATTTAATTAATTATTCTTAACATCCCAGTTTAAGGTTTGAATAATGTTAAATTGAAAATCAGCATGTTCTGATTGTGATCTCAACTTGTTAATCAATTCAGATGTCTATTTTATTTTGTCTGTGCTTTTGTTGATTAATAATTAGTTGATTGTTTCTGTAGGCTATAGTCTAATGCAATTTGTTAACAATGTAGTGTGTATTTATTTCTTTTTATAAGAGACTTTTTGGATCAAGAAAAGCTGCCTATAGGTGATCCAAATAAAACTTTGTTTAATCAAGAAAATGAACTTAATAATGCTATATTATGCCTACTGCCAGTGTCATGTAAAATGTCCACGACTATAAAGTATTTGATTTGGTTTGTTACGTTGCACCAGGTAAAAGTATGGCACATCCCAGAGAAAGGATTGGAAGAGAACTTGACTGACCCCGAGTTGACGTTTTCCCACAAGCAGCGACGGGTGGAGACCGTCAACTTTCACCCGACAGCCAACTGTCTGCTGTGTACCTCGTCTTTCACAACAGTCACCCTGTGGGACGTCACCGCAGAGAAGGAATTGTATAGTACGTAAACAAGCAACAATGTAATACAGAAAAACCCCTTTTAACCGCACCCCTTTATACCGAAAGTTGGGTTAAACAAAACTATCATAAACAATTTAAATCAGTTGGAAAATGAGCTAAACAGGAATTGTTTGCCATGGTACAAGTTGTTCGTCCGGCTTAGCCTACAGAATGACGAAGGAGACAGCTACATGGCTCTCGGCTTTCATACCGTTATGAGAAAACAGATAATCATTCATATCTCAAAATTATTGTATTATGACATCTTACCTATATTATTAATTTAATTAGGCATAGTTTAAATAATTGTGTATTTCTAAATTATTTTTCACTACCGGTACCTATTTATTTATTTATTTATTTAACATCATCACATTACATCAATTCTCTTGACAGGTGATTTGTCATTAAGTGTAATAAAATTATACATTGAAAAATCTACATTATAAAAATCTACATTATAAATATAAAACAAATAAAGCAATCAATACAAATCTATGGGAGAAGTAATACCTTTCAAATTGTAACATCTCCAAGATATTCTTCTAGTGAGTAAAACACTACCTATGTAAGTTTTCAACCACAGTATAGCCTACCACTGTAAAGCACAGTTTGGCTTAGGACAAGGAACATGGAACATTAAACATTGTCTACAGTAATGCAATGGATAAATTACTGCTCTCTCAGAAATAAGTCATTCCACTTTCTTTTTCGCTTAGTTTTAGTTATATAATTTTTAGAATTTTTATGGATGTGAAGTATAGAAACCCATAACTACGACTATATCCGCCTGGGTGAAAATTGACATTGTCGTTGATTTGTGTGTTTCCTGTGGTAAATAAAGATATTTTTATCTTTGTCGTTTTGGTTGCGGATAAAAATCATATGTTAGTCTTTTGCCAAGAAATCTAAGCACTTCAATGCCCATAATTGAATTACTCTATTGGCTTTCTTTCTCATGATCACTGTTGTACTGTTCCGTTGTTATTGTTGTTGTTTTTTATACATTAATATCTGCTGTTTGCCCTTAGGTAACAGTGAACACACAGATGTAGTGCAATCAGTGAGTTGGAAAACTGATGGAAGATTGTTGGCGACTTCCTGCAAAGATAAGCAACTTAGGGTTAGTGTTGAAATAAAAACAAAATAAATTGCATCAGCTAACTGACACATACAATCCTCCCATTAGCTTGTCAAAAAACCCTTATGGTGGTAGGCGGTTGGAGTAACTATGATATTTTATAAGTAGAATAACAAAAATTTTAATATCCTTTGACTAGGCCTATATGGGGTTGTAAATTTTGTTTAGAGTTTAAAGGACTTAATATACTAAGTTTTAATCAAAAATTGGTTAAGCCGTTTTGCAAAAATCCAATTAGGCTAGTATGTAATACTATTTCAAAGATCGAGAATACATTTATCTGAAATTTCAGGACCAGCCTATTCCTAAATATTAATGGCATTAAGTAAGACTTTGCTGTGCTTTGGTTGGTTTGCAAATTTTGTTCTATTAGCTGTTCTTCCAAGCTATTGACCTGGTAAACTAAGAGTCCACCTTGTTGCAGGTTATAGATCCCAGAACCACTAAACACCAAGTGACGCACACAACCAATAGTCATCAGAGCATCAAAGACTCCAGAGTGGTGTGGTTGGGAGATACCAACCGAATATTGACAACTGGCTTTGACTCGGTTAGTCAGACATACATCCGGTTACGTTTCTTGGATTTTGCTTTAAAATTCATTAGGACATTATTTTGTTTAAATACTTTAAGTAGGCCTGCCTATTGAAAAATAGGAACATATTCAGAAATAGGTTCAAAAACAAAGAAAGAAGCTTCCAATAATATTATAATATATTTGTTTCCTAGAAGATATTTTGAAATGGTTTCATATGATGGCGTTTCTGCAGATAAATTAGGCTGAAGTTTCTAGTGGTCTGTGGGCCAGACTTTCTAACTTCGGGTTGGGTCCGGCCAAACATTATGGGCCAAAATTGGGTTACTTTAGAAAATATTAATAAAAAAAAATATTGTAATTTGTAAAATTGTAATGCGGTAATCAGTTTTTAAAATATTGTGCATCATCTCTCCCAGTCATATCGAGGACATCATCTCCGTACAAGGCGAAATCATGAACATCTTCTGCAATCATACCTAAATTTTGAAAATGACTTCAAAATAAAAAAAAAACAATTGTTGGGGTCGTAAATGCCTTCCCTGGGCAAGTCATAAGCTTGACCTTCTTCCGAGGTCATGATTAAATTGTGACCATCTTCTGCAGTCACTGAGACATCATCATCATCGTCTCCCGCAACTGTGGTGAAATCGTAATTTTTCAATTGTTCACTTCCTGCAGTTAAATTTAAAGCTTAGCTCAGCTTGCCCCAAAAATAATCCGCTCACATACCTCTAACATAAATTACCCGACTCCCAGCTTGCTCTGACCAGATCAGAAGACATCAAGGACCCACGGACCCCTAGAGGGTTCATTCGACAAAGTTTATACTAGTGTTGATGTTAGTTTGTAGTGATTGACAGTTTATCCTAATTGAGCTCATTGTTTTTTGATGCTTTGCAGGCTCGGCAGAGAGAAGTCTACATCAGAGATATAAGAAACTTCAGCCAACCAGAAAAAGTTCTGGTTTTGGATAGCTCTACTGGGTGAGAAAAGTTTACTCTTTGGTATATATGGTTTAGTTCTAAAATAATAACGGAAAAAGGTTAGATTTCTTAGTCATAAAAAGCAATATTGGTTGCCATTCATTAAATATTTATCAGCTAATATTTAGTCAACATTAGTAATTCAACATCTGGGGTGATAAGAGTGAGACGTAGGAATTGGCTAACTCAGGAACTCGCTAACTCGGTCGTGTGGCGGAACTGGCTAACTCTGGAACTGGTTAACCGTCTCAGTCAGGAATTGGCTAACTCCGGAACCCGCTAACTCGATTTTGTCTCGCGGCGGAATTCGCTAACTCTGGAAGTCGCTAACCCGGCCGCGCCCACTGCTCGGAGCGTTGCCAACCTTGTACGACAAAATAATTGTACACTGCCGTATTTCAAAATGTCAGTGTCTATAAAGATACAGTAAATGTTATTGTTTTTTGTTATCAATTCCACTTTTAACAGATAACTAGCCCAAAGTAATTAAAAGACAATTAAAAAATCATGAAAAAGTGTTTTTTATTAAACTGTACAATGGCCAGTTAAATGTTTATGATTTCGATCTTAAATATAAATGCCATCAGTATAAAAGAAAATAATAGAATATGAAAAATATTCAAAATTTAGTTTAATTGGTAATAAATAATTAAACCTCTACGAAATTAAGCTAAAATACACGCAAGTTCTTAAAAACGGAAAACAGATTTAATTGTAATGTCGTAATAAACCAAAACCATTAATTAATACAGTCATCAACCATCGTAACTTTCATAATTAATTCATAGATTTTAAATTAAATGTTCGTCGTTGAACCGTCCAACTTACGTGTACAAATATGATGACATAGACTAAGTTTTTATCTAGGCCTAATAGTTTGAACCAAAGCATTGTAGGCCTACTAGTAAATAGTTGCCTAATTCTAAAATGTGTTGAATTTTTTAGCAATAATGTTACATGTTTTAAAACGGTTTTTAGATTGTACACCTAAGCACCACTAGTAAAAAATAGGAGAAGATATAATATTCATATAATAAAACGTGACAGGGTTATTTTAATTCACGATTTTTAATAAACTAATTGACAGATTTTCCTGATTTGAGTGTTGGGTTTCCTTTATATTGCTTTCACAAACGATATAAACTATACCAAGCCATTGCTCGGTTCACCGTTCCCCAGTACTGAGCTACACAATAGACAATAGCTTTGTTTTTGGATAAGATAGAACCAGCCTGGAAAAAAACTCCAGACTTTTAAAAAGTAAGCCTACTGAAAGACGTAAAATTAATATTAATTCAACAAAATTAAGAGGATGACACGGGTTCTACACTAATAGCCTACGATAAAAGAAATTTACAAGTTGTATTTATGCATAGACTAACTTTTAATGCAATCCATGAATACATTAGGCCTACCACTTTATAATGTATTGATAAATATTTATTTAAATTCAATAGCTCTATTTAAAAATACATAACCACTACAATGTAATTCTGTAATGACGTTTAACCTGTAAATTTTATTATGATTTATGATTTAAGGTTACTACAAGCCCAGTATATAAAATACGAACTCAAAAATTTTATTTGCAGAAGTTCACAAAATGGTATTTATTCGAATAAAAGAAACAAATTGCGGACTACGAAAATAGATATTTCATAACATGTAATAGATCCAAATTAAATGTGCATTTTTATCTTTTTCATACCAATAAACTAATATTTAAGTAATAAACCCACATATAAAACATACTCCCTTATATTAGTACATTTCTCATCCTTATGGATGATCTGAAGACAGTTGTATTGTTAGTTCTGTCTGGTGCACTGTCTTTAGAGGTCATGTTTTGTTTACAATTGTTTCTTGTTTTCAGTAATTTAAAACCTCGTTTAACCAAATAAAACGTTCTAATCACAACTAATAACACGTCCCCTAGTTATATAACCAAACAGTAAGGAACAAATCATGAAGTTAACTATAAAATAATAGAAACACAATTTTGTCGACACTAGCTATCAGTGTCACCGGACATGAACTAGACACGAAAAACGAGCTTCAAAGTTTACAATGGGATGTAAAGTTTACTTGTGTTGGTTAGTCTATGGTAAGACTATAATGCATTTTCCACCCTAATAATCATAAGAACTTCTCTGTGGTTAAACATACTTCTAAATATATTTATTTTATCGACTACGTTGCTCTTACTCCTAATTAATCGAAGGATACGACATTATGGTGCCGATACGATATAGGTACTACACTTTCGGCAACACTGGCCAAAAATATTCGTGCTTGGCTCCCATTGGACGGCCCGCGAGGCTTCTGACTGGGAGTTAGCGAGTTCCGCCGAGGGACCGAGTTAGCGACTTCCGTACGAGGACGGAATTCGCTAACCCGGCTCTAGAGCGGGTTAGCGGGTTCCGGAGTTAGCCAATTCCGAAACCGAACAAGTTAGCGAGTTCCTCTCATCGACCAAATTTGAAGATAGGGCATTTAACATGGGGTTAGCGAGTTCCAGAGTTAGCCAATTCCGCGGACCCATAAGAGTTTGTTTAGGTTTGAGTCTCATGATTTTGTTTTTATTAGGGATGGACGGGTCCCGAAATTTCGGGAATTTTTCGGGAAAAAAATATTCCCGATTATCGGGACGGGATTACATTTTAATCGGGAATTTTTCGGGACGGGATTTGGTCCGATCGTCGGCGATTTTGCCGCTTCGCGAGTGCCGATGACGCCGCTATTGCGAGCGATAGGTCCGCGAACGCAGGAGACGAAGTCATTTCGACAATCGCGCCGTGACCGCGGAGTCCTACCGACGATCGCGCCGTGACCGCGGAGACATGCCGACGATCATGCCGTGACCGCGAGTCATACCGACGATCGCGCCGTGACCGTGGAGTCTTATCGACGATCGCGTCGTGACCGTGGAGTCCTACCGACGATCGCGCCGTGACCGCGAGTCATGCCGACGATCACGACGTGACCGTGGAGTCCTACCAACGATCACGCCGTGACCGCGAGTCATACCGACGATCGCGCCGTGACCGCGGAGTCCTATCGACGATCGCGCCGTGACCGCGAGTCATGCCGACGATCACGACGTGACCGTGGAGTCCTACCAACGATCGCGCCGTGACCGCGAGTCATACCGACGATCGCGCCGTGACCGCGGAGTCCTATCGACGATCGCGCCGTGACCGTGGAGTCCTACCGACGATCATGCCGTGACCGCGAGTCATACCGGCGATCACCCCGTGACCGCGAGTCATACCGACGATCGCGCCGTAACCGCGGAGTCATGCCGACGATCACACCGTGACCACGGAGTCATGCCGACGATCATGCGGTGACTGCGAGGCATACCGGCGATCACCCCGTGACCGCGAGTCATACCGACGATCGCGCCGTAACCGCGGAGTCATGCCGACGATCACACCGTGACCACGGAGTCATGCCGACGATCATGCGGTGACTGCGAGGCATACCGGCGATAGCTCCGTCACCGCGGAGTCATACCGACGATCACGACGTGACCGTGGAGTCCCACCGACGAACGCGCCGTGACCATGAGTCATACTGACGATCATGCCGTGACCGCGAGTCATACCGACGATCACCCCGTGACCTCGGTCATTTTGACGATAGCACCGTGACCGCGAGTCACAAGTTTCTATAGGTACCTGTATATTGTTACCCATTTTTTTTTGTTTTTATAGATCAGTACCACAAACGGTAAAAATTGATTTTGTAAGTCTTTTTTTTGGTAACTGCAATACTCAAGACTTTCTTTTTATGCACAGAAAAAATCCCGTCCCGTCCCGAAAATTGGGAAGGAAATAAAAATCCCGTCCCGTCCCGTCCTGAACTAAAAATTCAATCCCGTCCATCCCTAGTTTTTGTGGAATTTCTGTGATATAATAAGTCAACCAGTTTCAATACATTCCAAAAATACATTTTAATGTTATGATTTAGGCCTACTTAGAGTTTGGAAAATCTTCTTGTAAGGTGTTATGGGTGATAGAATTTGAGTTATGTGAGTTTGAAGAGCAGTACACCAGCATTACGTAACTAATAACTAAGTTTGATTTGATTTAATCAAATTTATTTTCTTCAGAAGATCATGGAGTAAGAATACAAATAAATATACCAATAGTTAATAACTTATCTTATTGACATTCAAATTATTAAGTAAGTCCATTTACTTGTTTAGAAAACTATATTTTCAAAAATGGGATGAGGTTGGCAGAGGAACAGTTTTATTTTTGTTACGGGGAAATAGTAAACGATAATATCTCAAGGATAAAAGCTCAGCTTGATTTTCTAACTCGGTGCTTTATCACTCAAGCTCTTTAAAACTCGACTCAGCTCGTTAATCGAGCCACTTGCTCTCACCTCCACCATCTTTGTCTTAAAGTTAATTTACAAAATAAATAATTCCTTACAATTTCTTTTCATGGGCAATGAGACAAAAACAATAGTAATTCTCACCCAAACCTTTGCATATTGAGGCAATAGTCTAAACTAGGGATGGACGGGATTGAATTTTTAGTTCGGGACAGGAAGGGACGGGATTTTTATTTCCTTCCCGATTTTCAGGACGGGACGGGACGGGATTTTTTTCTGTGCATAAAAAGAAAGTACTGTATTGTAGTTACCAAAAAAGACATACGAAATCAATTTTTACCATTTGTGGCACTGATCTATAAAAACCAAAAAATGGGTAACAATTTACAGGTACCTATAGAAAATTGTGACTCGCGGGTCACGGGGTGATCGTCTGTATGACTCACTGTCACGGCGCGATCGTCGTCATGACTCGCGGTCACAGCGCGATCGTCGGTATGACTCGCGGTCACGGCACGATCGTCGGTATGACTCGTGGTCACAACGCGATCGTCGGTATGACTCGCGATCACGGCTCGATCGTCAGCATGACTCCGCGGTCACAACGCGATCGTCGGTATGACTCACGGACACGACGCGAACGTCGGTATGACTCCGCGGTCACGGGGTTATCGTCGGTATGACTCGCGGTCACGGCGCGATCGTCGTCATGACTCGCGGTCACGGCGCGATCGTCGGTATGACTCGCGGTAACGGCGCGATCGTCCGTATGACTCGCGGTCACGGCGTGATTGCCGGTATGACTCGTGGTCACGGCGCGATCGTCGGTATGACTCCGCGGTCATGGGGTTATCGTCGGTATGACTCGCGGTCACGGCATTATCGTCTGTATGACTCGCGGTAACGGCGCGATCGTCGGTATGACTCGCGGTCACGGCGTGATCGTCGGTATGACTCGTGGTCACAGCGCGATCGTCGGTCCAATAATCGTGGTCACGGCGCGATCGTCGTTATGACTCCGCGGTCACGGCGTAATCGTCGAAATGACTTCGTCTCCTGCGTTCGCGGACCTATCGCTCGCAATAACGGCGTTTTCGGCACACGCGTAGCGGAAAAATCGCCGACGATCGGACCAAATCCCGTCCCGAAAATTTCCCGAGTCAAATGTAATCCCGTCCCGATAATCGGGAATATTTTTTTCCCGAAAAATTCCCGAAATTTCGGGACTCGTCCATCCCTAGTCTAAACCATGTACAAAATAATTGAATGTAATGGAATTTTCAGAATCCTCATACCTCTGTATGATCCGGACACATGCATGCTGTTTTTGGCCGGGAAGGGAGACACAACCATATCCTACATGGAAGTTATTGACAGGTAATCTATTTGCTATTTTAACATTTATATAGCCTATTGTATTTTCTTAGAACAGTCAAACAGTCAATTACACTGTCCAGTCATTCGGGCACACTCGGTATAAGGCCATAAATAGCCTAGCCAAGTTTTTCAACAAATGATTACACAACGGTCCAAGAGAGTCTGCAGTTGAGGGAGGAGCCTATTTTACCATGTGACTTCGAAGGAGGTGGCCAATGAGGACCGTGCGCTATTGCCAAATCTAATAATACTAGCTGATTTGAAAATATTGTTTATTATACTTGAATTAGTGCCGAAAATTAGTGAACGTTGCAATGTCACCCTAGTCCAGTCTTGCTATTGGCTGCCGCCAACTGCAGACCCTCGTGGCCCCTAGTATAGGTGTTAGCTCCTGCACTAAGGTAAGTCAACTGAACTCTATTATACCTCATAACAACAATCCTTTTTAATACAAAATGGTTTAGGCAATGAACCAGCTGATCTTAATCAGTAACAAAGCTATAATATTCATTGATCATACATTCTTCACTATTCTTCTAAAATGCCCACTCTAGTGTGCCGGTTTTGTATAAATTTGATCTAAAATACTATTATTCACGGGTGTTTAGTAAAAAATGTATTAATAAAATTTACTTTCATTGGAATATTTATTTTATTGTCCTATATTATAGGACTTGAAAGGGGTAATTTAATCAAAAGCTGGTACAAAGTAGAGGTTAACTATAGGTCTGTCAACAGTGGAAATATGCATGAATTTATTATAAAATTTAAAGGTTAAAGATAAAGATAAAGAGGTAAAGATTGCAATTTGTTATACTCGTAAAATTTACTTGAGAAGATGATTGTAATTTCATCTAGACAAAATTTTAGTTAACTAAAAATATTTTAAAGGGTAAGAACAATTTTGATGTTGCAATTTCGTACCTTTAATTTCGGGAATCACCTTCTGCGACTGAGTAGGTTGGCTTGCTCTATGCCACTTTGAACACTGTGCTAAATTTGACAGTGTGGCTTACTTGGTGACTAGTAGAACTATGAGCTCATTATCAGAGTTCCCATACGCCTACGTAGCCTAAATAGTTTTTGATGCTGCTGTGAAGCTATAGTTTTTTGCATTTTGCCCACCATTTGAATAGTTCTGAGGAACATTTTTTAAGAAACTGTCCGTTATGTTCTGACAGGGACCCTTACCTGGTGGAAGGTATTCGTCACTCTGGTGAGCAGACTAAGGGAGCGTGTCTGGTGCCTAAGCGAGCACTGAATGTGATGCAGGCTGAGGTCAACAGAGTTCTACAATTGACCTCTTCAACTGTCATCCCTATCACTTATCAGGTCCCTCGTAAGGTGAGCAACCAACCACCATATATTTCATGATGGAACATTAAAATGAGTCAAAATATAGAATTAAATTTGTAGGTCTGAGGGCCCAACATTTTTAACTTCAGGTCGGGTTGGGTCAAACATTTTTGCTTTGCAAAAATGAATTGCTTGTGAAAGTAATAATTTTTGAAAACCTTTTACATATTTTATTGTAGCCTTCATGATCTGCCACATATCCAATTAAAATTGTGAACATCTTCCACGGTCACGGCAATGTCTAGACCATCCTCTGCGGTCTTGGTGAAATCGTGAACATATGTCGCAGCCATGGCAAAATCATGAACATCTTCCACAGCAAAAACGTGAAAATCTTCTGCACTGTGAAATAGTGAACGTCTTGCGCTATTGCGGCAAATTTGTCAATTCTCGATTTCCCATCTTTGGAGATACTCTCTTCGATTGTGAAAATAAAACCTTGGTTTGGCTTGACCCGAGCCAAGTTTGATAAGAAAATCTTATCTAGCTTGAAGCGATTTCTGAGGCCAACGGTTGGGTCGACCTGAACTAAAAATATGGAGAACCCGCAGACTCTAAACTACAGCTATTTCATGCTTCTATACAGGGTGATTGATATAAGTGTGCCAGCTGTTTTATGAAAAACCTATAAGAGATATCACAAAAGTTAAAGGGCAAGTGCCTTGGATTTTTTTATTTTAAAAATTGTAGTCAAGTAAAAAAAAATATTTTTGCCGCCATTTTTCCAATACAAGAGTAAAATTGTCTTAAAATTACATTTTCTCCCGGAATACATCATCAAATACAGGGTGTTCCATAAGAAAAATCAAAGTTGGCGGCCATATTGGAAAAATGGCTGCTAAAATATTTTTTTCAACCTCACTACAACTTTTAAAATAAAAAATCCAAGGCACTTACCTTTTAACTTGTTTTGATATCTCTTATAGTTTTCGAATAAAACAGCTGGCACACTTGTAGGCACTTATGGCACACCTATCAATCACCCTGTATGAGCAACACCTCAGGTTTCAATTTCAAGGACGCTAGATTCCAAAAAAATTATTTTACTGTAAATTATTCTTCATAATCAGAAACTGACATAGATAAGAAAAAACATAATTATTATTTCATAAAAAAAAAAATTCTTTATTGTATGTTTGGTTTCCAGTCGTACCGTGATTTCCACGGAGACCTGTTCCCAGAGACGGCAGCTGCAGAATCGTTTATGACTCCGGCAAACTGGTTACAAGGTGCCGACACTCAGCTGGCTAAAATATCCTTGGACCCCAACAACAAACAGCTTGTGCAGGTTGGTGCTATCACTGTATTTCAAAATCAATACGTGCCAACCTTTCCCAGAGGATTACATGGTCTAGAACCTAGAACATATAAAAACTTTTTCAAAAAAAAAAATTCATTTAAATTTTGTCACTTTTTTATACATTTATACAAATATTAAAAATTACTTCTTAGTGCATACCTACAATTCTTTTGATTCACCCGTGGATATCTAAAAATTGGTGAATATAACTGCAACTCGCCTTTACATCATAACGTTAGGTTATTTAAACCCAATATAAATGTTATTTATTGGTCAATATTTTATTTAAAAAGATATCTGCTGATTTATGGTAAATTTGAATAAAACAAAGATGTTGCAGAAAGATTTTCACAGGAAAATATATTGTTTTGCGTTGGAAAGGTAGTATGACATGTTCAAGGTTACAACGCGGGAAAGTAACTCAAACCAGCTGGATACTGTACATACACCAACCTGCCTGTCTAAAGATTCGGCAGATTTATCCGCTTTAACATCTATAACCATTGTGTGCAGTATATCCGTCACCATCCTTCTACACCCAAAAATTAAGCAAATATACTTGTCGCCCATCCGGGAAGGGTGGATTGTAGTGTAAAACTATGTGTATACAAGACACAGGATAAGAATAAGAAATATTTATTTCCATTGATCTTTATAAAAGAAATAGGACACGTCATTTGTTATACATAATTACAAGGTGATTCAGTGTTTACAGTATACAATATATCTAAATTTAAATAGCTACATATGAAAATAAAAGCTTTATTTCAACTTACACTTCAAAATCTAATATTAATATTAGATTTATATTACTAATATCTAATATATCAGGTATAATATAGGTAGTTGGTGTTTGTAAATTTAAACCAGCTTTCTAACAATTACTCAACAAAAAGCAGTTAAAGTGTACATAACAAGTGTTGGGGGATTTAGGATAAAAGTAGCAAGGGTTTCCCTGTGTAGAAAGCTTAGTACATGTAATAATAGAATGCGAGTTTTTTTTTTACACAAGAGTAAAATTTGTATGCGTTTTGTGTATTGTTTACAAAATTTAACACTGACTCCTATATGGAAATTGTGGACCTTTCAGTATGTATTTGGAAAATGATTTGTTCTAAATAGGACCTAATTATCATATTGTGTTGTGACTTTTTACTTTGTGTACTTTTTTACCACAAATATTTATTTCTTAACTAGCTCCATCAAAGTCTGGAGGCTAACCAGTAGTATATGGGTCTTTTGGTTCAACTTTTATACATACATTATATTGTAAGAAATTACTTCCTACGGAGTTCAAATTAGTACAATCTGTATTACTAAATGAAATCAGTGTCATCTTTGACTGGAAAATTCTCATAGTAAAAATCAGCTGAGTAACCGTATTTTTCATAAATTTGATTTCATGTCATAAAGTTTTAAAATTTAAAAACAGGTTCATCGAGGACCACTAGTAGCAGTGGGTCAGTTGTTGCTAGAGAAAAACCAAAATCAAAAACCACAACCGATCAAAACAATGGAAACAGCTCAGAAACCGTACCGCAACAACATCGCTGCCGCTAGGAATCTATTCGAGAAGGATAACAACGAGACAAACGAACAGAAGAACAAAAATGTCGAGTTGATCAAGGAACAAAATGATAATGAAGACAGCGAAAAGATAATTCAAAACGGGAACAAGTCGGAGAATGTAACTCCTCCGAAACCTTTGCCTAGAAGGACCAACTCGCTGTCAGAAAGCGATGATGTGCCGGTGCAGAAGCCCGTGGCCAGACCTAGGACAAACTCTGTAATAACCACATCTGCTCCTCTCACCGTTGCAACTGACAAACCCTCCACCACCAATGCACCCAGCACTCACTCTCCGAACATTAACATTCCAACCACGTACAAGGTGACTCGCTGTCATGTGCCTTCATGGATTCCCACCGTTTTGGTTTTTTTAGCTGTTTTTAGTAATTTTTATTTTGGATTGTTTTTGTCTCAGCATGTTCTCACCATTATTTTGCTAGTTTGTCCTTGATTTTTTTTTTCAGCACTGCCTGTTCAAGTGTTTTTTGTTGACGGATTTGAATTTTGATATGTATGTTTATCTGTAGTGCAAAGTTTTTTAGTTTTTTGGTTCAATGTTAAACAGTTGAATTTATAAATCTTTGTAAAGGAATTTTTAAGTTGAGTGAGTAGGATTTCTAATACTTTTAGATTTCACCAATATATATTTCTTTTACTTCAGAAATTTCTTATTTATGTACAATGTCAAAACATTACAATATTAATTTATTTCCCTTTAATGAATTCTTAAAGGTTTAAATCTTTGGAAATTTCATTAAAATTTAAATCTAAACTCACTCACTCAATCCAAACTACCAAATTGTTTTCATTGTTTCATCCAACAGTTTATCACATTTAATTGTAATGTGTTGGAATCGTAATGTTGGTAATTTTGTATGTTTAGTGTGTTTAAAATATGTAATATGTACTGTTTACTATGGTAATGTACTATATCCAAGATATACTCAGTGTCACAATTTTTGTTACTGTATAACTGATCGCATTGTTTGATTTGTGATTTGTGCGATTTCAGCCAAGATTGGGACCCAAGCCGTTCACACCTCCCAAGTTAAACTTGGACAACTCCAATAGCGCCAGTGAGTTAGACAGAGTGTTCTCAGTACCCTCAGCTCCTTCTCCTGCGCCGGCTGTCAACGGAGCTAGCAACGGCAGCCCTCCACCTACAGTGACTACCCCTACCCCTACGCCGACACCTACCCCTACACCTATACCGACACCTACTGCGACAACTGCACCTCCACAAGTAAGTTACAGGACAAATGTGTTGGCTACTGAAATACAATACTATTGTTTGTGGAAAAAACAATTCAGTTGTCCCTCGATAGTGTGACCCTTTATAATCTGGTGTACTCGGTCTGATACCCCTCTGGCTGTCTTATAGGCAGAAACAAAACAAGCTGCTTGACATTAGTAAATTGCTTATGTAATGCTACAAAATTGTTTGCTGCGGTTGTTTCAAAATTTATTTTCAACCCATCTTAAAAAATACAATGATTGGTAACATTTTACTAAAAATCTGTGATCTATTTCAGGTACTTTTAGTTAAATGTTCAATTTAATTTGGTTCAATTTCATTACTAAAGGTGCAAGTACTTGTATAGTTGTGATTAAACAGTGATTATTGATTGTTGTTTTTAGCAAGAAGACGTGACCAATGGAGAAGAAGAAACTTTAGATGGAGGAGGGGAAGGAGACGTCACACCCAGCACTGCCGAGAGAGTACGACTGTGGGCCGAGGTAATTATGACTTGTGAACAGCATTCAGGGACCTCTGTCTCTTTGGTAAACCTTTTAGAACTGTTATTGGACAATCTTTTCAAACAAACACAAAAGATGGATAGTGAAAGGGGAAAAAATGTTTTAAGTTGCGACAAGTTGTAGTTACAACATCTCAATTATAGAATTAGGTTTTTGTATTCCCAAATAACTTGAACATATATTAAGAGGTCATTATACCTTGGTTTTGTATTGTCCTTTACCTCCTCTAAGGGTGGATGGTGATCATTTCGGCGACTTTGTCCCTTCTTCAGATCCTCATCAAGAACAACAAGCTTCCCTTATATTGCGGTCAACAAATTTTAACATAAAACACACAAAGAACAAGACACAACATTAATTTGATAGGCTATTTGGCAATTGCTGTGACCACAAGTACACACTGCTCGGTTGACATGTCCACATCACTTGCAAAAATTATATTGGTAATCCACTTTGTTTGTTGGTATACAAATGGCTTGCCAAAGGAATATTTTTTTGTATGTGATATGATGGCATATCCAATTACTTCTTTATGTACTATCAATATTTTGGAGTGACTCCTGATCATACATGTGGTTAGCCAACAGTTTTTGCATCTAAAGCAAAGGGATATTACAGATTCCTAGGTTGGTTGTAATGTTGAAAAAGTTGTAAAAAGGAAGATGAACTTGTGTACTAATTATGTATCGTGTATAGCGGAGTTGGAGAAAAGTTGTCCGCTTGTGTGTGTTTGTTTGCGTGTGTGTGTTCGCACCAAAAACTCAATAACCGTCGCACTTATAGCGTTCAAATTTTGCACAAATAATTATGACACCAGTGGGAAGACACCATTAAAATTCTATACGATTCCGCTCAGTAGTAATTATAAAATACTTAAAAAACATTTTTAAATTTGTCCCATAAGAATAACATTAGGAGCTACCTTCTTCTTCTTTTTATTTGTTTACGTTTTGCGACCAACAATTTTGTTGTCTACTTAAGACAGAGAGAACGACTTTTACTCTAAGCTCTTTCATTCATGGAGTAAACCGGAGTAAACAGTTTGGCGTCTATGAATATATATCATTATAATTTCAAAGCTTTCAGAAAAATGTTATTTAAGCTAATTAAATTTCGCAACTTTCAGATTAATAAATTGAACTTAAAAATTAGGGATGGACGGGATTGAATTTTTAGTTCGGGACGGGACGGGACGAGATTTTTATTTCCTTCCCAATTTTCGGGACGGGACGGGACGGGATTTTTTTTTGTGCATAAAAAGAAAGTACTGTATTATACGAAATCAATTTTTACCATTTGTGGCACTGATCTATAAAAACCAAAAAATGGGTAACAATTTACAGGTACCTATAGAAACTTGTGACTCGCGGTCACGGCGCGATCGTCGGTAGGACTCCGCGGTCACGGCGCGATCGTCGGTATGACTCGCGGTCACGGCGCGATCGTCGGTAGGACTCCACGGTCACGGCGCGATCGTCGGTAGGACTCCACGGTCACGGCGCGATCGTCGGTATGACTCCGCGGTCACGGGGTTATCGTCGGTATGACTCCACGGTCACGGCGCGATCGTCGGTATGACTCCACGGTCACGGCGCGATCGTCGGTAGGACTCCGCGGTCACGGCGCGATCGTCGGTAGGACTCGCGGTCACGGCGCGATCGTCGGTATGACTCGCGAGCACGGCCGCGATCGTCGGTAGGACTCCACGGTCAAGTCATGATCGTCGGTATGACTCGCGGTCACGGCCGCGATCGTCGGTAGGACTCCGTGGTAACGGCGCGATCGTCGGTAGGACTCCACGGTCACGGCGCGATCGTCGGTATGACTCCGCGGTCACGGGGTTATCGTCGGTATGACTCCACGGTCACGGCGCGATCGTCGGTATGACTCCACGGTCACGGCGCGATCGTCGGTAGGACTCCACGGTCACGGCGCGATCGTCGGTAGGACTCCGCGGTCACGGCGCGATCGTCGGTAGGACTCGCGGTCACGGCGCGATCGTCGGTATGACTCGCGAGCACGGCCGCGATCGTCGGTAGGACTCCACGGTCAAGTCATGATCGTCGGTATGACTCGCGGTCACGGCCGCGATCGTCGGTAGGACTCCGTGGTAACGGCGCGATCGTCGGTAGGACTCCGGGGTCACGGCGCGATCGTCGGTATGACTCGCGGTCACTGCGCGATCGTCGGTAGGACTCCGCGGTCACGGCGCGATCGTCGGTAGGACTCCGCGGTCACGGCGCGATCGTCGGTAGGACTCCACGGTCACGGCGTGACTGTCGGTATGACTCCGCGGTCACAGCCCGATCGTCGTTATGACTCGCGGTCAAGGTGCGATCGTCGGTCCAATAATCGCGGCCACGGCGCGATCGTCGTTATGACTCCGCGGTCACGGCGTAATCGTCGAAATGACTTCGTCTCCTGGGTTCGCGGACCTATCGCTCGCAAAACGGCGTTATCGGCACTCGCGAAGCGGAAAAATCGCCGACGATCGGACCAAATCCCGTCCCGAAAAATTCCCGAGTCAAATGTAATCCCGTCCCGATAATCGGGAATATTTTTTCCCCGAAAAATTCCCGAAATTTCGGGACCCGTCCATCCCTATTAAAAATATAAGTCGGCAGTTATATACCGTTTATGTTCAGTATTAAAATTCACCTTTAAATTAAAAATAATATGTATGTATTTAGAACAAAGCAGCTTTTTACATTATTCACTTTACTGTTGGCATTGAATATTAAATATTCAAAGATGTTGGTATATTTTTATACTAAAATGCTATGCGAAGGGAGGGGGGGACAGGTCCACGACGTAGAGAGTGGTAAATGAAGCGGAAAGGTGAGCAGTGAAAAGAAAGGAGTACGGAAACCCTTTATGACTGTTAAATTAATGTATCTGTAATACTAAAATGCTATGGAAATATAAGGAAACAGGTCGACGATGTAGGAAGAAGTGAAGGAAGTAGTCAAGGCGAGCAGTCCGGAGTGTAGAAACCCTTTGTGATAATTAGTACAGTATCTGCAATTCTAAAGATGCTATGGGACGGGAGAGAAACAGGTCCACGACGTAGGAAGTGGTGAAGGGAGTAGTCAAGGCGAGGAGTCCGGAGTGTGGGAACCCTTTGTGACAGTTAGATTAATGTATTTGCAATAATAAAATGCTATTAGAAGAGAGGGAAACAGGTCCACGACGTAGGAAGTGGTGAAGGCAGTAGTCAAGGTGAACAGTGTGGGAACTCATTGTGACAGTTAGATTAATGTATCTGCAATAATAAAAATGCTATGGGAAGGGAGGGAAACAGGTCTACGACGTAGGAAGTGGTGAAGGAAGTAGTTGAGGCGAGCATTCCGGAGTGTAGAACCCCTTTGTGATAATTAGAATAATGTACAGTATCTGCAATTCTAAAAATGCTATGGGAAAGGAGGGAAACAGGTCCACGACGTAGGAAGTGGTGAAGGGAGTAGTCAAGGCGAGCAGTCCGGAGTGTAGAAACCCTTTGTGACAGTTAGATTAATGTACCTACAATACTAAAATGCTATAGGAAGGTAGGGAAACATGTCCACGACGTAGGAAGCGGTGAAGGAAGTAGTAAAGGCGAGCAGTCTGTAGTGTAGAAAAACTTTGTGACAGTTAGATTAATGTCCCTTCAATTCTAAAATGTTATAGGAAGAGAGGGAAACAGGTCCACGACGTAGGAAGTGATAATGGAAGTAGTCGAGGTGAGCATTCTTGAGTGTAGAAACCCTTTGTGACAGTAAGATTAATGTATCTGCAATAATAAAATTCTATGGGAAGAGAGGGAAACAGGTCCATGACGTAGTAAGTGGTGAAGGAAGTAGTCAAGGCGAGCAGTGCGGAGCGTTAGATAAATGCATCTGCAATACCAAAAGGCTATGGGAAGGGAGGAAAACAGGTCCACGTCGTAGGAAGTGGGGAAGGATTTGGTAAATGCGAGAAGTTCTGAGTGTGGGAACAGTTTGTGGTAGTTAGATTAATGTACATTCAATACTAAATTGCTGGGGTAAGGTAGGGAAACAGGTCCACGACGTAGGTAGTGGCGATGGAAGTGGTAAATTTAAGCAGTGCGGAGTGTGGGAACCGTTTATGGCATTTAGATTCATTAGTTAGATGATCATTTATTGGATTTTTAATCATTTTTAGATGATATAATAGCGCTATCCCTGTTATAAATCATCATTGTAAGCAATACGATATTTTTTTGGAGATTCCTTACACTGTGCTTTGGCAATTTATTTAAGTTAGATTAGTTCAGTTTGGCTTAGTTTTGTTTATGATAGGCCTTATAACAAATATGGAAATAGGCTTCATTTAATCAAAAGACGTTTTGTACAAGAACGATGGATTTACCTCCTATCGATAACTGTTGGAAATCCATTACGTATATTACCAATGACTTTTGGTTAATTAATGGACGAGAAGTTAGGATTGTTGTTGACTGATATTTGGTTGATTTGCCCATACAAATAACATTATTTTGTTCACCAGTGACACCGGTAAGTAGGCTAGGTGTGGGTGGACTCTTTCATTATGGCGCTCATGTTCACTCATCTCGTTACGTGCAGAATAAGCGTACTACTAGTTATCTCAGTGTGTGTTACTATTGCTGGTTTTGTTTGTAGGTAGAGAGGAGGGGAGGAGACGGAGACACAAGTGGGGGAGCTGGAGAAGATGAGTTAGAAGGACTAGAGAGAGGGGGAACTCGCAGCAGCATCGCGGAGAGAAGGAGACTGTACGAGAACAGATCCATGTCTGTGGTAGAGCAACCTGTAAGTCCGTCGCCCACTCCACTGCGTCGACGGGACTCACTCAAGGTGAGACTAAAGTCATCAAGTTTCATAAACAAAACAAAAATTAAATGAGTAATCGGTATTTGAACTTATGAAGATAATTTTTCCTTAAGTGGGCGAATTTTAGCATACACTACACATGAGGTTTAGAGGTGTGCGAACCGCCCCCGATTTTGGAGTCGAGCCAAGCGTAGTGTTCAAGCTCGAGTGTGATCACCAAGTCAGAAAATGAAGCTTAAGCCAAGCTAAAAAAATGGTGATGCAAAATCAAAAGACAAATCCTCAGATCGTGGTTTTCATTTATATGTTTTTTCCTAGCAGTCTAAGTCAGGAGGTACACTGAAAGAAGAAGACGGGAATGTTAACAAGAGAAATTCGTCGATTAATCCTAGCAAAAATGATTCTGTGCCAACAACGCCAGCTCCCAAACGCACTTCAACTGTCTTCGGTAAGTGCTGTTTTATGTATCAGATGTTGGATAAAGCTATCGAATAATGTTTTTTAATGGATATGTATCCTCAGTTATTTGTGTTTGGCTGAGCATGTCATAATAAGATGTTAAGTATCTAGTATCAGTCATTCCATTCTTTTAAATAATTAATTGTCATTATTAAAACTTAGGTTATGCCATAGATAAACCTATTATTGCAACCCTTGGTTTATTTTAAAGCTTATATTGATGTGCCAACTTAATTAATCTTATCTTAATTTTAATGTATTGACTGTAGATTGTGGTTTATTTGCAGGTCGTGTTTCCAAGTTTCGCCACTTGAAGGGTACACCAGCTCACAAGTCTGCTCATATTGAGAACATTCGAAATCTGTCAAGGCAAATTTCAGGCGAATGTGACGGCTTTCATGGTAATGTTTGTTATTTATCATTGTACATTTTTTTCACCTTAAACCTTCCATTACATACAAATTTTCAACATGTAGATAAAAGAGAGTTTTCTACAGTTAATTTGTTGTTTAGAGATTATTTGGTAGACAGTTGAAAGATTAGTTGGTAGATTGGTATAATGGTTGGAGTTTGTGTTAGTAGATATTAAATAATTTTATATTAGTATTAGATATAATAAAGACTCTTAGTTTTTGTTTGAATTCATCGAGAAATGATTAATTTTTATTTAATTGTTCTTTTGACAAATCATATACTGTACTCCTAAAATTAATGGTTTGATTTAAGGATTTGTTTTTAATACTTGTATATTATAAACCATATTCATATATTTGGCTTGTGTGTAACACATGTTTTCTTTGTCTACGTCGGTAGGCTATAATTTTTTACATGAGGTTTTGTACAGTGTACTCAAGTGCAGATTTTTGTTTGATTTAGTTTGAACCGAAGTGTTAGTAATATTTGCTGTTGCAGCCAACCCAGAGAGAGTGGCTGTCCCGTTGAGTGGTCCGGGAGGCAAGATAGCAGTGTTTGAGTTGTCCAAGACGGGGAAGTTGCCTGATGGAGTTATACCTGCGTTGGTCCATGGCAACAATGTCATGGACTTTGCTTGGGACCCTTTCAACAACAGAAGACTCGCTGTCGGTGAGATATTGTTCAGTTAGCAATTATGTCCTTGATAATTTCCTATGAAAACTGTAAGACCCTACAAAATAATGTATCAGACGTTGCAGTAACCTAAGTAAACCTAGACTTTTTTGTGAGCATGCCTGAAAACTGTTCGCATTTGCAGAAACTTTATATTTATATTGTAGACGCTCGCTAATCTGGTGAGATCAGGACTTGGGCCGTGTTGGATTATCGGAAACGCTGGCTTACTTCTAAACCAGCCGTTATTGCAGGAGCAAAAACACCACTAGTTTTAGAGAATCAGAGGGAAAATGTTGGACAGCAAGCTATTATACCTGTTTTATTGTGCTTCCTCTTATTTTAGTAGTGATATATAGTGCTAAAAATAAATTAAAATCTAACAAACTCAAATTCATTGAGTTGCAACATCTGCCGGTCCCTTCCGATGTCTGTTGACGTGCCTGAAGTCTGCCCTACTAATACTTTTTAGACTTTTAGACTGATGCATTATTTTTGAAAACATTTGACCAGGCACTTTACTTTTTATTTATTGTTACTTTTGTGTCCATACAAAATATGTTCGATTAGAAATGTGATTTTTTTGTTTAGAAGATTAGAAAAACACATTGAAAAAAGGATATACTTAAAAAACAAAGAGTTTACATTGTGGTGGGTTTTTGATGTTTTTGTACTATTTCCTGCAGTTATACTGAAGGAAAGTTTGTCACCAGTATTATATAACTCGTATTATTCTGTTGATAGTAATATCTGGGAAGATTTTCTCAAGGCCAATTGTTTAGATCACGGCGTTAATCTTTTGTGTAATTTATGATCACAAATTGTGGACGGTTTTATTTTATATGGAAAAGTAGAATACACTTCAAATAAGTGCCAAAGTTTGATCTCTTGAACATAAATATTTCCCAACTCGTCATTTGACTTTCCAAATTTTTTGTCTCAGTGACCAAAAACTAATTTAAAACTTACTCACTTTCCTAGTACTCTTTATAAGATTATACTAACATCTTAACTTAAATACAACTGTGAACTACATTGTAGTAAATGTGTGTATTAATTAACATAATAGGATAAATAATAGTATTAGGCTACTGAAGTGTAGCCTTAGTATTAGATTACTGTGAATATTATTTTTTGTAATGTCACCTGAAACTGTCGACTGGCCCAAACATACTGGTGACAAAAATAACACTATTGTTTCACCTATTACCAAAATCCCGAGCAACGTTCCTGACTTAAAAGTAACGGTGTTTCTCATCTGTGTTCTGCAGCCTGTGACGACGGCACCATCAGACTATGGGTGATACCAGAGGGAGGTCTGACTGAGCCCACAAACACTCCTGACTCTGTGCTCGAGGGACACTCGGAGAAGATTTACTTCATCAAGTTCCACCCGCTGGCACGTGATGTGTTGGCCACTGGCTCCTACGACATGACTGTGCGCGTCTGGGACTTGTCTGGCACTCACCAGCCTATCACACTGACAGGACATTCCGATCAGGTAATGCATACAGTTAACAGCCAAACTGTCGGTGAGTCGGTGGCTCAGTTGGTAGCATCGCGGACTTCGGGCCTAAGGCAGTAGTGTCGTGGGTTCGGATCCTGGTCACTGTTACAAACTTTTATCAGTACAGTTCACCTTTGTACTGTACCGGCTCACCCCTTGCTTTGCTGGATATTTTCCACGCACAAATCTGTAGTCTTATGTGGACGGGCAAATGCAAGGTTAACAGCTAAACTCCAGCAAAAAGTTCTATGAGTCAGGATAAAGAGAGAATTGAGAATTTAATTCTTTTTAAAAACGCATTAACCAGACATCTGTCATTTTGTTTTTGTACATAAACATTTTTTTTATCATTACTTTTTTCCAACTGCTCTTTCAGAAACTTGGTATGAATTGACTGATCATGTCATGACTACCATATTTTAAGGTAGAAATTACATATGTTAGAAAAAAAATTAAGTTAGTCAAATTTTTAAATTCAAAATCTTACGAACAATTTTATTGAGCATGTAAAATTTCATATCAAATGACACCAAGTTCAAAAAGCTTGAACTACAAACAGCTGGATGTATAATGATTTTTATTTGTGAAATAAGACAAAATTATGCACACCCTTATTTTGGACGTTGCACCAGCCTTTTATGTTATGTTTAATGACCCATTTATTTGATCATGTTGATAACTCCTGAGTTTAGCAATTAAAAATATATTTCATATTATTCAAATGTTTTGAAGATTAGGTTAACTCTTACTTTGAATTTGGTAAAAACTCCTTCGTCAGTTGGATTTCTCTGTTAAAGATCCTTCGTAGTCAGTAGTAAAACTCTTGTCACACAAATTTAAAACGACAGCTGACTCTTGATGGACACATTCGGTATTCCAACGCTGTGCTATCGGCTGTTGTCAGGACGATCTCAGAAGTTGATTCACATAGTGATCATGGTGTTCAGTTTGATTCAGAGGTCATTACAGGGAATGGGAATAGTAATTCTTATTGGTAAGAATTAGTACTGTATTGTGTTGTACGATTGTTTGTTTATTGAACTTTAGGCGTGTGAATTATTTAAACATACTTGCCATCAAGACCAGTCTACAAAATTCGGCAGACTTCATCAATAAACATTATGCGTTGATGTGAGTTAATTTCTTTTCTTATTAGTTAAGTACTTTGGAAATCAAACATTAATGGTTTTCCAACAGCCTCTCGGTCTTGTCATTGTTAACTGATGTTCCTACAGATGTTCTCGCTGGCCTGGTCGTCCAGTGGTGACAGATTGGCCACAGTGTGTAAGGACGGAGTACTGAGGGTGTATGAACCACGTCACTCGTCTACACCAGTGGCCGAGGGCAAGGGTCCCGTCGGATCACGAGGCGCTCGCGTCACTTGGGCACTCGAGTCCAACTTCATCGTGGTCACTGGGTTTGACAAGTAAGCTACATGTGCTTAGTGTTTGTACTTGAAAATTAAACTTTACTTGATATGTTAGGCCCTTTTATTCAACTTGAGTGACATTATTGAGCGAAGCAAAGCGAGCGAACTACACTCCTGCTTTTGTTTTACACATACTCCTCCTGAATGGCTAAACGATCTGCACAAAATTTAGCATAGTCATAGTAACCAACCATGGGAACCGTTTTGGTTAACCAAGCGTACCATTGACTTTAGAACCTGTAAATAGACATTCTAGTTAAGTGAACCCGGCGTACCATTGACTTTGGATACTGCAAATAGGCATTCTATTTATGCTAATTAAATATGAAAGACATTGGATACTGCAAGTATATATCTCATTTACAAGAAACAGATTTAGCATTGACTTTAGAAAAATATTGGATTAATATGCTAGCTCTGCTCAATATTTCAAGCAGGCAACTGCATTGTGCATTTAGTATTCAAAGGGCTTATGAACTACATTTAAACTTGTTCAGGAATTACTGTAATCAAATGAATGCTAAGTAGAAAAGCTTATATGTTGTTAACTTTTGTTTTATACTATTTTATTTTGTATAGTCTATTTGTGTTAATATCGTGCCAAAAAGGTCGGATACGAGAATATTATTACGATTTGCCTACTTGCATATTAATTATCTGCTATGCCAAATCAAATCATAATATAGGCCTAATTTTTATTATTATTGCATTGAATACATGTATGTTTGTTTATACATAAATAAAGCTTTTGGATAGAGTCAATTGGACTTAAAAGGTAATATACAAAGTAATAAAAATATTTAAAAAGAGAAATGACGAAACAAACAACATTTTTAAAGTTGGTATACAGTACTCATGGTAAGTTCAGGTCTTTGAATGAGTATATAAGGTTTTGGCAATCAAATAATTTCTTTGAGTGCGTTTTAACTTTGAACTTTGTTCTCTCTTGCATTTGGAAACTTCAAACAAAATTCTCCTCTATAGCTAGCTTTGTTTTCCTAAAATTCGAAATAATTTTTGTCCAAATTTGCTTCATTTTAAGTTTTTGGTGATTTGTCCAAACCTAACTATCGTTGTCATCTTGACAAATGACAATTCTTTATTGCACATCCTTCTCTTTATAACATGTTGTATTCTTTATAACATCTGTTAAAGTTATTACAAATGTAATACACAGACAGGTACATTGTCAAGGTTTCTAATAAATAAGGAAATCTAAATAGGTATATAAAAAACCTAGGATTTAGCCAGTAAGTTACCCCTACAAAGCTACAGCATGGTGGAACTGTTTATGTTAGGAGAGGTTGATGAGAGATTGGGTGTCTGTTACCAGGAGTCGTTGAAAAATTCCTCAAGAGTGTAATATGCTTTTTCTACTAAAACTGTTTTGATTTTGTCTGTAAATTTTGCTAAGTTTAATTGCTTTAAGGAGTTTGGAATTTTATTGTAAATTTTTAACCCCATATAGAGACTGTTTCCAATTAGGCATATAGAGGACTTGTTTCATATTTTTTTAAATTATGAGTGGGGTATTGAAAAATGTCTTGTCTTCAGGTATTATATGAGTGATTACTAAGATAATTTTGAAACATACCAGGATTTCCATGAACCATTTTTAAAATTTCAAAAACGTATATTGAAGTTAGAGTTAAAATTTTAAAATTTCAAAACAATTGTCTACATGATGTTTTTTTGGGGCAATTTGCAAGAGTTCTGATTATTGACTTTTGTTTTTTAAAAACTTTGTGGACATCTGTGGCTGTCCCCCATAATGTAATACCATAGCTTAAAATAGAGTACACATAAGCATAATAAACATTTTTACATACTTCCAAGGAGGTAACCTGAATTAAAACACTTAAAGCATATCTTGTTGGACTGAGTTTTTTGTTTAGAAAATTAATATGTTCTGTCCATTGTAGTTTACTATCCAAATATATCCCTAAAAACTTTACTACATTTGTGGGCGAGGCAGTAGTTTCTGTTCCAGTGGTTGAATTTCTCAATTTAAAAATTAAAACACTAGTTTTATCTTCATTCAAAAGTAAGCCATTTTTTAAAAACCAATTTGCTATTTCTCCAATTGTTTCTTTGACATCATCATGTAACATTTTAACAGTACTTCGTTTGATGAGAGCTGTTGTATCATCTGCATAAAGGGTAAAGTTACAGATTTGACTTGAAAAATGAAAAGGTAAATCATTAATATATGTGAGGAATAAGAGAGGACCTAGGATTGAACCTTGCGGAACTCCATAGTTATTATTTGCCCAAGAAGAGTATTTGTTCCCAGAGGCGGTTTTAATTACTGTTCTTTGTTTTCTATCGCTTAAGTAAGACTTCAAAAGTTCAATTATTTGTCCATGAAAACCAATTGCTGTAAGTTTTTTGATAAGAATTTTGTGATTAACACAATCAAAAGCCTTGGATAAGTCGCAGAACACACCAGCTGTGCACTGCGACTCATCCAAGGCCTTCAAAGCGCAATTTACAAAGTTGTTTAAAGCTGATTGGGTATTTAGATTTTTACGGAAACCAAATTGTTCCTTGCAAAACTTGTAGTTATTTTCCAAAAAGCTAGATAATCTAGTGTGAAGAATTTTTTCATAAACCTTTGAAACATTACTTAATAAAGAGATCGGTCTGTAGTTCTGTACTTCATTTAAACAACCTTTTTTGTGAATGGGTACTATTTCTGAGAGTTTTTGTAGTTGGGGAAAAACACCTTCTGCAAAAGATTGATTAATTAGTGTAGCCAAGATGTTTGATATTTCATTTGCTGACCATTTCAATAATTTAATGGGTATACCGTCCCAGCCACAGGCATTACTGTTCTTTAAACTTAGAATAGTTTTTTTTACTTCAATTTCATTTGTTTGACGAAGATTACCTAATTTTGTCACCTGAACTGTAGGATTGTTAGCATACGGATTGATATTAGCACAGTGTGGCATGTTTGGCAGCTTAAGTATATTGACAATGTTTGAGTACTGATAATTAAACAGTTCCGCCACGACTACAGCATCATCAATAATTTCATTGTTGACCTTAAGTTTAATGTGAGGCTTAACAATTTCACTTTTAACACCTACACCTAATTCTTCCTTTACAACATTCCACATGGCTTTGGACTTATTTTTTGCTTGCATTATATACCTATCATTTGCAGATTTCTTAGCTTTTGTAACAATCTTTTGAAATATCTTTTTGTAATTTTTTACATAGCTTAGAAAATTAGGATCATTACTAAATTCTTCTTCACATAATTCTTCTTCTAATCTTCTTTCACATATTTCAATAGATAGTCAATTATCAAATTACCTTTTGAATAAAAGCTCTTTGTATAAAATTAGGGTTGATAAATTTAAGTCGAGCCTTCCATACAAAAAAGAACAAGTCAGGAAAGTTTTTTTTTTGTTACAGGGTATCAGAAAGACAGATCATGGTTTACCAGAGAGATGATCTGAACAATCCATTGGGTACTGTAGGACTGGACGTGTCTCCTGCCATTCTCATACCTTTCTACGATGAAGACAGTTCTACACTATTTTTAACTGGCAAGGTATGAAATAATTTATATTTTAAATAGGGGTCTGCTTTTATGGTTCAGGTTTGTTCGGGTTTTTAATTCTAATTCTGGTGTTTGGGTTCTTGGCCAAAATCATGTTGATATATGGTATGACATGCCTAAGATAGTTTTTATTAAGGCATACTTTCGATGCTCTTTACTGTTTAAATAACTAAATAATTATGCCAAATTTTCGATGGAACTTAATATAAAAAGTTTACCAAAAATTCTATTTCATATTTCACAATTTTAGGACCTGTCGACTGGCTTCACTGCAAGCAAGAAGAAAATGAAAATTCTTTGTTCCCATGTAGGGGTTTGCGATGCATCGAAAATGCATCGAAATTTCGATTCGATTCGATTCGATGCATCGAATCGCGATTCGATTCAGTGGTGGTCAAAAAACGATTCGATTCACGAGGGAGTCAGTATCCATATACGAAAAACGCCTGCAGAAAGTCAATGCAATACCCGCAATACAGGAGCGCGTTGCTGTTGCGTTTCCTTTACGAAGGCGTTCTTATTTAATACATTCTTTGCATTAAATAAAGCTTTAATTGTTTTATATTTTTTTGTTTTGACATTGCAAATGATTAGAGGTTTGTTTTTTGTCTTGATGTAAGCAGTGTGTGCAATATTTTACTACTGTGAACCTAGCCAAAACAAGGTAGGTTACTCCAAAATCATTTTAAAAATAAGTCTGAAAAATTGTTACTTAATACTTATAACTAGTAAGATTAATGTTATAGACTGATTCATTTGGTATTTTTTAGGGATGGACGGGTCCCGAAATTTCGGGAATTTTTCGGGAAAAAAATATTCCCGATTATCGGGACGGGATTACATTTGATTCGGGAATTTTTCGGGACGGGATTTGGTCCGATCGTCGGCGATTTTGCCGCTTCGCGAGTGCCGATGACGCCGCTATTGCGAGCGATAGGTCCGCGAACGCAGGAGACGAAGTCATTTCGACGATCGCGCCGTGACCGTGGAGTCCTACCGACGATCCCGCCGTGACCGCGAGTCATACCGACGATCGCGCCGTGACCGCGGAGTCCTACCGACGATCTCGCCGTGACCGCGGAGTCATACCGACGATCATCCCGTGACCGCGGAGTCATACCGACTATCACGACGTGACCGCGGAGTCATACCGACGATCGCAACGTGACCGCGAGTCATAACGAAGATCGCAACGTAACCGTGATTATTGGACCGACGATCGCACCGTGACCGCGGAGTCATGCCGACGATCGCGCCGTGACCGCGGAGTCATATCGACGATCACGATGTGACCGTGGAGTCCTACCGACGATCGCGCCGTGATCGCGAGTCATACCGGCGATCACCCCGTGACCGCGGAGTCATACCGACGATCGCAACGTGACCGCGAGTCATAACGAAGATCGCACCGTGACCGCGGAGTCATGCCGACGATCGCGCCGTGACCGTGGAGTCCTACCGACGATCGCGCTGTGACCGCGGAGTCATATCGACGATCACGATGTGACCGTGGAGTCCTACCGACGATCGCGCCGTGATCGCGAGTCATACCGGCGATCACCCCGTGACCGCGGAGTCATACCGACGATCACGACGTGACCGTGGAGTCATACCGACGATCGCAACGTGACCGCGAGTCATAACGAAGATTGCGCTGTGACCGTGATTATTGGACCGACGATCGCACCGTGACCACGAAGTCATGCAGACGATCGTGCCGTGACCACGAGGCATACCGGCGATCACCCCGTGACCGTGGAGTCATACCGACGATCACCCCGTGACCGCGGTTCATTTTGACGATCACACCGTGACCGTGAGTCACATGTTTCTATAGGTACCTGTATATTGTTACCCATTTTTTTGGTTTTCTTAGATCAGTACCACAAACGGTAAAAATTGATTTTGTATGTCTTGTTTTGGTAACTGCAATACTCAAGACTTTCTTTTTATGCACAGAAAAAATCCCGTCCCGTCCCGTCCCGAAAATCGGGAAGGAAATAAAAATCCCGTCCCGTCCCGTCCCGAACTAAAAATTCAATCCCGTCCATCCCTAGTATTTTTGTTAGGTGTCTGCCGGTCCCCGTCCCGAATTTTTGTCGGGGCAAAAAAAAAAAAAAAGAATAATTTATTTCCAAAGAAACACTCTTATATTATTATATCTATTATTACAGAGGAATTAAAATGTTCAAATGAGAATTAAAAATTAAGTTGGCTCACGACCTTTAAGAATAAAGACACAACAGAGCAATTGCCGCACTGCCACTAGCCAGAGCCAGGTCTAGTCGTCTACTGATAAGAGTAACAAGACAAAAGCCGTGACGCAACACTAACAGTGCAAAGGAAACAAAGTCAAAAGAATAGAAAGACTATTTATCCAGACATACTAGTATAATCATTTATTGTTTATTCAATACCTAATTAAAAATATATTTTATTATTTTACATAATAAATTATAAACAAAAGAAATATCTGATATAGTGAACAGATCTGTATCTTGGTTAGATGGGGTTAAAAAAATATATTTCTAAGATCCAAAACAATATTTACAACTCACAAATTACATTGAATTAATTTCTTTGAAAATAATCTCTAACAGTTTTGTGTTTTTGAATAAAGAAATATATTTCTTTGTCTCTACTTCCTTGTTTCATCACTTGCATTTTGTCAGCAATTGAAGCAACTGGGTAGCAACCGGGTGGTGTAAGAGGGGAGGGGGAGGGTCTATGACCTTGAATTCACACATCGTTGCCGGGCCTGGCTGGTGAGACTGATTCATTGTTTTTGTTGACATACTACTACCCTTCCTTAAGAGAAAAAGGCCCTGCTGTTCCAAAAACATTGAGGGTAGTTTAAAAACATTGACCTGTGTTGCCAAGGGCACTAGGCTAGAAGATAGCATTTAACTTTCTTGTCTCTTGATTTAATATTATTTTAATCTTCTATATATTATTTAAGAGTTACTTTTCGGGTACCTAATTAGTTGTGATATTGTTTGGCTTTATTTTATGGATTTTTAATTCTTTTCATTCATTAGCTATCAAAATCAGTTGTTTTAGGATTTTAATCTCTTGCAGTAGGTCTATACTACTGTATGACATGATATGCATTTTTTAGTCCTTATTAATTATACCATAAACAATGTTTGTATGTTATTTACTGTTTTTGAGTTTATAGGAAATTAGTTTACACAATATCTTTTCTTCAATGAGTTCTCCACTTGACATGTTGCTTCTAGCCTATTACTATTTTAGGCCCTATAAAAATAATGCCTAGGTAAAGCTGTAGGCCTACTGATGCCAATAATAATTCTTTATTTATGATGATGTAACAAATAATGTAAGTGTGAGGTTATTATACTAAGGAGGTTAGGAGGCAGGGAATGAATGATACATATTGCATGGTGGAAACATATTATTTTTATTTTCTTCTTGCTTGCAGTCCTGAAGCCGGTCCACAGGCCCTAAACTTGTGATATGTAAATTTATTTCTTAATGGTCTTTTTATATTAAGTTCCATTCAAATTTGTTGTAATTTAGCTACCGGCACCTATTTAGTTATTTAAACAGTTATTAAAATGAGAATGAATGTATTGATAAAAAAAATATTTTCTTCTTTCTTGCAGTTGAGCCAATTCAAGTAAAAATTATGAAATAGGCAAGTAAAGCAGCTCACTGGTATTTCCAGCAGTTATTCTAATACATATGATTGAAAATAAATATTTTTTCACCTAAAATTCATATGTTAAGTATGAAATAGGCCTAATACCACATCAACAAAAATTTGTATTACACAAATGTGATACATTTTAATTATTGTTAATCCACTCAATTGACAATTATGAATAGAAAAATACCGTATTGCTTCGAATCGAGTTGCATCGAATCGAATCGAAAATCTTTTGAATCGAATCGTTGCTTCGAATCGAAAATTTTTTGCTGCTTCGCACACCCCTATCCCATGTAATATGTATCATTTGTTTCCTGCCTATATTCCTACATAAAGAGAGTTAGATAATGAACCCGAATTAAAATAATGCATGATTCAAGATCAGTTACTATAAAGCTATCCTTTTTCCTCATGCTTGTAAAAGGAAGAAATAATACTATAAATAATACATCAAAAGATAAAAAAAATACTGATAGTAAAATATTCATTGCCATCAACACTTTTTGTAGGGAGACTCTACGATCTATGCGTTTGAGGTTTGTTGTGAATCACCGTACCTGTGTCCGTTGAGTCATCATCGCTGCTCCTCGCTGCACCAAGGCCTCAGCTTCCTGCCGAAGCAATCGTGCGACGTGACAATCGTAGAGTTTGCCAAAGCGCTACGTCTCACCAACACCACCATAGAGCCCCTGTCCTTCACCGTGCCCAGGATAAAGGTGAATAATCCAATAACAATTTGAGGACTTCAACCTGTGGTAGCCGACGGAAACTAGGTTGAATCGGTTTGTGTTTAAATGTTTACTGTGTATAAACCCACTAGCTGTACCCGCGGGCTTTGCCCCGTTTAACTTCACAAGTGAGCTCGTTTGCATGGCTCAATCACGTCCCGGTTGAAGTTCGTTCGCTACGCTCACTCACCTTTAGGTTGGAGCTCGTTGGCTCCGCTCACTTGCCTTCAAGTTAGCTTGTTCGCTACGCTAACTCGCTTCCAGGTTGAAGTTCGTTCGCTACGCTCACTCACCTTTTGGTTACAAATTGGCTGTAGTCATAAATTAAAAAAAATAATAGTGCTGCACCCTGTTGGCAATCCTTGTAACTTTTATGTTATTGAACATCATAGAACAGAACCAACTTGTTTAATTGAAACAGCTGTTAAGAAATTCCTTTTAAATATGAAAAATCATAAGGTTAACATGGGAAACTCCAGAGCCACTGGGACAGAGCCCGAAAGCCCGGTCAGAATAAAAACTACTTAGTTTTCCTATTTAATGCCCAAAGAATCGGTGTACCGAATTTCAGCCTCCTAGGTAAATGGGAAGTGGGAGAATTAGTGATGAGTGAGTGAGTCAGTCAGTGAGGGCTTTGCCTTGTATATATTTAGATTAGCCTAGACTTACAGAACTGATCTGTACAAGCTCAAGGCAGGCAGAACACAGTCTGGCAACTGAAATTGGTTTAATCACACCTGTGAGCGCTAGTGTTAAATATTACAACTGGTGAGACTTGAGCTTATCTTGAGGACTTCATACCAACTCTACAAACCTTGTTGTTTTGCTGTTTCACGTTTTTATTTTTATATAATTCTTAGTTAAGCAAATGTAACTCTGTTTAAAGACTTTGTAGATGAATAAAGTAGTCAAATCCAAATCTCAAATTTGATAGGCAAGTTTTTAAGTTCAATCTTCCAAAAATAGTATTATTTATTTATTTCAATGTTTTTGTGTCGATCAAAAGTAATATTAATTTAGGTTTAATGTTATTGTTTTATCTCATTAAGGGGTTTGATGTCAGTGCCAGGAGTTATATTTATATTGGTGTTTGTTGTTTTTTTTAACATTTTTTCAGTGTCACATATTCATTTTATTTCAGGATCAGTAGTTAAGTTTCTTTCAGTTATGATTCCGTAATAAACTTTTATTATTATCTGTTTTTTTTTCAGTTTCAGCTTTGGTTTCAGTTTTCATGTGTCAAAATTTCTGTTTTCAAGTATCACTAGCAGAAACATACATTATATACTTTGATTTGACTAGTTGGTGATTGTTTGCAGAGTGATTTGTTCCAAGACGACCTGTTCCCCCCCACCAAAGTGATGTGGGAGCCAACCATGACTGCGACTCAGTGGTTCAGTGGAGCCAACATACAACCACGACGTGTCAGTCTCAAACCTGAGGGCATGGACAACTGTGAGTAACAACCTCCCCTTTACGTTTTCAGAAAATATCTATTAGATGACGCTTATAGTAATTACAGTGGAACCCCTGATGTCCAGCTTCAGTTTATTAGACCACTTCTCAGACGTTGTATTTCACACGAATTGCAGACCTGTAGGTGCAAGCACTTGTCCCCCACGACCCAAGCGCGCTCACGGATTATCTGTTAGCATTTTTTTAGCTATCCCAGTTTAAGAATTTAAATTGTATAGAAGACTAGGCTACATCTTAAGGGGGTATTACCTACTTAATATAAGTAGTTATTACCTACTACTATATAAGGCAGGCCACAGAAAAAGTTAATTAATACTAGAATATGTATATTCCTATTTAGATTTTACTGTTAGTGTTTAGCTAGACGGTTGGTTGGTTATGTCCTGTGCAGTTATTAGACTATGCCTACAGTAATTGTTTAGTTTTGTGAAATAGGTGTGTGAGCCTGAGATATTTAATTGAGCCGAGCCAAGCTTTTTTTCTATTATGAATTTACGTAATTACAAATAATAAGTTAATCAGGCCTAGTCAAAAAACATTCAAAAATACTATTTAATGTTATGATATATATTTTATGCCAGCAATGTGTTTTCAAAATTAAAGTGAGTTTAACCCATATTTAAAAAACATGGTTTTTGTTCCTAATTTATATGTCGGATTCGTGTTTAGTGTAATTGTTACTTTATCTTCTTCAAAACCCTCTGGGTGGATCTAACAATTGAAATTTAGTCGACCTAGATCCCGAATGACGATGAACTTTTGCAATTGAAATCGATATTGTTGGATTGACAACATAAGGATTGCTAAGGTAAGACCTCATAATATCAATTTTATATAAGCAATCCAGAGTTAAAATGTTTAATTATCACCTCAGTTGACCTTTTGTTAGATATTATCCTTAATTGATAGCCCATTGACAAAAGGCATCTCGGTCCGCCTTTAGATTTAAAAGCAAGAGCTATAGCCACTCTCCCCAGACAAAATAACCTACTGTACATGATTATATATCTAACAAGTTGAACATAACCTCATGGCTTGTCACAGTATCAGAGGCGCAAGGGTCGGCTAGCACAGTGTCTCCAAGTAACAAAGAGCAGACGACGGTCAAGCCTCCCCCTCCCACGTCTCACAGTAGACTAGCCTGGACACCCGACCTGGTGGCCTCTACCAAGCAGAAGCAAGAACAGGTTAGTATTGTACAGCAGAAAATACTTTTAAAATATTTTGGAAATGTTTTTGATATTAGTATTATGATAGGAATTTATTGCTACAGAGGTCATTGGTCCTCCAAAGAAGGATCTTTTTCAATATTTACCAACACTTCACTCATACTAGACGTGGTTGAAAGCAGAAATTGCAAGTGTCAAAACCACAAACAAAACAAAATTGTATCTGGAATCTCAAAAACTAAAATTGATACTCAATAAGATGTTGATTTATACTATGCAATCAAATTTAAAGAAATTTGCCCTGACGTAATAACATGAATATGAGATCAATACCTATTTGAATCAATACTTAGTTTTAGATCTCAAAACTCCCTGATCAAATATCAAAACCGTAAACTTTTCCAAAGTTTTAGTTGTATTGAGATTTGAGATTCCGTTTTGACATATCACTTGAGTGGAAATTGACAAAATCGATGGATTCTTTTTGAGTTGCGCCTCTATTCAGGCATTTAACCATTATTCACTCATTACGACTGTCTACCAAAACCTTTTTTTCATGATAAATTTAAAAAAATAGGTCTTTGTCTGCATTAGAAAAAAGGTCATTATAAAATAGTCCAAAATAAATCAATGAATAATACTGGGGGACGCTTACTTGGGAAGAAAGTCTCTCAAATGCACAAGCACAAGTATGCATAAGGGTTTCATTCTGTATTATCATCAGTTATCAATATTGACGATAAATAAAATAACTGACTGGCTTCTAAAGTATCAACAACGTGATTTGCAGATTCAGAAGTCAGTTAGTAGCAGGATGGAAGTGAACTTGAAACTTGAGCAAGATCAGATGGAGGGGGTGGATGAACGAGAATGGGTGTGTATAATACGTTTAAAAATTACAAATCCTTATATCTTTTTAACAAACTCCAAACTACTGTAATAAAAAAATATATTTATAACAATTTTTGTTTGGTGTGACACGAGGGTCATTACTGGGACCTCTACTTTTCTTAACTTAGGTTAATGATCTTCCATGTAATTCTAGTTTTAATTTTTTTTTAGTGCACTTATGATAGTACAACAATTGTTAGATTCAAAACTAAACCACCCCTTTTAAAGATATCTTATATTGGGTTAAATAACCCAAAAAGACATTTTAGGTTTTAATACTGTTTGCTTTCAGATGTCTTCCACAAAATCATAAAGTCTAAAAAAAGAATGACAGTGTATTATGCTTTGTTTGTCTCAAACTTGTATGGAGTAGAGTTTGGGCAACATCGCAAAAACAAAGTCTACATTCACAATACAAAAATATCTTAGAAATCATAACATTTTACTGTCTTATAAAAAGACTCCTCCTTTTAGTCAATGTAAATTCACTGCAAGACATGACTGGGACGGGTGGCGTCGTCCTGTAATCCAGCTACTAGGAGGTCACGAATTGTGGATATTTATAGGGATGCACTGTGGATGCGATGCTCCCTGGTGTGGATTAACGTCCGCACTAGTGAGTTCTACGACTATCCTCAGTACTATCCTGATAATTAGACCAATTCGTAAATTACAAGGAAAAATGTGGTTCGGATTCCACTATAAACTGTAGGTCCCTTAGTTGCCATTAGCTGTATGGGCTATTAATTAACAGCTGTGTCTAAGGAACATGTCGGCCTTAGTCACTAACAAGACTACAAGATCGCGCCACTCATCCTACACTCATCCTTCACTCATATTTGGGTTAAAATACGCACATAGTGGCGTCCCCATCTTAAATAATTGATATTGATATTGATATTGATGCAACTAATTGATTTTAGGGGGAGAAAAAAAATATTGCCTTCCATCTGAGAATTAAATGTTGCTTGTGACGTGAAAGTTGAACAGCGTGGTAATAATTTATAATTATTGAGTAACACATTGTATAACTAGGTCTGTGCAGTTTTAAACATTTTTATAATTATTACAATTTTTTCCAGGACGAGTAAAAGTGGTTTTACTATCAACAGCCTTGGCAACCAAACAGAAAAAAGACATTTCAACAATATCTTTCACCAGTCATGTCACCGTTTTAGTTAGGTCTTCGTCATGGATGTAGCTTCCTGAATGTCTACTGTGTTGCTTTAATTTTGCAATCTTGGTTACCTTATTTTTCCTAAGCTTATTATAGTGCCATAAGCCCTATGATATTAATGTTCTCCCATGTTGGTTTTACTTTTTTACTATGAACATTCCACTGTGTTTTACAGTTTTTTTGCTAACCTTAGGACAATAATTGAAAGTATTACTTAGATAATCTAAAATGTCGTTACTGATTTGAGGATTTTTCCATAGGCTTGTGTGAATATTGGTTACATAGCTTAAATAAGAGAAAGTATGATTATTATTTTCTGGCCACATCTAAGACTTCACCTCATTGAATATTGGCTACAACTTTATACAACTTCATTATTTTTGAAACACAACTCCAGATAATCTCCACATTTTTAAACCTAGACTATCCATATTATCTGACATACCTACAGAACATTAAAAAGGAAGTAGTCTTCTCTAAAAATAGAAATTGGTTATGCCCAAAAAGTGAAGAAACCCTCATTAGAAAATGCCATTAAACTATTAAACATTACATAATTGCTGTGTCCCAGGATGTTACAAGTACGTTTATTGTAATTTAGTAATTTTTTCCACTAAAGATTGATTTTGCTTCAACTGTTGAAAATGGAATAATTGGTAAATTGTTTTTATTTTAATAATCTCTATTCACACACCTATAATAAGTCGTCTTACCAATTATAATACAAAAATTATTGCTCAAATTAACATCTCAAAATGTTATACTCAATATGTTTGTAAAAGAAATTTCTTCACTTTTCACACCTTTTTAAAGTGTGAAAATTTTCCATTTGCAGCAATGTATTTTTTTACACGCTGTATTCCAGTTTCTTTTAATAAATGCAAAACAATTTTTTATTCAGTAAAATAAATAAAGGTTTTTGCTACAGGAACGTGTTCAACTTATAAATAATCAGTGATATTAAAAGATATTAAAAAGACAAAAGTAATTATTTGCAAATGGGAAAAGACTACTTGTGTGATATAACATTAGGAGAAAGAATTGTTTATTTTTTTACGTTAGCGTGCAGTATTAGTATAGTTTTTTTTTTACTTTATCAAACGAATACAATATGCAATATTATGCATAAATAAATGCAACGATCATATTCCAAACCTTATGTGTTACTGACACATATTCCTAATTTTAATTCACATAGTTATTGATTATGTGAGTCTACCCAACTTGTACAATATGATAAACATACTGTGATTGAATTTCTTTGTTTTGTGTCGACTGTCTTACTAACTTATGTTATTGTCTAGTCTATGTTTTAATTTCTTACTTTTGTATACATATTTAAAGCTTTAAAGTTTTGTAAGGTTTTCCGATACAGAAATCACAGAAGAAACCAAATAAGCCCAAGTAAAAGTTTATGTATTCGTACACTTTGATTTTGTAAAACTTATCATGCTTATAGCCTTAAACTAATGATTTGCAAGAATTTGTCCTTATGTATCTACTGATTCTTCAACCAAACCTATTTTTTATGTAATCATATTAGTGTGGAGTTCTGATTTTTCGAGCTATTTTAATGAGCTTTTAACAAAATGTGGTAATGATTCTAGCTTAGTAACACTGGTTTCAGTTAGTAAGGAATACATTTTTAATTTTAATATAACTGTATTAGTGTATACAAAAATCATCCCCTATCAATAGAATACTTAGAGAAACGAATGAAAGCTAACACAAATAATCCCCTCGATTAATTATATTGATTTTCAGGTTTAAAACGCAAGATATCTTATACAATGATTTTAATGTAGGGGTTGTCTATAATATTATTTAGAATTTTAGCTCTCTAGTTCTGTCATAAGCAACCATCCATTATTTGGTTCTTACCATTTTACATCTAAGCTATAATTTTACTCCAAGTTTGGTACGAGATGTAGCTGTTTTTGCACTTGCGTGGTTTTGTTTTGTTAGCATTCACTCTTACTCTTGCACTCTAAGGGACCACAATTTTGTAACCAGTTGTAAATCAGACTCAGGCGGAACTTTTTTGTATATAAAACACTGTTAATACATAATTCTAAAAGCCTTGAAAACATATGGCTTTCTGTGGAGGTATCTCCAAAACAGGGATGGTTCTCATGGTTTATGAGAGCTTTCTCTTTATACTTGATAGGTGAAAATACAGATTTAGATTGACTTTTAAGCATCGGGTGGATTATCGCAAAGTTAAGCCGTTAGCAATTGATAAGATTTTAACCTGGGCATTCAGAGGTTCCAAGTTCTTACCAACATACCAAGCTTTGAAAACTTGTACAACTTTTATTTTATAAGTACTGTTATGATGAAATGTTGAGGTTTAATCACACATCCAAAACATACTACCACTTTAAAATTATACAGCATTTATTTGTTCTTAAGGATATAAAACTTGTCAGTTTCAAATTAGAGTAAGACTACCATTTAGAAACTGTTTAGGCACACTTCAAAAATCTTCACAAAGGGTTATTTATTCTATTGTAACAATAAATTCTGTATTTCTAGACTTAAGAAAAGAGTGAATTTGTATAAACAAATTTCTATATTTTACCCTATATCTTCAAACTGTTCAACCCAATTTAAATTTATTTTGTACTCTTCCCCAATCATAACTACGCATTTTCTTATTGAGTTCTATTACGGTTCCAAGCTTGTTTAAAAATAAGTTCTTTTGCTAAACTCTTAAAATATGACCACTTGTTTTACGCTAATGCACTAAAACATTCCTTAAAACAAAACTTGGGACAACGGAACTACAGTTTATGCATAGAATAAAAGTGAAGGACATTACCAAATTAGCCCCCTGGTATTATTAATGCTCAACACAAAAAGTACACCAGTGTTAATTTTTAATGGTGATCGCCTAGAGGTAGAATAGTAGAGCTCCCCTTCAGACATGACAGTAGATTAGAAAAGTTTTTGTACTTGAGTTAAGTGCCATTGTCTATGTTGTGACCATGTATTCAACCCAAAGTCCAGATCTGTCTTACAGAGTTAGAGATGATCTGAATTTTCTAAACTTGATGAGGGGAGGCATTTTAGTAGACATAAGCAGTAGAAGCCTACGTCAGTAGTATTGGGTTTGTAGAATGGTTACTTAATTTCAAATGTTTGAAAATTGAACATTCCATGAGTCATAATTTTCATAGTGTAGGCCTGAAAAGCTTGTTTGGAAGATTTGCATGGTTTATCTAAATTTACAATTTATGTAATTACTCTTCTATTTGTATGGATTTATTTAAAAATTATAATACGTACACATGACAAAAACTGACTGCACATTGTAAATATACTTTTATAACGATATTACGGTTGATAATGTTTACACTGCATTTAATTGTTCTTCACTTTGTTTTTCTCTATTCTAGTCATTTTAAGACATTGCTGCTTGTTTAACATGAACAAAAGATTTGTATAATCATTAACATAAATGATGTACTAAGTAATGTATAAAAAATTGTAATTTTAGTATATATCAATATTGTTTTCGCTTAGAAATGTGTGGTGGTGCTAAGATAGGAAGCTGTTTGATGTATTCTTTGCTGAAGATGGAATATTTTAAGTGTGGGTGTTATTTTGTAGATCGCTGCCTATTGTCAGTCTTATATTGTTTACTGTATTTGCTATTTATAAAACATTTATACTTGAATAAAATAATCATTACTGTAATTGTTGTTTTGATGAACACATTTATTTATTCAGTTTTCTAATGAACTATTTTACTTTGGTGTACACATCTAGCTAGGTCGAACAACGCTTCTAAACCTCACTACATACAAAACATTCGGAAACACCAGTACCATCACATCTCATCGCATTTGCATAATTTGTTACCAAGGCTGGACTAGGTTATGGATTTGGTTCCGCAAATGTTCAAGATTTGTGGTAAAATTTCCTACAATTATGGTTCATTCCATCCACGAAATACATGCACAGCTTTATGTGATCGATATGGCCATTACAAAACTACCCCATAAGTTAATCAATAAGCAAGTAAGTACAGGATGATTAAGTACATGGGTCGATGGTCGATATGTGGCAAGAGAAGGAATTTAAATTGCTTGGATCGAAGTAAGAATGTTACTGCTTTCTGGAGAATCAGATATTTTTATCAAATACAAAAAAGATTTAATATGCCTCCTGCTGATAAAATTCTGTATTTTTATGACCAAAGATGGTGATTCACTTATACAATCCAAATACGATCTGAATGATTGTCCCAAAGCAGATAGAACCAGTTATTTTAGTAATATTGACTCTTTCCGTCAGATGACAGACCAATTGTATGAACTCCTTTCCCCATATAGTGAAAAAGGCTTTAACATGAACAAAATTCATTAACAAGAAACAATTGTAAGACTCCTGAATTGCCTTTTGGGCAACCTAAAGCCGATGAAAGGACAGAAAATATTGAATTTAATCATAATTATGTTTATCCTCTCTAAGATTTTAATAACTTCTCTCTATCCATCGCAGTTAGCTGAATTTACGTAAAACCTCAAGAGTAATCGTCGATTTCGACGGGATTCACCTAGTTTATCTTATTTACGTCTTGTGACTCCTTGTCGATCGGGCAGTGCTTATCTGTGACCACAGCCGTAGTTAAATATTTCAATTTTATTTTCTGTTTAAACAATGTTCATTTGTGTGTTCTTGTTAAATATTTTGACGACCTCGATATGAGAGATAATTAGTTGATATTCTTGACGAGGATCTGAAGAAGGCGACATTGTCGCCGAAACGATCGATCGTATTCCTGTCGCCGAAACGATCGTATTCCACCCTAGAGGAAGTAAAGGAGTCACATGACGTAATTAAAGTAAATTAACCTATTATTTATATTATGATAAGTGACTCGAGACTACACAAAAATGAAAAAAGATTAATCAAACTGTTTCCAATCAGAGCTGCACAAAATATACAAACGGTCAAAATAAAATCATGCACCTATAGGCCTGACTTACCAAGACCAGTTATCGGTACACTTTATGTGATCAGCCACAAACTATCGACAAATGCACAAATAAGTTGTGGTATTATAACTTTTTAAAGGTTTAAAAAGTATTTTACGCCACACTACATTATTTTGACGAACTTCCCACACAAGTATTCAGTCCAGAAAACAGCTGTTTGCCGCCGGCTTATTTAAATGGGGTGTCATTGCGTACTACTGTACTGTAATGAGTTTTACCGGACACCAATCAGCTGATTATACTGTATTTAGGTGGCAATGAGTGGTTATAAACAAAAACATAACCTCTCTTATAGGTCATGACTAGTGATTTTTAGTCCTTTAGTTGGTGGAAAATGGAAATATATAAGGATTTGAACAGATTTAGTAGTATGGCGTAAACTATCGTACGTAACTCGTCCAAAATGTGTGTACCTGACTCGTATGGTAATCCCGTACTCGACTTCGTCTGGCACAGGAACAACCACGCTCGTCCGGTAAACACTTATTTTCAGGACTAGTAACGTAATATACTATTTTAACGATTCATGACCATAACCTGCAATTTTATAACCAAACTATTCGTAAACAAACATTTACTAGAACGTAAACAGTCAAAACAACAACAACACACAAACTGCTGTATAAAGCCATCTACTACTGCGTAATGTTTTTGATTGGTTGACCACATTTCTCAGCTCCATTCTACAGTAAAAGAGCAAAATAGTTGTTGCCAACCTCCTTCTGTCGCATTTGGTGTGATTTGCAGCCATCTTTATTGAAACGTGATACTGTACAAAGTGATGTTCTGAGCGTCTCGCTCCGAGACACCGGCATTTCTCGCACGACCTCGACCGTCTCGCTACAAGACGCTCGGCACTCAAGCTATGACAATGGTGCGTCTCGGAGCGAGACGCGGTGGCACTCAAAAGGTTAAAAATGATTTTTCAAGGACACTCCCATTGAGGATTGCATGAGGGTAGCAAAATGCCCGATTTGAGGTGCAACTCACAAAAAGAATCCAACATTTCTGTCAATTTCCACCTGGGCATCAAAATCTGCCACAGAGGATGAACTTATAAATGTTACCCACTAATTTATGAATGTTACGTTTGAACTTATGAAAGTTACACCTGAACTTATGAATGTTACACCTGACCCTATGAATGTTACGCCTGATGGTAACAAAGCTTAACATGCATATAGGAGTGACGGCGCTAGGAGGCTGGATTACAGAACTTTAGAATATACATTAAGCCCGAGTCATCCTGATATGAGGGTGAAAAGTACCGTTTATGTAAAGAAACCAATTAATTAATGTTATATGTAGTAAAAGACAGCATAGTGATTCATCATACAACTGCTTGTATTAACACTGATATAACCTAAAATTGGTAAAATATCTACTGTATGTACGTTGCAAATAAGTTGTTTTTAAAGCGGATATTTTCCATTTTCAAATTCTTTAATTTACTTTTCTTTTAATGTTTAAAATATACCACTGTGGTAAGGTAATGCTACTTAAGCAAGATATCTACAAATCATTCAATGTTGCAAAAATGAATTCGCTTTGAGACAGTTTTTCAAAGTCAAAGGATTAATAAAGATATATATTTCAAATAAAAAAAACTTTATATAACTTTATACATTGACAGAACAGTTCATCGAGTGAAAGACATCTGTCATATCTTTGGCACAGCAGCTGCATTTTGGGGCACCCTGGTCCATCCTCTGTAAAAAAAAACATTGTAATTAAACACAGTCAAAACTAAACTGATAAAATAATTAAGTTCTATAGATGGAAAATTCTGTTTGAATCGGAGGTTGGCGTTATTTAACCTAACATGAATACCATTACTGAAGTTTCACTACAGTATTACCTTGGCAATAGATAACTAAAAATAACCTATTAACATCCCTTAGTTTGAACGAGTGAATGAAATAATCCCGCTGATTGTGTCTTCCCATTAACAGTGATTATCACAAAATAGAACCTTGGTAAAAGATTACTGACAAATTTTATTTGGTTTGTAGAAGTAACTTACTTTAGACTATCGTTGTGAGATTTATAATCGAGTTGTAGGTTCGGAGGACTATTGAGCACTCTCTTCAGTGTCTCCCCGATCCGATTTCTCGTTGCTTGGTCTGTGGCTGTCTTGTTCCACACGGATATTGAATCCTCCTGTACACGAAACAAATATTAATAAACGATATCGACAAACTGACACATACTTTCACCCATCACCTTGACAATGAAAATATGAGCAAAAAATGTATCATACTGGACAAGTTAGGGAGGTGAATAAAACGAAGAACTAAAAAAGAAATGACATTTTTATGAAACTCAAACTCTAGGCCTAATCCTGTGGTAAAGTGAAAAAATACCCAGGCTAGAGCTTAGTGTCCTGGGATGTGAGGGTGAGACAAAAGAAGCTACTCTAAAGGTTTGTCTACCTGATAGCGTATTGACACGACGGCTCCACAGATCTCTTCCCCCACCATGAACTGCTCACCCAGCATGGCCAATATGAGATTCTCCCAACATCGGGAGGCAAGTCCCTTTCTCAATCTTACGATCCATTTGCCTCCATTCTTATTCGCTTTATCCTGCAACAGCATTGTTTTTTCATGATTCAGAATGATCTTTCGACAAATACTCAGAAAAATTCTTCTTCAATCAATAGTATATTTCACAACAAGAGTCATTACATTTTTTAGACCAATTTCACACTTTAAATGGTCGAGAATATGTATAGACTCAATTGTGTTTTGAATGTTACTTTTCGCTACACTACTAAGAATAATTAATTATTTTCTTAATTTAAAACTCACAGCATTTGTTAGGTTATGCCTTCAATTTAAAATTAATATTTAATTAAGTTTTTGAAAGTTGAAGCAGTTGATAAAAAAGTAACAAATATTTCTTTATGTTGGCAAAACCCAAGGAAGATAGTAAAACATTACTTTTGCATAGTAAACATTCTTTTGCCAAAGTAAACAATATAATGATGGATTTTCGCATGTGATAAACATGCAAAGAAAACAGGTCATTTCACAGTAGTGTAGCAAAATAATAGTTTAAACTCATTTCAGTAAAAAAAAAAATCAAAAACAAGAGTACAGGTTGAATACGTCAAACTGTAAAATGTATATCAATTTGGCAGGACCTCTTGGTTCTCTTTGAGTTTAACTGTTTGAAATAAAACCATCTGCTTATCTCATTGAACTCACTGTTAGGTCATGTTATAAGAACAGGTAGGCCTACCTTATTTGCCTGAAAATATTTTTTCATAAATACAACGACTTGCTACTGGACCACATTTAAATTTTTACAAAAAGATAATGCTTTTTCTCTTAGGTATATTCAAATTAATTAAATAAACAAACTAATTGAAACATACCATTTAAGCACACCAGACTAATGGAAGGAGAAATTTATATTTTCAACTCCCTAAAATGTTCTCCTATTTGTACCTGCACTACAATTTGATAATGTTAAAATATTCTACCGGGACTGTTAGATTTGGTCAAATTGTGCAGACCATCCAATGTGGTACATTTATACTCTATACATACCAATCGCTCATCGAGCTGACTACATAACAGAATTGGCTGTTAAAGCAGGTAGCAAACACAGAGAAGATTCGTGTAGCTTTTCTATTTACCACTTAATTGATCCGCTTTTCGATTTAAGAAAAAAGAATATTTCGATAGAGAGTTTTCAAACTAACTACTAATGCGTACCTCCCACATTGGCTTGATCCCTGTTTTGAAAAGATGAAAATCACAGTGACTGGAAAATTCAGAGGGCCTCATTAGGTGACAGTACAAGGCCCAAAATTGCTCTACGGATCCAAACTGGCCGATCAGTTTGAGATTCTGATCGTAAGGCTGATATGCTTTTCCTGGATTTCTTTTACTGAACCACAACCAGTACTGGTACTGAAGTTTATGATGAAGCGGTGGGATTTCTAGAGGCGGCTGAAAAAGATAGTCTTTAGTACATGACCATGGCCCATGGCTGTTTCCATGAAATTAAGAGCCCCAAAGAAAATAGTAAGTTCAGTAAAACGTATATTTTTAATTTATTAAAACCCTCCCAAGACCTTAAAAACAACTTTTTCACTTTTCAGAGTTAAGGGGCCCCTAGTGTTTATTAATAATAATTGGTAATCATAGCTAACTTATCTAAGGAAGTTAATTGCTAGTAGTTAAGGTTCTTTAACTGAACCAAAATTTCAATAAGTCTTCTTACCTTAACATACCATAGCTACATTAAAACATACGTCTAGGTGTGAAAAGGAAGTTGTGATTAATTTTTTTTGAGAAATCACATCAGTTTTCCTTGTTTTAGGAGACATTTTAACAATCAATAGGTCTACTGCATTATCACATTTGGTAACTAGGCTAGTTTTTATTTTTATTTGGATAAAAAATCCAGCCTTAATTTTTATATAGCCTAATGTTGATATTAGCCAGAATGTAAATTTTATTAAAGACCTCAAAAACACACTTTTTAAACCATTAAACATGTTAAAGAAATTACATAAAGCAATTTAAGTTACTGATCCGATTATCTTGGCGGCTGACTTTGTTTACAGTTCGGCCAAAACTTCTGTGCACGTGGACAGGTCGCCACTAGCCGAACTAAAACATACAGTTACTGGCTATTGGCAGTGCTGGGGGTAGTGGTGAGTGAGTAGCAAGACACAAATGTTTTCACAAAAGTACCCCCCCCCCCAACCCCCTCGCCTAGACTCAACCAGATCTGGTCGCGCGCACAGAAACTTTGGCCGAGCTGTACAAGTTGTACCACGGAGGAAAAATGCAACAGTTCAACAATGGAAGTACTGCTAGACTGTCTACCATAATGAACTGGGCTATCTGCCACAGCACAATAAGTAGTGTTCTGGCTGATACCAAAGTAAAGTACCAAAAAACTAAATAAAGCATGGTCAAGAATAGATTAACTAATTAAGTTAGGCCTAGGCTAATGCTTACAAGTTGAGCGATTTTATCTGCACACTGATCTCTTGATCCGTTCTCTCCATCTTCACCGCTGTCAATGTCATCACTGTTTTTTAATCTGGAAAGTTAATGAACCGGTTATTCTTTGCACAAAAACCTGTATTTAGATAGCTTATGGGGTTAGGCTTTCTCTGCATTGGGCAACCATTAAATTTATCACAGGAAAAACTGGATTTCTATTCAAAACAACTACCATGAACTTGAATAAAATTAAGTTAATAACTCATAAAAAAAATAGCCTGTTATAACTGTTTACATTAAATTTCTGCCTCTCCAACCTTTATAATAGGTAGGCCAAAATATTCTTCCACAGCTTTATGGGCACCTACAGTAGGTCTAAGTTATTACCCCGCTAATCCGTACCCCCACAGGTCCATGGTCAGAACAGAGAAAAGGTTGAATTATCCAAGGAGTACATTAAATTACCGTACCAAATAATTTGCTTTTTTAAAACTGACATATTGATCGAGCGCAATCGTGGAAGACGAGGATAATGTTTACGTCACCATGGGAGACGGTGATGATTTTCACATAGTTTTGGTAAATAGTCAGGATATTACTGTACTGCGATAACAAATTGTAACCAATTTGGCGATGGCACAATCAGATTAAGAGAAGGGTAGGACTAGACAAGGTCGGATTGGCGGAGTTCTGATGTGATTTAAGTTAACTTAATGTTTTAATTTTTTACCGGTAACTTACTCTTTCATTTAGGACTACTTAAGTTATTTCTCTAATCGGTTAACTTGCACAATTTTAAACTGGATAACTTCTAAGATCATTTAGGAAATGGGCTTAAGTTAAGCTTACCCTAGGTAGGAATAAAAGGTAGGTTTGGCCTCTATCACAAATCACGAGTTAAGTATGTGATAGGGATTTCGACCTAAGTTATCTTATTGATCTTCATTATCTTGATTGTAAGCAGTAAGCTCATATCTTTGGAAAAACTCTCGGTTATATTTAGTGAAGATTCCATGTTAAACTTATAGGCCCTAGACCATGTTATACTATCTAGAATCTATGGCCCTTTTTGGCACCTTTTTATTGTTGACGAGGTCTATTGTAACTCTTGTTATAATGACCAATAAAGATTTTAGGTAGAAGTGGAAACCTCTTAAAATCCACTTCATTAACAACACTAAAATTCTTAATGAGACCCATCTGAGCTGGGATGGAGTTCACCTAAACCAAGAGGGATCTGAAATACAAGCTAACCAAATTATCCAGGCTCTAGGCCTTACTACAAACAAAAGTTCAACGCCAAAGTCAAGCAATGGGAACCAAACGACCCCAAACTCCGAAACAGCCTCAAACCCTCCAACAAACTAGCAAAAAGCCAATCCCCTAAAAACAACCAAGCCCAACCACTTAGAATACTCCACCTAAATATACAGAGAGGCCTACAAAACAAATTAGATAAAATACAAATTGAAATTCAAAAACTCAAACCCCACATATTGATATTATCTGAACATGGACTAAAGGAAGAAAATCTACTGCAAACTCACATCGAAGGCTATATTTTAAATACCTACTTCTGCCGGAAAATCCATTTATGGGGCGGAATCGCAATTTTTTTAGACACAAAAATACAAACTCAAATAAATGAAATCAAACTTAATGGATTAAGTAAGCCTGAAGAATGTCTATTTGAAACAATAGTAATTAACATTAAACTAAAGACAGACAACATCCTACTTCTGACAACCTACAGATCACCTAGCACAAAAACCGCAGACTTTCTGGAAAAACTTGATTACTCTTTGCAGCAGCTCATAAAAAGGAAAACAAACATACTAATCATAGGGGATACAAATCTTGATATAACTAAAACTCAAAATCCAGAAATAATTGATCTTTCGAACCTCCTCAGTGAACATGGATGCTATATCTACAACATACCGCAAACAAGAACCACAGCTACAACATCCGCCAGCATAGACGGCTGCTATACAAATTTAGAACAAAATAGAATAAAAGTTTCAGCTCTCAAAAACCCAATATCAGATCACCACACAATTGTATGCGATATATTAGATAAAATGTCAATTCAAGGCCCCCTGTACAAAAGTAGTAGAAAATACACCGACCATAATCTGGAGGAAATGAAGAACCTACTAAAACAGATCGACTGGACACCCGTTTATACCCAAAACCAAATTGACAACAAATACAATGAATTCCTAAAAACCCTGCTAATTAACCTTGACCAAGCCATCCCCAAGACCGTCAGAAAAATACAATACAGGAAAAACACCATATTCTGGAGTGAAGACACTATCTCAAAAAGAAAACAACTGCAATCTGCGCAGAACAGATATGAACAGAGTGGCTGTACTCAAGATAAAGAAAATTATTATAAGATAAAAAAAGAATACGACCAACTCATTAGATCACAGCGCACAAAACATACAATAAATAAAATTGAAAAATCAGACAACAAAACCAAGGAAATATGGAGAACCATAAACGCAGAAAGGGTGAAGACAGTTAGAAACCAAACCAACATAACCCTACTACATGACAACAGGAAAATCACAAACCCAACTGAAGTTACAAGTATTTTAAATGATTTCTTTATAAACCCAATAGAAGAACTAAATCATAACAAAGTAAACTGCACTACAGATATTGAACAAATCGAAAACACAACCAATACACCATCTCTTTCAAAATTTAAATGCATATCAGAAGATAAACTAAAGAAACTTTTTACCCATATCAAGTCCAACAATGCTGCGGGCTACGATGAAATCACGGGAAAGCTGCTTAGGTACTGCAGAGAAGAAGTAACGGAACCTTTACTCCATATAATCAACACCTCACTCAACAAAAATCAAATACCTAAAAACTTAAAAATATCTAAGATTTACCCAAAATTTAAAAAAGGAGACAAAGAAAATCCTGGAAATTATAGGCCCATATCCAACTTACCAACAATATCCAAACTATTAGAAAGAGAAATATACGACCAAATCATAAATCACCTAGAAACAAACAACCTACTCACAAACTGTCAACATGGCTTCCGGAAGAAACGAGGAACAAATACCGCAATTGCAGAACTCTGCGAAGACATAACAAGTATTTGGGAAGACAGAAAAAATGCATCGGGACTTTTCTTAGACCTTCAAAAAGCGTTCGACTCATTGGACTGGGATATACTTCTACAAAAGCTAAAAAAAGTACATATTGAAGGAGAAGCATTGGCACTAATAAAAAACTATCTTGACCATAGGTACCAATATGTTGAAACCGATCAGCAAGTGAACAACATAATTATAACAACCAAATCACCACTTAAACAGAATACAAAAGGCATTCCTCAAGGCTCCATACTTGGCCCACTTTTCTTCCTGATATATATTAATGATGTACCGGAAAAATTATCAAAAGAATTCAAATGTATTCTATTTGCAGATGATACCACCATAATAATACCTACAGATAGAAATAAAAATAACCAACAACTCATAACCACAGCAGTAGAACAAGCAACAACAATATGCAACAACCTAAATTTAAAACTTAATACCAGTAAAACTACACACATAAATTTCAAACCAAGCAACAACCTAGAAGATCAAAGCGACTGGACCAACATCAGTATCACAACACAAGAAACAACTAAATTCCTGGGAATAATTGTTGATAAAAATTTATCCTGGCAGCAACACATCGAACATCTGTGTAAAAAACTGGCCTCTGCACACTATGGCATCAAACGAATTCGCACCATAACCGACGAAGAAACCTCCAGAATAGCCTACTTCTCGCTTTTTGCTTCTCACCTGAGTTACGGAATTGCAACATGGGGATCATCATCTGCAAACAATATGGACAAACTACTTATCCTACAAAAGAAAGTACTACGGACGATATGCAGGACACACTATCTGGAACATTGTAGACCCCTATTCATCCAGCTCAAAATCCCCACCGTTTTCTCACAATACATCCTAGAAACCATTCTCCTAGCAAAAAAATCCAATCCAACACTCCGGTCACATTATCATAATCACAACACCAGACACAAAAACAATATAAACCTGCCACAACACAGACTAAAAAAGTTCAGCAACACCCCAACATACACAGGATCTAAATACATAAATCTTCTGCCAGAAAAAATTAAAAACATTTCAAATCATACCACATTTGTAAAGACACTAAAAAACTACCTTATAAACAAACCATATTACTCAACAAAGGAATACATACAAGAACACACCTATACACACCTACACTGGGCTAGCTGAAAGGCTGCCAAGAAGATGAAGAAGGAGAAATTTTGACGACTCCCCGATCTGAGGATTGTGGTGAAGAAAGAAGAGGTAAAAGGTAAAAGGTAAAAGGTCTTAAGGCTTGTGGAATAGACACATAACTGAACTTAGATAGCTGGACAACCTCTTGACACAAACTGACAACAGATTTTTATTAACGCAGAGGATACACGTCCGGTAACAGGACGTGGATTAGGCGTCCGGCAGTTACTGTCATAACCTAACCTAACCAACCAAACTTGCTGATAATGAAAAAAATCAAATGAAGGTTCAATTCTCTTCATAACATAAAATTATAAATGCAAAAAATTCTAACAAAAGATGTAGGCCTACAGTTAAGAAGAAATTACATTCAAAGCAAAATCTGTGACAAAAAGTTAAAGAAACCGACGGGTTTCGAACCAGGGACCTCTTGGATATCAGCCTAGCACTCTATCCACTACACCACGAACAACGCTGGCCGAACATCGTATCGTTGTGGTAATGGCGATCCAGGACCCCACAACCCAGTGACGTCACTACCGGACGCCTAATCCACGTCTGGTTACCGGACGTGTACCTATCCTCTGTGTTTTATTAAAGGAATCGGAAGAGCAGAAATTAAAAATGTTTGAGCCAGTCCATCTATTGTATTTTATGACGATGCCCACTGCATTTTGTACAGTGCTTAAAGGAAAATAAAATCTAATTTCTCATCTTTGATAGGTAGACTATTTGAAATGACCCATTTAGGCTTATATGCTTGGGTCTTAAGTCGATTTTCAAGTTAGGAATATGAAGACAATATAACCAAGAGTCTTTTGGGACCCGGGAAAAAATCTTAGGTACCATCACAAAGTTAGTTTTGTTGGGTACAGTTTCAGGTTTGTTGGGTAGTTTTAATATTGATTGAAACTATCGAATTGAAAATATTGATTAATAGGCCTAATCGATATTTTAAAATAATATCTATTATAAAATTTAACTATCATAACCTAACCTAACCAACTAAACTTGCTGATGGTGAAAAAATTGCATGAAGGTTTACTAATCAAATCGATAGTTTCAATCAATATTAGCATAGCCCAGTTAAGAAACTAACTAGTCTAACTTATCTAAGTTAAGTCTAGGTTAGCCTATAACTTACGCATCGTATTTATTGGTCATCTTAAAATAATATAATATAGAAATATCAATCAAGGTATACGTGGAATAAATGACACAGAGTTACTATAAATTAGATAAATAATTATTAGTCTAAAGAGAATAACAAACAAAACAAGACGTTCAGTTTCAGGCTTCACAGACACTAGACAGCTCCTCAAACTGAAAAAACCACTAAAAAACTGCTGATTTGCTGAACTGAGATGAAAATCCAATCGAAAAGCAAAACTGTTCCTGTGTTGTGACACACAATACACATCGAGATCAGACGACGAGAGTAGTGGGACTGAAAGCAGAAGTTAATAATAAATTTGACTCAAACTAGAATAATAGTAGCACCATTGATTATATACACACCCACTACACATTTAAAATTTAAAAAATATATGGACTATATATAGTTCAAAAATGGAACCAAATAAAAACTCTTTATTTCGTGACTATACTTCAAGTGCATTTAATGGTATTTCAACCGTGTTTATAATCCATGTATATAATATAATGGTGCTACTATCATTCTAGTTTTAGGCAAATTTATAATTTTGTAATACACTTTTTATATACTTTTCAATGAAATGTCAACCATACAAAGTAGGTATTTTATGCCAAGTGTTAATGGAGATGAGTGTAGGATGAGTGGCGCGATATTGTAGTCTTGTTAGTGACTAAGGCCGACATATTCCTAACATATACAGCTAATGGCAACTAAGGGACCTACAGTTTATAGTGGAATCCGAACCACATTTTTGTCTTTACGAATTGGTCGAATTATCAGGATAGTTTATTAATTATTAACTTCTGCTTCCAGTTCCACTACTCTCGTCGTCTGATCTAGTTGACCATTGACTTAAAACACTATACATTTTATAGTGATTTAAATCAACGGGTACCATACATATATTTATAATTTTCTTATATAGGGACCGAATCAACACCAGTGATCACTGTCACCGGACATGAACTAGGAGGCACGAAAAACGATCTTCAAAATTTACAATGGAATGAGAAGTCTAGTACTCGTGTGTTGGTTAGTCTATGATCTTACACACAAGTTCGTCTTAAATAAGCTTCGCCTAGGCACGTCAGAGTCGAAGGGAATTCAATTTAATTTATTATCACTAAAGGCTATGCCAACAATAAAATTGACTCAAAATGAGATATATTCCTACCAGCATTACCACATTTTCATTGATAGTTATTCTCTTAGGTGCCATGTTTTGACAATAGTTCTGGCCAAGGACTGTCACCATCACCAAACCATCCTAAAACACAGGATTTTCCTAGGCTTGGAAGAGATGAGTCAGAGTGCGGAAAAGCGATTAACATGGCGTACCGCTCCACTTTTAAAAAACAGTACCACATAATTTCCTAAGAAAAGAGGAGTCCCCGCGCCCAGTAAAATCTGGCCTATAACAACCCCTCTTGTTGTTAAAATGTGTTTTTTCCTTTCACCATGGTGTCCTAGTATCATGCACATATATTATAACAAATACAGGTTAATAATATCTGTGCATAATATATCATAAACATAAACAAATGACGTCACTGAAAAAAATTAATTATAATGAAACTGATATGATAGCCACTAAATTTTAAAACAGAACCCGATGTGGATGTTCAGGTTATTAGTTTCTGTTAGTGCCAGTGACGTCATTTTTTTATAGTTATGATTCATATAGTTTTCTTGATCTAATAACCGTGCTAGTGTGTGATCCGATCCGACCCGAGGGAAGTTGAGTTCAAGATGTATGGAGTAAAGGAGGTGGGCCAGACAGAGCGGACTGCGCGCGATGACGTCACTGCAGTCCCGGCCGCGGCTGCTTCGCCGCTAGATACATGCTAAACGCACAAACCTTACTTTTTCAGACACGATTTACGCTGGTTTGGAGGAGGTATTTACCGTTATGACACAAATATCTTTGTGTACTAAATAATGATTTTTATGATTTTGAACTAAACATGAATTGTGAACAGTTTGACAATAGTAAATAACCAATTAGGCCTGAATGTTGCATAGAAAGTGATGAAATGCGGGCGTCTACGATTCAGTTGGAATAATATTACACTTAAGAATTATTTTAGATTAAGATATAACACTCCCCTTTTTCAGGTCAGTTAATAAAAAATATCTTTTAGCACTAGGTAAAAAAGTTGCCTTTTTAAAAGTTACTTCAACTGCTTTTTGGTGTTAGTTATAAATGAAACGCCATCCTTTTTCATGTTTTATTTCTCTTTTTTTCCTTTTTAATGATAAACTTATTTGGGTTTGTTGATAAAAAAAAAAAAACAACAACCAATTATTTAATAGTTTACATGAGAATCATAAATGTTGCTTACAAATCAAAGTCAACTACGATACTGTATTACTATTTTACAGGAATTAAATAGACCACAAAAATCTGTTTGGATAAATGGCATTGATCAAAGAATACGCTCAGAAAATACTAATGATTTTCCCCGAGGAAAGCTTGTTTCACAGGTACTTTTAAAGAAAAATATTAATTCCGTATGTATAAACATATGTTTCATTTTAGACTTTATTATTTTCGTGTTAAGAGGATTTTCTCTTTTATGTAACCCAGACAGCACACTTTATCCCAGGGACATCCCATAGTAGTCCCATATGTCCTGAGAATGTCTCGGGATATGTGCGCTATCCTCAGGATATCCCGCAAAATCCCGGGACGAGTACGAAATCCACAGGATATCCTACAATATACCGTAATGTCCCGGGATTTGTAAGTTAACCTCAGGATATCCTGTAAAGTCCCGGGATATGTACGAATGCCATAGGATATCCCAGAATGTCCCATGACATCCCGGGACATGTAAAAAATCCACTGGATATCCTGTAATGTCCCGGTAACAAACTGAAGAAAAAAATACTACCACTGATGAAATGTACAGTATATCTAAATTTAAATGTTCCACAAGGCCAATATATAATAATTTGTTTTTTTCACTAGTGCTTTCAGAAACTTGGTTTCCATCTTCAGGCTGTGTTTACACTAGTACAGAAAGTAAATATTTACTTAATAAATTAATTTTAAACAAAGTTAAAACAGATGATTTAAAGAATATTGGAAAAATAAAAAATAATATTAGAAAAATTAATCTTTTGAATTTTGGACATGTTACAGTGTTGTTCTTGATGTAATTATTTTCAGTAATTCCGAATTTATAATTGGGCCGTCTTCATTATTTAACAAATAATTTTGGTATGTTTTTTTTTCTAAAAATAAGATTCCCACGCATTAAGATGTTGAGGTTTTATAATTTATTTTAAAAGTTTAAGGTTTCCCAGATTGAAAATATGTCTTGTTAATACTATGGCTAGCAAGGGTTGACTTTACTTTACTGACATATTACTACCACTGAGTTCAGGAAAACTAGAGTTCTATCATGGTTGTGTGAAATGTGAATTTAATTCTAACTTTAAATTAATGAAACAACAAAAAACTAATTTTAATCATATAACAATCAATTATTACAGTGCTAATCTAATGGTGATTAAATAATCTATATTCAAATACCAGTATCCTCTCCAACTACCAGAAAAACAATTCAACTACTTGAGGCCTAAACAGATTAACAGAATCATATATAGCCTATACTGTAGTATCAAAAATATTTTAAGTATTGCGACCATTGCAACTGTCGGCTACTCTTTAACCACTTGAAAACACTCATAATCAACAAGCGCAGATAGCTCAGGAGGTAAGGTAAGAGGCTCACAAGGCGAAGGTACCAGGTTCGAAACCCGTCTGGGCCAAAAACTTTTTTCTCGTTTTTTTCTTCAAAATTTGTGTTTATTAACTATTTAATCAATTTACTAAACTTATAATTAAGCTTTTCATACTAAATCTATATTATTTTGTGTTTTTTATGTTCAGGCCCAGACCACACTTTATCCCAGGGACATCCGATAGTAGTCCCATATGTCCTGAGAATGTCCTGAGGACTACCCTGGGATGACCTCGGATGTCCCACGGATATGCGTGTGAGCTTATCCGTAGGACATCCCCGGGCGGGGACATTACGCATTCCTGTGGATATCCTGTGATATCCCAAGTTGACCATAGGACCGCTATGGGATATCTTGCATATCCTGTCGCAATATCCGTGGGATGTCCTGAGGAGAAAGTGTGCTGTCTGGGAAGTGCACGTTGTTCGGTGTTTTTATACGAGTTTACTTTCTGAGATAAAAAATGCTAGCTATATATATAATGACAGTTACCTATTTTAAAACTAAAACTCAATCCGACATAAGAGTCATATTTTATTCGCAAACCAAATATGCTTTGTCTTTATTGAAATGTGCAAAAGAAACGATTTTTGGATTTCAATCATTTTTATATTTGTTAATTTTGAAGATGTTTAAAGGAATTAATTTCATGATTATTGAGTTTGGGGAATGTTAAACATTCGTGAGCCCTGAATCAAACATGTGTCTACTGAACACAGTATTATCGCAGTGATGCGGAGGAATGTTCTACAAAACGAAAATTGAGAAAACTTTACCGGGGAAACAAAAAAGTTGTGCAAGCTGTGTTGTAATAATAAAACACCACGATGTAGGCTAAATGAAAATTGAGAGTTTGGAAAAGGAATTTTTAAAATCGAAAATTAAATAGGTATTTTACCTAGGCCTATTTAAAACGTTTTGATATGAATAAATGACCCTGTTAAGAAAGTAAAGACATTAAGCCATTACGCCATAAAGTTCATCGTTTACCTCTAGACCGTCTTGAGCTATTTGCTCAAAGAAGAATAGTAGAGTCTAATGATATTGAAGTTTTTTTAATCAGGCAAAAACAAATGAACAGCAACAAAAAATCAAAAACAATCAACTAAGAAACGTCATTGTCAGTACTAAATTTAAGAGTAAGTAAAGATTTCAAGAACTCTACAACTCAATGTGTTTATATCTGATTGCATGTCCAATGGTGAGAGATACACTTTGTAAATAAAGTGTTTTTATTTCAAATGTGTTTTCTTTCCATTCATAAAAATATAAATCTCCATTCCTAATTACACTATTCTAATGATGATTGTACATTACCAAAAGCTACTTTCATTTTGTATATCTGTATAGTGAACAATGTTTGTTTGATTTAAATAATAATTTGAAAAATGTTAAGGGTATCTAATTTAGTTACTGATATATTCATGAACAACTGTAGTTAAGTAGGCTATCCTAAAAATATATAGATCATAAAATTAGATGCTATTTACCGGATCAGAGTAGATCCTTAGTGATATAACAACAATTGCAGAAATGGACATCAATTTAATCAACAATGCTCTAATATTTGAGTAGTAATATAATAAGGAATAACATATTAATATATTTAAAACCAAGCAAAACCAATTTTAACAATTGCGTAGTACAAACTGGCGTAAACAGCGCAAAACAACATCTGAAAGTGTTGTGTACGGGCTGTGAGTAGCGGCTCGAGGACTGCAGTGACGTCACTGCCTCAGTCCGATGGGCTAGGGGGGGAGAGGGGCGCGCTCTGTCTGGCCCACCTCTTTTACTCCACGCATCTTGAGTTGAGTTGACGTTTATCTGCGTTTATCTTATTGTTGTGATCGATCATATGATGTCCTAGTGCTGATGTAAATTATAACAACAAAATTACTTTGGTTTGGTGTCGTTTCATTAGTAAATACTAAATATTTTGTTTAGTTTCGTGTTAAATTGGAAAAGTGAACTCGTATTTTGCAAAAGTTAAAGTTACCTATGTAAATAAATGTAATGTACCTAGGCCTACCTCATTTTCAAATTACTTTTACCCTGATTGGTGATTAAAAGGCGCATTGAGATTAACAAGTTAAATACAAGTAAGTGTGTACCGTATTCTAAATTCAGGGAAATTCAATGAACTTATAGAGGTATAAATCCTCTAAAGAATTATAATTGGTTTCTGGTTTATAAAAACAATTGTAGTCTTACACAATAACTTACCTACTTATATAGCCTAACCTTTTTGCCAGTATAAGCACTGTAGAGGCCGCTTAAAACCAATTTGTCTTAAACCTAACTTTATTACTTGTTCCATGTCTTTAATAGCAGCAAAAAATGTTATTATTTTCAGTTTTGGTGCCTAATGGCCTTGTAAACTCAGATGCTGTCACCAGAATAGCCTACTTACAAGCCATCACTGACCATATAGTGACCATCTTTTATTCTTAAATTTTTTATTAAAGTTTTAAAAGAAGTAAGAGGGCTTGACACTGATGTGAATCTCGGACAGACGTCTGGTTAGCATACTCATCTAGAAACCTAGGGTTCTAAACATTTCCATTAAGTATCTAATTAATATGTTTTAATCTATTGTTTTCAGCTGTACTTAAGTAATGGAATCCTCATCAGCAACCTCATCCAATGCTAAAAAAATCTACAAGGAAAACCACCCAGGAAACCTCAGAACAAAAATATTGCCAAAATCAGAACTGAAATCCAATATTCCAAAGCCAGGTAGGCCTAATTGATCAGGCTACCTACTAACTTATCCCTTTGTGTACCTTAGTTGTTTACACTTATGCCTATGCCAAAACTTAACTTATATATATTCAATATTCGACTCCATCGTTGTACCATTTTATGGTGCACGCTCAAAAGCTTCTTGTTTGAGACACAGCCAAACACGCTCCTGAGCCAGGGCCAATTACCGAATAGGCATGTGCCTAGTTCGCAAGAAAATTGGATTTCTTAGGGGGCACCTAAAAATTGGATAGGTAATAAAAAAAGTTTATGGTGGTACATTGGATTGCTGTAAGCTTCTGCTTCTGATAATCCCTCACGGCAGTGTAGACATCATTAACTTATTGTCTCCTGCGGCCGTGTAGACATTGTAATCGTCACCCGCAACTGCGGCAAAATGTTAATTATTTCCCGCGAACGTGTCACAGACATAATTATCGTCTTTCATTATCGCGGCAATATTAACATAACCTGTGGTCTAAGCAGATTATCATTGACTACCACTAATGAGGTAAAATTCTGACCTTTTCCCGCAGTTTTGTGACGAAGAAACAAAACTTATCTTCGTTTTGTGCGATCATGGTAAAACTCTGATCATCCCTTGCGTCCGTAAAGACATCATTATACCATCTCCGGCGGTCGTGTGGACATAGTAATCGTCTCTCGCAATCGTGGCAAAATGGTAATTATCTCCCGCGGTCGTGTGGAGATCATCATCGTCTTCCGCAAATGAGCAATATTCTGATCTTTTCCCGCGGTTGTGTGGACATTCATTGTCTTGCACGATCGCGGCATAATTCTGATCATTTCCTGCGATTAAGTAGACATCATGACATTGTATCTGCCGCGGTTCTGTAGACATTGTAATCGTCTCCTGCGACTGCAGTAAAATATGTTGATCGTATGTCTGCCAGTCGTGTGGAGATGTCTAAAAATGCCCTGATGCGCATATTGGCCAAGTGGAGAGCAAAGGAAAATTAGCTGATTATTTTCCCTTGTTCTAAATTAGAGCTTGAGAAAGTTAAGCACTAATTAACCCTTTGAGTGCCACCGCCATTTCACCATTTAATATGCATAAAATGCCGGGCAAAAGCCTACAAAATTGCAATCATCTGGGGAAAAAATTGTAAAAAAATAACTAGGCTATTGAACGAATTTTAATATTTTTGTTTATATTTTGTTGGTTATTAAGTGGAGAACATATTAATTATGGTGATACAGTTTGAAATTAAGTTTGCTTTATAAAAAATAAAATTATAACGATACCATAAAAAAAATATAAATTTAAAGTTTGAAGTAAAATTTTGTGTATGAATGAAAATTTAAAAACGTACGTTTTCAGGAAAAGCACTTTGCAAATTTTTTTCCCCTTTTTTCAAAACTTTTATTATTTTTTTTATTTCATCAACATTTGAAGTTTCATAAAATGTCCATGGTAACGCAATATCTTTGGTAGGTAGTTTCTTTTTAAAAGAGCATCTTTAGTGGAAAAACACAAAATCCTATCACGACCATAACGGACGTTTAAATGAATATTAAAAATAGTTAATATTATTTTTATAACTATGTTTTGCTTTAAACTAATTTACTTTTATGACCATTATACAATAAAAAGGTCACTGAGCTTTTGGTATATTTGGTCTCTCTAGAAAAAAATAAAAATACTCAAAAAATTGAAAAAAAAGCCAATAAAATCTTTTTAAGTTTGTATAACTCCGAAAAAACTTACCTGAGACCCGAAAAATCGTTATGTTTGTATAGAGGTGTGCTTCTTTTGTGTATAAAACATTGAAATATGACGATATTTTAATTTTTGAAATTTTTATGATAGAAATCATAAACGTGATGGTCAGGGACAAGCGGTACGGTCGTGAATTGTCTGGAATAATCTAAATCTTTCTAAACAATCCTTCAATTATCCTGTTAGTTACCGGTATAATAAAAATATGTGTTTCAATTGAACAAAACTGTTCAATTTACAATTATATTAAAGTTATTGTCACGACCAAACACACTATAATCCATAAGGCTGGATTGGTCGTGAAAAAACCCGTGATGGTCGTGAAACTTTGGTCGTGAAATTACGTGTTATTTGGCTCTGTTCTGGTGGTAGCCCTGCACCTCATGTTCGAGGATACAAAGTGGACTTCTAGGTTAATCTAGCAATTGAAATATCTTATAAACAAAAATTAACACCATGTCTACTTTATCGAATGACTACGTACGGTCATGGACACACCAAAATTACAAAAAACATAATCTTTCCTTTATTAATCTTGTAATTCCTCCTTTCAACTCGAAACGACCGGCACTACAATCCTGACGTTCACCCCGAAACTAGTCTCTAAAACCAACTGACTCCATCGACGCCAGGCTTGCCACAGTCATGCTCCAAAGTTGAAAATTTTTCCCAAATGGTCGTGACGCCAAATCGAGGGATAGACTTATTTTGTCATGGTAGTCAGTTTGTAATGACAATAAAAATTATAATATGCTTTTTTTTGTAAGTTTAATAACCATTGATGACATAAAAATATGGCTTTATATATTTCGGCATGAATAATTAGTCTAAAAACAGCGTGAAAGTTGGAAAATGTACCCTAGGGACACGTCATGGTCGTGAATTTCGAGACTTTAAAAATACGAAAAAAATACCTAGAACCTATTTAAAACCAAATAAATGTGTGTAACATGTTGCCCCCGTCCCAAAAAATATTAAAACACATAATAATAAACTACAAATCCAGTATCTACGAAGTAAAAGGCCAGGGACAAGAAAACGTACGTTTTTAAATTTTCACTCGTATACAACATTTTTATATATTTTTTTTAGTTATACTTTTTTATTTATACCACAAGAAAGAGAATGAAAATCTGATCTAAAATCATATATACTATGTTATCTTACTATAAAAAATATGACATGATTAACGCAATGCAAACAAAACACTACAAAAGTAAATTTTGCTCAAATCTCGATTTTGGTTTACTACTTCTTTTACAATTCACTTTTCTCACATACTCTAACACTAAAACAAAAGTCACTAAAATACTTATAAACTTATAATAAAGTGTTTCAAATAAGTTTAGTGAAAACAGAGAACTCACGGTGTAAACAAAACAGCTAACTAAACTGCGTAGCTGTCTGCCGCTAGTACTGACAGCTGTTATGATTGTGTCACCTTTTTCTTGTAAAGCCCATGACTCCCAAGGAGACAGTAAAATTGAAAAACCTGTATAAATCGATTGTTCAGTACAGTTTTGTAAATAGCGTAATTAGTAGTCTCATAACTAATCATTAATTTTATTAACATTTAATTAACAGTGTGCATAGGTTTTTAACATTTATTTGTATGTTAATTATTTAGTCTAAGTCTATAAAATATATTCCACTCACACACACACACATCACAACAGCAATTCCCTTCCCCACATTCTCCTTAAAATCATACGATGCCTACGTCATATGGCGTGATCTATCTCTGTCTCTTTCCCTCTCATGGAAAATTAAAATTTCCCCACCATGATTTTATTCAGTTAGCGTCTAAAACCTTCCTCGTTCGGACGTATGTGCCGCGCCGCGCCGTTTTTATGGCAATCTCTCGGTCTTTTGACCACCTCGTGGTGGAAGTGTCCCCACATTGAAACTTCTTTCTCTTAAATCAGTGATTAATAACACTAAATTCTCCCTTTCGAGTGTGTGCAGTGCATCAGAACCTCAAGAACTTCTTGTGTGTCCCTCAGCGTGGTGAGCTCACCCAATCCCCATTCCCCCTGTTACCTTCCAATGTTGGATTTTCTTATTGAAAGGTATGTGACACTGTTTTTTATAATCTCTTTTAACTATCATATCAAACATCGATAGTTTGGAGCTTGGAGAATACGATACAGCCAATAACAGGTTAAAAAAACAAACTATATGAACTATTTATTAAATTATGATCGTCTACTATGTAGATGCTGACACTTTATTATGCATATTTCATATCGTCTACTATGTAGATGCTGCGGCACTCAAAGGGTTAAGCTAAATTAACCAGGCAAACTGGAAACCAAGCATTAATTTTTACTGGAGCTTTATTTGTTGTAGTGCCCTATGTTAGAGTAAGAAGAGAACCTCGTTCAAAAAGCTGTTCCTCTGCTTGTTTCAAGACTACTTCCTCATGCTTTGGTAATGTGAATGTTAGAAATCCAACATTTAGAGAAAAACTGTCACAAAATTCTTGCAAGAGTCCTCTCCGAGCACATTCTCTACCTTCCACAAACAGTTGCAGAAACCAGTACTCAAAAATAAAACCCAAGATTGATAACAGTACACCTCTCTCTCTAATTACTAAAAGAAACCATTTGAACGGTCTCTTGGATCACAGAAGAAAAGGAAATTCTGTAGTTGAAGAACCTCCTGGGGATCATAAGATCAAAGGAAACTCTCTTAGAAGTAATAAGCTGGAAAAGAAGGTAAGAATAAATTACCTTTCTTTACACACTCACTACAAATTTAAGGAATTACTACCAATTAAGAGAGGGGATGCCACATATGTGCATAGGCCTATTTCAACCCAAATATGGGTGTAGAGTGAAGTGAGATGATCTTTGTAGCATTGTTACTGAATAAGTCAGCTGTTTTATAAGACAGGACCTCTGATTACTAGGCGAGCACTATAACCACTCAGCTCTGTTAGTTTCTTGGGCTTTGGTGTGGTTGTAATGATATTGGTTTGATCCCCATCCTATCAATAAAAAATTTGGGGGTTTGTACTGCTTTCCCTTAAAAGCGTCTGTAAATTTTCATACAAAAGAAACCCTGAGTACCCTACCAGGATTTTTAAAAATACCTAGGATACTCTAAATAAAAAAGCCTCTCTGATTATTATTTTTTTTGTTCATTTTACAGAAGCACTCTTTAACTTCCCAATATGAATTTGAAAGTTATCAGCCTTCATTGGTTCCAAGTGCTGCTGATGGTATTCGTATTTTTCAAAAAGAAGGCATTCTTAGTATTTTGGAAGAGCCTAAAAGCTGTCTGTTTAAAGAAAGTAAGTAGGCTACCAAGTTACATCAATACTTTTCCATTGCTATCAACTTAGCTTTTATGTTAATTCCGTAAAATTACAAGATTGTTTTTTTGATTCTTCAGATTTTGATAAGCTTGATAGGTATGAATATTTTAATTATTGAAATTTGTTTTAATCCTGAGAATTGTTTATTTCTTGATTGGCCTAACATATTCAGCACAAATAATTTAGTAAGTTTACGTTAGAATTCCAATGATAACAAACTTTTGATGGCATTTTCTTTTAAAAGGTGCACCAAAGCTCTTATCATATTTTGAGAGACAAATAGAAAGAGTTTCTGAAATGTGGCGTATGCTGATTTGCGACTTGATTGTAACAAAACCGACTGTCAGTGAAAAGGCAACAACCCTACTACCCCTGCATGGATCTAAGATGGATTGGAAGTCCGTCATCCACAAGTTTCTGGAGGAATTACCAAGTCCAGGTAAATCTTATTTGATCAGCTTGAAATTGGAATGAAATTAAATATCTTTGGTGTTGCCTGAGTTCTTGCAGGTAAGATGTTTATGTCACACTGTGCATTTCTGCACCTTGTGTGGCATCTTCAGAGGGTCTTTTTAATCCCATATCAATAACACTAAACGCAGTCTATACTGAATTTCCATACACCGGTCACTAGTACTTTACTTTAAATACTTGTCAATGAAATGGCGACCATACAAAGTAGGTATTTTAAGCCAAGTATGAATGGAGGTGAGTGTAGGATGAGTGGCACGATCTTGTTGACTAAAGCCGACATGTTCCTTAGACACAGCTGTTAATTAATAGCCCATACAGCTAATAGCAACTAAGGGACCTACAGTTTATAGTGGAATCCGAACCACATTTTTGCCTTGATATATACGAATTGGTCTAATTATCAGGATAGTACTGCGGATAGCCGTAGTACTCACTCGTGTGGACGTTAATCCACACTAGGGAGTATTGTATCCACAGTGCATGCCTAGTGCACTAGCATGTTGTTAGTGTTAACTATGCTAATCTCATATTTTTTAGGTGAAAAATTTCAAAGACAGTTGTTCAAAATAGAAGAAGAGCAGAAGAAAGTAATACAAGTTTTGATACAGGATGTAGTATCCTTGATAAAAGAACACAAGGAACTTAAAATAAATCATTGTAATCTCAAGGAAACTTCTGAACAGAACGAATCAAGGCTGAAGGAGGAGTTGGCCATTCTTGGGCAAGAAAATACAGAGCTTGATAAGAAGTTCATATCTGCAATAGAGAGAATTGAGCTGGAGAAATCGAAGACAGAAGAAATGGAGAAGAATCAGGTAAATTATAGTTTGATTTGAAATAATACCATCCAGAGAACAGCTTATAGTTTACATTCTCAATTGGTTTGTACATTCTAGCAAATTTCCACTGTAAAAATAAACTATTACCTTAGGTCTTATGGTATAATATATATTTGTGTGTGTGTGTGAATGAAATGTAGAACAAACAAGTAAAACTTATGTTTATTTTGAACAAGTTCTTGAATTAGCATGATCGGACGATGGAAACCAAGTTTTATGGGTTAAAAACTGAGTTTTTCCAAATGGAAATCCAAACTCTTAATATAATGAAATTTAGCAATTTGTCTCTCATACAATATTTGACAGCTCGGTGACAAAGGTATTCACCCGCGACCACAGCAATGGTTATACCAAGGTCGGATATGAAGAGTTCTACTGTGTTTTGATCAAATTTGGCAAATTTTTATATTTTATAATCCAATGAGGTGAATGTAAATTTTCTTAGTCTGCAGATTAGCAGCAGTGATTGGTGGTAGGGGGGGGGGGGTTATTTATGAACAAATAAACAGTGGACAGTTTGTTTGGAAGTTGATGTTATACTTATAAGCAACAAGAGTTGTACTTAAAGTCTGCAATGTTATTTTGTTACGTTGTTTGCGTTCATAAATCTGTGTGTGTGTGCAAAATACATATTTTACAAGGATTTGATATTTTTGCAAGATAGATTAAAACACATGATAAGTATTTCCTTAAGTACTTGCTATATGTTTCCTGATGCTTTTAATTGTTCAAAAGGCACACTATTTTGCAATTAAGAGAGAAATTTTCATAGTACCATTATCTGGAAAGCTTTTTACTAATATTGCAAACATTTCACTATGTAAAATCTTTTGTTAAGATGGAAATACTAAAGAAGCTATTTGAGTTGAGAAAAGTTGTCAAGCTTATTGAAAAGAAATTCTCAGAGCTGGAGAGAAGAAGTGAGAATGTTGAAACTACTCGGAGAAAACTTGAAGAGAGTGTAAAAAAATTGGAAACAAAAGATATAAATGAAACTAAAAAATATGAAGATCTATTGAAAAAACATGCTGAATCACAAAACTGTGTTTTGAAACTGTAAGTTTATTATGAGTAAAATTCTTAAACTATAAAATTAATCCTTTAAGATTATTGCTCGCTTGGCCATAACCGGCTAAATTTACGCCAGGGGTTTAAAGAGTTTCATAATGGATAACTTCATTATGGAACAGCAGGCCAAAAATCGATCCCTGAGGAACGTCGTACCTGACGCTCTAGGGTTTGGATGTTGTGCCCTCGTCGGAGACCATCTGATGCCTAGGCTCAAATCCTTCATCAACCAAGTCAGATAACATCTTAAATGCACCAGTGGTGGACGCCTCTTTTCTAAAACCATACTGCCCATCTGATGTTAAGCTGTTCATCTCCATATAACAGTGTCGGTTGGAATGATATGGCTTCAATGACTTTACCCAGAACAGGCACTATGGAGACCGGCCTGTAACTGGCAAGACCGTCTCGATCACCCTTTTTGTAGACTAATAATTAAATTACCAAACTGATGGCTGTTAGAGCTTGGTGTGTTAATTCTAGAAACTAATAATTACTTACATTGCAGCCTAAACTGCTCTACCACCTGCTTGATTGTGGCCTACTCAAGAGTTTCAAACCAAAAAACGCTAAATTCATATAAGAAATATTATTCTTTAAATTTTATAAAGGTGAATTATATATTGTTCCCCCACCAATGACTAATTACTTTTTTGTATTTTTGCAAGGAAACAACAACTAAAGGAGGGTGAAAACACCAAATTGTCATTAGAAAAGAAATTAAAAGAATACGAAAATGTCATGGCAAACAAGAAAGCTGCTCTCGAAAACAGTTTGCAGGAAAGGTATATGTTCTAACTTATTGCTTAGTTGGTATTTCGGTATTTGTTAATTGATTCAGCCCAAACTCAAGGGCTATTCATAAATTTAAATAGAAATAATTTTATTTTTGCTGATTTGTTAATTTTGGTTTTCTGATGGCTATTTGAATTACCAATTATCGTATGCTACATAGTTTTTCAGTGCAGAAAACGTTTGTTAAAATAAACTAAGTTAAAAGTTAAAATACTAAGGGTTCAAAGTAAAAATAAGCATACCCATTTTTTTAAGTTATTGCACTGAGGCAAGAAACAATAAATAAGAGTCATGTATCAATATTGATATTGAAGGGCGTTTCAAAAGAGAAAAATTGGAGTGGTCTGAGGGGTATGGAAAACCTACCAGGGAAGAGGAGGGGTTCAGGGAAAATTTTGAAATATGTATGCGCATTGACCTTATATTCATGGGTCAAAGTAATCCATGAGATGTCTGTGTTTGATAAAAAAATTAGTGCTCAGCTGATGATGACACAGTTGTGTCAAAACATGTTCTGAATTTCACCATACAGTATTTTGAGCTATTGACGTAAGTAATATATCTTACAAAAAAGTGTTAACGTTTTTAGAACTCAACTGGAAAAGAAGGTTGCTGACAAAGACAAGAAGATAAAAGAACTGATTGCAGAAATAAATTTATTGCAGCCAAAGAAGACGTTATGCGAAAATAAGGCAAGAAACATAATTTATCCAGCAAAAACAGATTAGCTCAAGTCAATTTTAAGCTTAAGTTTAAGAGTTTATGAGTACTCTTGGTAGTTTGGTTTCTCACGCCACCCATGCTACTCCAGTGCCCTTAGGTGCAGAGTCCATGGGTTTCAAGGGGCCGAGCTCTCAGAAATGTTTAGGGCAGAGAGGCTCATTTTTATTTAACGGGAATTCCAGCCATGGTCGCTCTATCCCAGGATCCTCTGGGTGGTTATGAGATCACTGACGGGTGTACTTGTTGGGTAAATATTGTAGCAATCCAATTGCACCCATTGAAATGATTTTTATTTATAAATATTCTTATGACAAATGACAATACATATTACTACTAGCTGTAACCCGCGGGCTTTGCCCCGTTTAACTTCTTAATTTTCAAGATTATCTCGTTCGCATGGCTCAATCACGTCCTGGTTGAAGTTTGTTCGCTACGCTCACTCCCCTTTAGGTTGGAGCTCGTTCGCTACGCTCACTCACCTTTAGGTTGGAGCTCGTTCGCTGCGCTCACTTGCCTTCAGGTTAGCTTGTTCGCTACGCTAACTCGCCTCAAGGTTGAAGTTCGTTCGCTACGCTCACTCACCTTTTGATTGCAAATTAGCTGTTGTCATAAATGTAAAAGAAATACAGTAATTGTGCTGCACCCTGTTGGTAATCCTTGTAACTTTAATGCTATTGAACATCATAGAACAGAACCAACTTGTTTAATTGAAACAGCTGTTAAGATTCAATAATTCCATTTCTCATAAGGTTAACATGGGAAACTCCAGAGCCACTGGGGCGGAGCCCGAAAGGATTTTTGAAATAAGAATATGCCTATATGTTAATCGGGAATGTGAGCTATCATCATGCCAAATTTCAGCCCAATCCGACCAGTATTTTTGGCGTTCACTTGTCACAAACATCCAAACTTTCTCATTTATAATATTAGTAGGAATTAGTAGGATTTGTATTTGAGTTATTAATGCTAAACTAACTATAGACGATTAATTCTGATTTGTCTGCTCATAGAAATTGTCAGATCATAAAAGCAATGTGGAATTAATGAAAAATCTAGTTAGTGGTGCTGATAGAAGAAATGTTCAGATTCAAGAATTTAGGAAAAAAATAAACCGCCTTGAACATATGATCAGGGACAAGTGAGTGCACTAATGAGCCATTAAATAAATTATTTAGTAAATATTTAATTAAATTGTTGCACAGTCTTTTTTATATTATTAATAAACAATTTTTATTGGCCATGCTAAAAACATTGTATCCAAACCTTTTTAATAACTAAAACCTAACCTTTAAAACATTTTGATAACTAACTGTCATAGAAGATACATCAGCATGGTAAAATGTCTGCAAAACATTGTTACTCTTAAATGTTAAAGGTGTACTTTTTCCTCCACTACTATTGTAGCCGGTTCCCCTTCTACGTGACAAATAGTCTAAGTAGTCGGAAACAATGTGAAAGAAAATTTTCTGTTGGGAGGGGTCCAATTCAGATGTGTTTGCAGAGAAGTGTATTGAAAAATGTGTAAAATAGGTGTACATTTGCAAAATGAGGGCATTTGGCATCCAGTAATGTCAGATCAGGCAAATAGAAAAGAAGGAAATGTAGCTTATCAAGTGACTGTGTGAGAGATCTACTAACTATATCTAACTAAAGGGATGTCTCAAAGACTAACATGGCCAATGGTAAACTCCAATACTCTTAAACACATTGATCTACAATCAACATTTTCCCAACACTTTTACCACATAGGTAGAGAAAAAAGCCATTGGTGGATTGATTTCAGACGTCCAGGACAAGTTTTGTACTACATCCTATAGATCATTCACATACAGAGATATAAATGATTGTTTGAATTGTTATTTGCAGCCTTCAATTTCCAACACACGCTATGAAGTCAGTACAAATTTCTATTATTTTTTTACAGATCCAACAGAGAAGAAAAATTACTATCTTATGCTACAAAGTTGACCAAGAAGTGTAATAACAAGTGTTCATCATTTAATAACCAGGTATCAAATAAAATAAAATTATCCTTTATTCCGTTAAAGAACATGTATGGAATCGAGTCAAATAACTTCAACAACTACTAGTACTTACAACCTTAATAGAGGACCTTAATAGAGGAATTAAACATACTCCCTTGTATATTTTTTATTGCTGGTTCAACTGATGGAGTTTTGAATTTATGGTAGGCCTACTTGCGGGTCTAGACCAGAATAACCCAAGCGGCTTCTTTGGTGGGACTTCCCACGATTGCGGCAAAATCGTTAACATCTCCCGGGGCCATGGGACATCATTACCATGATCAAGGCAAATCATAAATTTTAGAAACAGACCCATAAAAATTTTTTACACAAAACGCTCTGGTTCCCTTTTGCTAAGCCATATAGCCTTATGGCGAACCCGGTACTGAATTTAATATTCGTTGAAAGATTTAAAAGTGCTAGTGTCAGTCAATTAAACAACAAACAACACATACATGTTCAAGGGTGAGGTTCATAATGTCCAAATTTCACAAACTCCAACGTCTAAAATATTAAATAAACAGTGCGTTTCATAACCTCCAAACTTCATAAACTCCAAAACTATAACTTCCAAATAAGCACAGTTTCACAATGTCCAAATTTCACAAACTCCAACGATAATATATTAAATAAACAGTGCGTTTCATAACCTCCAAATTTCATAAACTCCAAAACTATAATTTTCAAATAATCACCGATTCACAATGTCCAAATTTCACAAACTCCAACTTTTAAATATCAAATAAACAGAGCGGTTCATAACCTCCAAGTTTCATAAGCTCCAACGGTACAGTCTCTGCCGTAAGTCAATCGGGATACCGAGGCGGACGGGCCGAATGAACCTCTCTGTTTTACACAAACATACATTCACTCAACCTGCTCTGCTGCACTTATTTGTTAACATAAAAATTTCAAATTGATATATTATTTTTCTGAAAAAACCAGTGCTCATTACTATGTAGCTAGTTTTTACCTTAACATAATTGTTATAATTTATTTAGGCAAATTAAAACAGATGATTGTTTTTTAATACCATAAAAAACATGAAAAATGTAGTAAGCGAGGAACTTTTTTATTTTTTGGTCAGGAAAAAAAATCCTGCGGCAAAGTTTTAGATCAAAGTATGAATTTTATTTTTTATTTGAAGCTTTTTTTGATACGGAGCCTGCTTGTATCATTTTTAAGCGATTAAAAATAGGCCTAAAATCGCTTGGCGCGGCATTGGCGCTAGGAGTTTGGCCGGCTCAGCATCAGTTTGCGGGATATAGAAACTGAGTTTCTAGCATTTAATCATCATTATATTACATCAAATATGTCATTACATTACGAAGAATGGTAACCTAATTTACAGGCGTATGTTTGTGCATTTTAATGCTTACCGGTAGTCTATAGTTAACAAAATTTTTTGATATAAATGCTTTCCCGATTGTAATTTCGGAAATTGTCTTCGTGAAATGTGGAGATAATTTAAGTTCTTGGTAAAACCCACTGAATTAGCGACCTGGCCCAGTTATTATTTCTACTTTTATTCTCCTTTCGTTAAGGTAAACTAAATTAGTGTAAATGCATCCCTTTGACTAAACTTTACCCTAGATTTGGTTCTGGTCCAAATAATAGAAACAAAAATAGAAACTACTCTTATTCTAAGTTTATGTGTAGTACGGTGCAATTAGACCTAAACCGGGACATCCAAAAAAAAAAAGTTTCAAACCAGTGCCAAATTGTTGAGTACACTTCCCTCAATATGTAAAAAAAGTTACACTGATTTGAGTGTCGGGTTTGGGGGGGAGGGGGTGAAAATAGGACTTTTTTTACTTTTTCGCAAATACCTAAAAACGGTGCGTTTTTCTTAGAATATAACAAATTACAAATATAATCTACATTAAATTTCGAACAAAATGATACCATACAATACCTATCTACTATGAACGGTTCAGGTAATATTGATGGGTAAATGTGATTTTTTTCTTAAAATTCTAAAAAAGTTGTTTTTTAAATGGAGGAAACCCATGGACACACATAAAAAAAGTTTCTAATGAGTGCCAAATTGTTCAATAAACCTCCCTTAATATGTATAAAAAAGTTACACGGATTTGAGTGTCGGATTTGGGAAGGAGGGTTAAAAGAAAAGGGGGGGTGGATGGGACTTTTTTTACTTTTTTGCAAATACCTCAAAAACGGTGAGTTTTTCTCTAAATATAACAAATTACAAATATAATCTACGTTAAATTTCGAACAAAAAGATACCATACAATACCTATCTACTATGAACGGTTCAGGTAATATTGAGGGGTAAATGTGATTTTTTTCTTAAAATTCTAAAAAAGTTGTTTTTTAAATGGAGGAAACCCATGGACACCCATAAAAAAAGTTTCTAATGAGTGCCAAATTGTTCAATAAACCTCCCTTAATATGTATAAAAAAGTTTCACGGATTTGAGTGTCGGATTTGGGAAGGAGGGTTAAAAGAAAAGGGGGGGAATGGGACTTTTTTTGCTATTTTCCAAATATCTCGAAAACGGTGCGTTTTTCTTAAAATATAATGAAATACAAAAATAATCTATATTAAATTTCAAACAAGATGATGCCATACAATACCTATCTACTATGAACAGTTCAGGTAATATTGAGGGGTAAATGTGATTTCTTTTTTAAAATTCTAAAAAAAAGTTGTTTTTTATCTGGAGGAAACCCATGAACACCCATAATAAAAGTTTCTAACAAGTGCCAAATTGTTCAATAACCCTCCCTTAATATGTGTAAATAAGTTACACTGGTTTTCGTGCCGGTCTTGGGTAGGAGGGTGTGAAAACGGGGTTGGGAATTTTATTCATAAGTAATTTTGTAAATTTTGTCAAGTAACACTTTTTATTTTCCATTTTATCACAAATATAACTACAATATAAATAAATATGACTTACCTACCTAAAAAAGACAAACCTACCTAGATACGGGAACACGGTGAATAGAAACGTTCAGCGGGTTCATAGTTGAGACCATGGTTGAGACCACATTACAATACCTATTTATTTGCTTCTTCATCCTCTTTAGCCATTTAGTTGTTAGATAGTATTACATGTTATATTCAATGGATATATTATGATTTTATTTTAAAACATTTAACGAGTTTATATTCATCTATATTTGAAAAAGCTAATCAACGGCTCACGTCTAACATTTTTGCCACTGCAGTGCATGGTTAGGGTTTGATTACCCATTTGTCGAAACCAATCACGAAATAACGTTTCTCCAACATTGACAAGCATATAAAGAAAAGGAAACTACCTCAAAATATTACTGTTATAGGTTTTCCCTGTACTTTATTCATACTATGCATGCTAGTCTATATGATTTTAACCCCTTTTCCTTTGAGAAACAGAATGTACCTAGTTAAAACCTTCTCCAAACAAAATTAATAAATCCCGCTCACTGGCACTTGTCATAGTAATTGCTTTAGTGAAAAAATATATTGTCTCTACGAAATTTTTTAGTTTAATTCTCAGGTTAGTTCCAGAGTAGCCGTTGAGGTCATTCCACTTTAAACAAAATATTGATTAAACACTAAAGTAGGCGTCAAATGTTTACAGAAACGTTTAGAATACATATCATCTCATTATAATGTGTTTGAAATAAAAACAAAGCAGGAGTTTTCCATTTAATATTGAATCCATAATTAATTAGTGAAATTAGTGATTTGTGTTAAAATTTTATTTAGCGTTTTCTGGTATCTTGGTTTTGTTGTTAAAGTTAGTGATGGTAAAAGGCCTAATTGAGTTTGCAGTTTACATGCCGATTTTGCATTTTTTTTAAGTCAGTAAAAGATATATTAATTTTTATTTTGTCCTTAGGTAATTAAACATTAGTCCATACGGCACGCGTACGATTGTAGTTTCTTTCTACACGTTGCAAAATGCTAAATTGCCCTACCTGTTTAAGCAATCTACAGAAACATTGTTTGTAAAAAATTAAAAAATACAGGCTATTTTATGCATTAAACTATTGGCTACAACTTAGCCACAGACAGAACCTCTCTGACCAAAACAAAAAATAGGCCTATATATTTTTTTGCAAAGTATGGTGTTTCCTCTTGACGATAGCTTCCCTCTTGACTGCAACGCCAGTAAGGCCGTGGTGCGAAGTTTTTGCTGGACTGTACTTTTTCTTATCCAACCTAAACCCCTAATCAATTCGAGCTAAGTGCTGCATACATTTTAATTTATATTCACTGAAAAATTGAGATTCAGACTAGTTAAAGTTAAACTGTGTAATGAAATGTAAGTAATAATTTAAGGTAACATATTATAAATAATATTACAGAAACCCTTACAGTTAATAAAACACTATTCTACAAATTCTCTCCAGAAAGTAAATCTCATGAATAATTAACCACTACGGAAATCTATATCTATCTATATATATAATACGTGAAGCCGTTTTTTGTTAACGCAACTCCTCCCTTATTTGTGGACCAATTTCAACGTTTAAGGTGTCAAAAGGTTCGTCTCAATGTGTAGTTTTGCAATAAGGTTTTAGAATTTTAAAATTCCTACTCTTAAGGGCGTGAGACCCTCTCAAAGGTCGGGTTTTCCCCATAAGAAATACATAGAACACATTGAAAAACAAAAAAACAAAAGAAACTCATTAGCTTTTTGGGAGTAAATATTAATGTTTGTAATATTCAGTAGGTTAAGACCAAGTTAGTTAAACAGTTAATCAGTTTTGTTGGAAGAACAGAAAATGCCTCAAGTTCAAAGAAGAAATGTTGAAAACGAGACAATTAATAATAATAAGATATCTTATGCGTATGAGGATAGTAGAAAAAGAGAGGCCTGGTCTAACAGATACCCATCCAGATACACATTCACTTGGTGAGATGAATAATATTTGCCAGCTCTGCTATGCAACTTACTTTGGAATTGTTAGACCAAACATAAGTGAAGGAATTAGTGTTTATGTAGACAACGATCGAGTAGTTACTGTCAAGTTTATTTTAATGATTCAGGAGAGGCAAATAATATACGCTGTTCAAAAATAGAAAATGAAAATTGCTATCCAAATCTTATAGCTTCAAGAGTTAACAGCCGATTTTTGTAAACAGACCTCCTCCCTCATTTTTGGATCGATTTCGATGATTAAAGTGTCAAAAGACTGGCCCTGATCTGTAGTTTTGCTAAGTCTTTTTCATTATTTGAAATCTTTATTAGTTTGGGCAGGATCTTTAGTTCCCCATGTTAACTTTATAATTTTTCATATTTAAAAGGAATTAATGAATCTTAACAGCTGTTTCAATTAAACAAGTTGGTTCTGTCGTTATGTTCTATGATGTTCAATAGCATAAAAGTTACAAGGATTACCAACAGGGTGCAGCACTATTCTTTTTTTTTAATTTATGACAACAGCTAATTTCCAACCAAAAGGCGAGTTAGCGTAGCGAACGAGCTAACCTGAAGGCAAGTGAGCGCAGCGAACGAGCTCGAACCCGAAGGCAAGTGAGCGCAGCGAACGAGCTCGAACCTGAAGGCAAGTGAGCGCAGCGAACGAGCTCCAACCTAAAGGTGAGTGAGCGTAGCGAACGAACTTCAACCAGGACGTGAATGAGCCATGCGAATACTTATGAAGTTAAACGGGGCAAAGCCCGCGGGTACAGCTAGTATATACATATATAACAATTTTAACGAATGGTGTTTTTGGCCTCTGGGGACATCAAAATCTAAAAGTAAATCGGTCCCGGGCGTAGGTCTTACCATGCCATCTACGGTAATAGCTACTGTACTTCCTTATAGGGAAATTTGCTAAATAGAAACTAAAAACTATAAAAAGTACCTATCTAATAACTTGTTGAATTATTTACATTGAACATTATTTTTAAATAGAATATGCAATAATCGTTACAACAACAACTTCATACCTTAATATTTTATACGACAGTCAAAGACTCCACTGTTTGTGATTACGCATTTTTTTGGTAAATAAAAGGTATACAATGCTTAACTCTCCACTGAAAAGGCAAATCCAAATATAAATTATCACCTTGTCAAAACTTTAACATTATTGAACTACCCACATTAAGTTGCAAGGAGAAAACGAGACTGCTGTCGAGTAAAAAAGTGTAAATACTCGAGTATGAACTTTTATTGAAACTTGACCAGTATACCTACAATATGATGAATAAGTTAAATCCTATTTATAAAAATGTATTTCTGCGTTTATGTATGTTAGTTTCTACCTTTTTATGTTGTTTTAACTCTCGTCCTTTTGGTAGGTAGAATAAATAAAGTACAAGGTTTTCGGCACTTTTCTAACAAAGGGCTATTTTTACACATAACAAAAAAAACTACTGATGTAATCATCATGAAATTTTAACAGCTAATAGAAAATATACTTATAAAACAAATTTATATGTTTTAAAATTTTTCATCGGTAAAAAAAATCTCTTACGATATTTGTAATGGCTTTTAATTGAGAGACGGAACAGTTAAGAAACTCAGCTGAAAGCTTGAATTAAAGCTATTAAAAATATAAATATGTAATTTGATTTGCAAATTATGTGCTAACACATATTTGAGTCACACAGCTGAGTGTGACTCGTAATCCGTGTTTTTCTAATTAGTTTAGTAACTTTCCTGTATAGCTCCAAATTTGAGTATCTAAACTGTATTACAGACGTTGTAGGCAGAATCTGCCCGCATGACGCCACGCGGCGCGGCGGGTAGCCCCTATATTACAATTTAAATTACAACCAAACTACGCCAGCTAAAAATTTTAAAAAATATGATCCAAAAGGTTCAACTCTTTAGCTACAAAATCCACCGTTTTTTAACTTACCTGACCAAAAAATAAAAAAAGTAGCAGCCGACGAACTTTTTCATGTCATATTTTAAAACTCATTTAAAAGTACCGACTTTATTTGAAGATTTAAAATAGAAAATACTAACTTTTAAGCTTTTAATTAAAACCAATAGTGTCATAGACTTATTGACTTCACTCATACGAAGTTTCAACCATATAACTTAAGTCTAAGTAGGCTAAATGTCGAGTTATTTTGAAGCGGAACATTGAGTTTTGGGGCCGTTTAATAAGCTGTGGCAACCACTGTAGAGACTTCTGGCTCAGACTGTACCGTTGGAGGTTATGAAATTTGGACATTATGAACCGCACTGTTTATTTGGTATCTTCACGTTGGAGTTTGTGAAATTTGGACATTGTGAAACAGTGATTATTTGAATGTTATAGATTTGGAGCTTATGAAATTTGGAGGTTATGAACCGCTCTGTTTATTTAATATTTAAACGTTGGAGTTTGTAAAACTTGGACATTGTGAACCAGTGATTATTTGAATGTTATAGATTTGGAGCTTATGAAATTTGGAGGTTATGAACCGCTCTGTTCATTTAATATTTTAAGCGTTGGAGTTTGTGAAATTTGGAGTTTATGAAACGCTCCCATGTTCAAGAATCAAGAATTTATTCACCATTAAATATACAATACAATAGGTGTTGTCAAAGTATTAACACAAATCAATTGATAATGTCTTGAGTGTCACAGCTCAGGTACTCTTCAGTGGTATAAAATGCCTTAACTTTGAGCCACTTGCTAATAACATTGGTAAATTTCTTAGGTGGCAACATTTTGACAGTGGTTGGCAGTTTATTATAAATTAAAATTTGATGGGAACTATAACTCTTATAATACTTATCAAGTCTAATACTAGGTCTAACAATGTCATCTTTTTGTCTGGTGTTGTGAGAATGATTAGTTCAAAATAGATATGATCTAATCTTCTCAAGTCAATATTTAAATTTCTCCCATTCTTTAAGAGTAGGAACTTGTTCAACAATAATAATTAATGAATGTACAATTTATTTCAGATCAAAGAGCTACAGAGTTCTGAAAAAACTTTGCGTAACCAAGTGTCCGAATTGGAAAGGGTCTTGGGCCAAAAAACACTAGAGTTGCACCAGCGAGAGAGATTGGTCAAAGAACTGAAAGAACTGATCAGATTGAAAAATGAATGCGAAGTGTCCCTGTGGAAGTGTAGAAAACGGGATGACAATTGTAAACTGTTGTCTGAGGTGGGTATAAGCCCAAGAACTTAAACTTTTGTTTAAGGGTATTAAAACACTTGTGTTTGTAGTATTTTAAGAGGTGAGTGGTTACGAGTTTGTGTTACTCTGCTGATACATAAGTGTCAAAGATACAATTACAGAACATTGTATCATCGTTATACTTATTGAGGATAATTTAAGTGATACAGTTTGCTAGTATATTATGACAACATTTGGCAAATTTATTTCACACTAAGCTATTTCAGTAGACAAAACCCTTACGGTAATTGAATTCCCTGTAGCAGATAACCTAAGTACTGACCAAACATAATGTTGTTTCTATTGGGAATAAAACTGACATGTCCAAGGAAATGTTTCAGTAAAAATCCAATCAGGCAAATGAAAACTAGCTTATTCCGTAGGTTTGCTGTGGCAGGAGTATTTTAATATATTCAAATTACTTTAATACAGTAATATGGCAATGGGTTTGGGGAACTGTACTTCATGGTAACATGAAGTACTTCATGGTAACATGCAGTACTTCATGGAAATTGTAATCTCTTCTAATGTACTTTTATATGATTAGGAATCAACACCTAGTCTAAAGACGATTGAGGTATTTAATTTACTTGCACTCAAACACATGGAAATAATCAAGCTGGATAGACGGATATCGGGGCTCCAAAATATTCAAAATGAGGATTGGAAAAGTGGAAAAGAAGTCATACAAGCAAACGAAGCAGGTAATACATGACATTGCTATCATTTAGTTTGTTTCCATTTAAATTACCTTATCAGTTTTGTGCTGGGACCATGTGCCTTGATTATTCTTTCAATAGAAACAGTCTCGCTCATGTGCCTAAGAGTCAATTGAATGCAAACCTTGTCCTTTACAAAACTACAGTATTTTTCACTTTTTCAGATTAAATTAAGTGTACACCTGCATGAAGGTGAGGTTTCTTAGCCATTGACTATGACTGTTTATTTTCATGAATATTCTTGGCATCAATATTGAAAACACAAATAGTACTGATGTTTTCATAGCGGCCGAGTTCAGAAAAGTAAACTTAGTGCCTAAAAGACTCGCTCAGTTAATATTCACATTAAAGTATTACTCTTTTGTTCGTGAGTACTGCAGTAGTTTGTCTATTATCCTATACACATTTTGCTAGCTTGTGTAGCAACTTCCAGTCCTTTTTTTATGTTGTCACACTAACTATAACAAAATAGTATATATATTTAAAACAATTGTATTTGTACACACGTCTCGTTACTCGTTTATTGTGGTTGGGTCGAGCTAGTAACACAAGGACAGACACTCCGTGGAGTTATGTTGGGGGAGGTATTTCTTCTTCTGTTTCATTTCAGTATTTTGCAGGTTTATGTTCAGGCGGATGCTTTGATTATTGTCAAGTTTCCGGTTTGTTGCCGATTCCCAGTTATATCAGTTTCAATGTTGTAGATCAATTTGAAAATTTGTATAGCTGGTGTAGTCTATTTTTTGCTTATACCTTCCGCAAAGATTCGTGGCGGCTGAAGGATTAGGACGGTCGGGTGGTGTCCCAGCCCCTAAATTAGCCCTCGCTCGGCTGCTCTGGGCTTTGACAATGAGTCACCCACTGGTTCAATGCATAGTTGGTAAAATGTTTGTGTATCACCATAATGTGTATTAAATAACGTAATTTTTGTAACCTGCATCAAATAACAAGAACATTGAGGCCAAACACGAAATAATTGCGATGATATTAAGCATACCACGACACGAAAACTGTCTATTATTTTAAAACCAAATGTATACTTAATATCGTCGCAATTATTTCGTGTTTGGGCTCAATGTTCTTGTTATTTGACGCAGGTTACCAAACTGGTGTTATTTAATACACTTTATGGTGATATACAAAAATTCTTCCAACTATGCATTAAGCCTAGTGAGTGACTCATGGTCAAAACCCAGAGCATTCGAGCGAGGGCTAATTTAGGGGCTGGGACACCAACTGACCGTCCTAATCCCTCAGCCGCCACGAATCTTTGCGGAAGGTATAGGAGCGTGTTCGATACATAAATAATTACTTGCTTGCCTATATGATAACTTTCTTGTACTTTTGCTACTTGTGGTTTTGTACTTGTTAGCGTTCACAATTCTACAGCCCAAATTGACAGTTCGGAAAACCCACCTTAAGTAAATAAGCTACCTAATATATTTTATATTTAATAATTTTTAGTATCGGATCGTTAGACCCTCCTGAGGAAAATGTAATTCAAGATTGTGATCAAATGCAGGTTTTATGTTGTTCTAGAATCATAGTTTTTGTAACTGTCACAGAAAACTAATAAATTTTAAAATATAGCCCATCAATGACATCCTTAGAATATTAACAAAAACTGTGATGTGGAAAGCGAATAGGGACCTCTTGTCGGGAATTTTCAATTTTAAATTATATATATATTTGTATTCCTTATTAAATTCCGAATTACTTGGTGCAAGTACCATGCATCTACGATTTTTTTTGTTAAAGTTATATGACTTTGAAATTTTGTTATGGAAAAGGGTCATTTTGAGAAAAACTATTTTGAACATTTCAAATACGCATAAAAACTGTATTTTTCCTATTTAAGAAACGATTTTGGTATCAAAAGAAATCTTATAATGTCCTCTTTGGAGGTAATACCAATTTTTGTCTTAACTCACAGTAGTTTTAATTAAAATCATTGTTTTATCGAAGCATGTCGTAAAAATTGCACTTTGGAAAAGGGACCTCTTGTCTGCCCCATGTTATTTCTCCATAAGATAAGAAAAGGTACCTCTTGTCGGGACCGCAAAATTTGTGAGATATTTTGTTCTCAGTAAACTGAATTCGTTGTAGTTCTCTAAATTTTCACTAGAATGCAGGACAATTCATTTTTTTGACTAAAGTCTGTGTATAAAGTAAATATTGGAAATGGGACCTCTTGTCGTTATGACAAAATAACATTGGGCGACAAGAGGTCCCTTTTATTACACCGTGCAGAGGCTAACAAAATGATTTATTTTGACCTTTTACATCTTCAATTCGATATTTTAACCGATACTGTCCTGTTCTATAATAAATGAGGTATAAAAATCGATAAAAACCTAAATTTCGATATTTTTGACCTTAATTACTTGTATCGGCGGTACTGAAAATTTTGCATTGCCGACAAGAGGTCCCCTTTTGCTTTCCACATCACAATTAATTTAACATTTAACTTAAAAAACAACAACTATGATACTGATATTTTTTGATGTTTTAGAAAAAAACTAACAGTTGAAGTCTGGTTTAAAAAGATGAACCTGAGAAGACATTTAGGAACATTTAAATTTTGTCAGAAGCCTTAATAACACTGTCAAAACATTCAAAATTTGATCTGTGAATGGTTTTGAAGTTTTCTGACAGTTATAGTTTAAAATTAAAAGAATAGAAAAACTACAAACTTTTTTTACTGTATTTAATCGGTTAATAACATTGTAGTAATGATAGTACAGTGCACTCTTTTTACATAACACTAAACTGTCTTTAAGGTCAATATGTACTGAATGAAGTCATTGTCACAATTAAAGACAAATAGCCATCACAATGACCTTTAGGTTAATCAAATGTTATTCGATATCACCATTCTCATGCTCCTAGAGTGATATGACGCTAATGATTCCTTTGTGGTGCAAAGAGGTAAACTGCTTTATGGGGACATTGAACGATTTTATATGACTTTTCACTATCTTGATAATTATTGGGGTGGTGTCGTCCTGTAATCCAGCTACTAGGAGGTCACGAATTGTGGATATTTATAGGCATGCACTGTGGATGCGATACTCCCTGGTGTGGATTAACGTCCGCACGAGTGAGTACTACGACTACCCGCAGTGCTATCCTTATAATTAGACTAATTCGTATATACCAAAGCAAACAAATATGGTTCGGATTCCACTATAAATTGTAGGTCCCTTAGTTGCCATTAGCTGTATGGGCTATTAATTAACAGCTGTGTCTAAGGAATGTCGGCCTTAGTCACTAACAAGACTACAAGATTGCGCCACTCATCCTACACTCATCTCCATTCATACTTGGCTTAAAATACCCACTATGTATGGTCGCCATTTCATAAAAAAATATTTAAAATTATATTATAATGCTTGAGGTTATATTTATTTATTTGTATCCTAAGCACGGTATTCATGGAATATGAAAGGGGTTGTATAACGACGGTGATTCTTCTCTCATAGCGAGTGGAGCAGTCGCTCCAGGGCGGCAAGCACTAGAGGGCGGAGGAGGGTGCTGGGCACTAGTCTAGGATTTATTTTTTTACTATGTTGGCAAGCATGGTTGGAGCGGAAGGAAGGTGAAGGGGAGGTAGGAGGTATGGCCCAAGAGGATTTGGCGCAGTGTCTTTCAGTTGTAACAAGGAAGACACGGGCGTTGGGGGACTCCGTTGAAACTTTTAACTATTGCCACAACGATCACTGAGTGCTGCGATCTGTCAACATAATTACTATGAGATCGCTGATCAGTCAAATAAGTGAATATTGTAGTGATTCGTGAGGTTATGTTAATAAAGCCGCGCACGCCGGTATTCGAGTTGTTAATTTATTAATATACCACTGTTTCTTTAGTAGTGTTTAGTGCTAATAATGAACAATGAATTCGGTTAAAAATATTTCTACAAAGTATGCGGGTGGTGAGGTTGTAAGTTGAGTTAAAGCTGATATGCCCGCCAAAACCCGATTTATAGTTGTCACACAATGTCAAAAATCCTGTAAAAGTAGGAAAGGATTTATGTTTGTACAGGACTGTTCAATTATGCTTTAGATACTTATTCTTCTAATTAAGTGATTATACGTCACCGACATCTACCCGCCATTTGTAAATGTGTGTCCTTTGCTCAGTTCCCGCTGTTTACGTGCACTTGGTGAAGCTATCCTGTTTTGAGGAGATTTCTAAGTAAGGATAAGTTCCGTCCAATGAACTCAATTTAAATTATAGTTTTTATTTTCAAACACCCTAATCAAATAGGTTAAATGAAATAAAACCAATCAAATTACTAATTTATGTTTTAAAAATGTTTATGTCTAGATTGCATAGAAACACTAGCTTACAGTTATTATTTTTCAAATAAGTAAACGTCACCCTGTCAAGCTCGGACACCGCCCCCCCCCCCCCTATCTCGGCTTGGGCCATCCCTGCTCCAGGGTGCTCCAAACCTGGCTACGCCACTGAACCGGTGACTATGAATTCTAGGCGAGCGCTATAACAACTCGGCTACCAAGTTACTATCTCTCGAAGTTGAGGTTGTCATAATGGTTGGACACAAAGAGTCTTAAATAATAAAAGCCAAAACCCAAGGAGTACATTTGAAAAAACAAAAAAAACTTGGGGAAGTACTAATTAATTAGCAAGTGATGCGGTTTTGCTAGAACGATGTAGAATATAACTCATTGAAATAGGCTACCTAATCATTAATGAGAAAATTAGTAAAAAATGTATTTAATTTATTTAAATATAAATATAAATATAAATATACCTATCCATTTAAAAGTTTGACACTGACTAGCTTATTGTTATTCTCATGAGTTCTGTATAAGGCAGTTGCGCAAGGACGTTTCATAGTACGTATCTCTTTGTCCGAGACATTTAGGGCAGCCCACTTTGTGAATGACTCCGTAGTCCATACAGTCCACACGACCATCACGGTTGCAGTCCTAGAACAGGTCAAAGTTGTAAAATCAGTAGAAGAACTAGCTAATTTTATCCGTTTATCGTGGCACCAAAATAACTCGAAAAGTAAAAAAAATAGTTGAATTAAAGATTGAATCATGTATGCTTAAATGTAAATTACATTATGTGTTAACACTATATTGTGTTGTTACAAAAAATTATAAAACTAATGTGTCACTTCCAACCCACATAGCTTGTTTCATCACTAGGGCATAAAGTGACTCTTATGTTCTTTAAAACCCTTTTCTAGGAAGAAAAAAGGCAGTACATTTTAGTTTTATGGTTAATGGTTATGGAGAAAATGAAAAAAAACTACATTTAACCCTCCGAGTGTCCCTTGTTGAAATGTTTGGCCTTAATGTCTGCCTATTTTTTGCTCATTTGCAAGGTTTTATTAAAACGGATCTGAGAAGCTTGAAAACGATGTTAATTATACTGTTCTATATACCATTTTGTTTGGAAAATCATGGGCTTCAATATTATACATAAAACGTAAGGAACATTTGTTTCAAAAAAATTTTTTAGGTAAAAAAAAATATTTTGGAAAATTTTCAAAAAAAATATTAAGTTCGCGCTCAATGAAATTGTATGAATTATAGTATATTTATAATTTGAAAATAGCCACTTTGTTCTAAATTTTATGAGGATTACAAATATATAATAATATAAGGAAGTAGATTTGCAAATAAATAAGTTATGGGCAAAAAACAGATTTCAGTACATAGCGTTTAGCTAAGAATGCATAGCCTAACCATAGCTAGGAATCTGGCTGATAATTTACATCAATATCACTACCTACTTCTTCAGGATCATCAACCAGCCCTTCAAAATCACTTAAATCTTCTTATAATGCACCACGTATATCACTACTTTTGATTTTTAACACTAAAACAATGATAAACGTAATAAAACACATCAGTCATCGGTGCGAGGTTAACCAAGCTGTTTACAAATATGCACGTCAGCTGTCTGCTACAATATTTTCGGAACTAAAATGAAAAGCGCTTAGAGACAGACCTCCGGAGAAAGCTCTGAATCTGCCAAATAAAACGATACCTAACTCGATCCAGTTCAATCCGATTTTGTCAGTCATAGAGCCTTCGCCGTAAACAGTGTTTGTGAGTCGATGCATCGACACAAAACACTACACAAAGTGTGTTATGTGTCGAAGCATCGACAAATAACACTCGGAGGGTTAAAATTACTTCATTAATCTTATGGAGGATAAGTAAGTGCAGTTTAGTAGTTTATGGATATAGTTAATCAAAATTGGGTAATTTATTTTTTTGTTCTAATTTATTAACATTTTACACAAAAATAGGCTTTATTGTCTTCCCTGTAGCACTAAACCAAAGTAGCCTAAATATTATTTAAGTTGGGAATAAATCTAACCTGTTTAAGGGAATATTTTAGTGGAAATCCGATAAGATAAATGGAAATTTGCTCATTCTGCAGGTTTGCTGTGGCATTGGTGTTTATATGTTATAGTATATACAAACCTGGTTTCTACACTTGCTCATGTATCCTTTCACGGTTGAAGCTGCACACTCAGGGTCCCTAGCACAGCTTTCAAATGCTAAACACAAATTGAATGGTTTTCAGTAAAAGATATAATTTACAAGCACGAATTCTCAGCTAGGAAACTAATACATTTTAAATATAAGTAAAATCCTGGTATAAATAATTAGATTTTTTATCATGATTTTGGTAATTGTACCTTTATATTTAGTTGAGTGCAATTCAAAATTGTAAATTTTTCTGAGTGAAATTAATATTAAAATCAATTCATGAGTACAATTTAGCATTTACAGATACTTTAAAGAGTGTAAAGTGATTTATATTAAACTTATAAACTATTAACCTTTTTTAGGTCAATAAAAAATGAACTCACAACACCCATGCCATTTGCAGATACGTACCTGCATTTACTTTTAAAGATTAAAGTTTCAATATTATACACAGGAATATATTTTTCAATTTATCATTCTTTTAGACTGATTGAAGATATAAAAAAAGCACTGTGAAGTAAAACATTTTTAAATGCAGCAGACAAACCATTAGGTTTTGTAGTTAAATCGTATGATTTTGTAAGTTTTGAAATTTGTAATTTTTTATGATAAATTAATGAATATATCAAAAAGATAGTTGGCTGTCAAGTTATACTGGTGTACACTACCTTGCGGTTGATGTGGGTTTACGCCATTCAATACAGGCATGCCTGCGTCTATCCAGTAGAGTTTGGTGATACGAAACATCCCACAGTCTCCTTCCTCACAACCCCTGGTGAGGTTACATCCAGACATTATCTCACAGATACACCCCAAACAGAGGTCTGATAAACTCTCACTTATTGGCGGATCTAAAACCAATAGTGGAACATGTGAGTGTCTATTGATCACTAGTTCAATCATAATCAATGACTGCACTTAAGTGATTCTTAATCACGGGTTTTCAGCGCCTGAAAAATTTAAAACAGTTATTTGTTTCTACAAAAAATTATAAGCAATAGTAGAATAACTTACTCTAGTCGGAAGTTGGATTGTTATGATGATAGATGTTTTGAACTTATATGGCTGTTGGATGGGACAAACTTGGATGGTTAGGAGGTTGAATGTTCCGAACTTGGGATGGTTAGGACGTTGAAGGTTCCGAATTTGGATGGTTAGACGTTAGGACAATAGATGGTCTGAAATTGAATATTCAGAATTCAAAATTGGATATTGGATATTCTACTAATGTTTAGAACATTGGATTGTCAGCACTTGGATGGTTAGGATGTTAGATGGTCCGAAGTTGGATGTTTAGGACATTAGATGTTCTAAACTTGGATAGATAATTTGGATGTCAGATGGAATACAACTGACCACTGTGTAATATGTTGCATACTTATTATATTCTTGTGCCTTGTAGTTTTTTTTATGGTAATGAAGTGTTAGATGTGTGGTCCCTCACCGTAAGGTGTTCTCGAGCACCAGTTCAGAAGAAAATAACAAGTTCTAGAGGATAAAAGGAGTACATACAGGTACAGAAGAGTGCAGCAGAACAGACACAGACTGTTTGTCCAGCAAATCCGTCATTACTGAGTGCATAGGAGTTTCAAAGTGAGTCATTGCCAAGACGCTGGGCAATCTTTCCAGTTTTCCTACTCCTGACCCAACTTCTGATCCGAGGAACAATTATGGCATTCCCCTCAAGTCCCTCGCCACATAGTAAAATGATAATAGTTTCAAATGTAAAAAACGTTGCCAATGTTGTTAAAATATTTCCATCTTCAAGCAAACTACAACGATAATTAAACTATCTTTCATTAAGATAACATAGGATACAATCTACTGTATTGCACTTGAGGTATCTCAGTAACCGAATGTCATTTTGTTGTCGGAATTTTTAAATAAGTTTATTTCTTTACATTAATTTGTCCCAGATATACGAGAACTATATAAACATTGAGGATGCATCACATTATTTTAACAAAACAAAACAGTTTGAATTGCTTAGTAGGAAGTCTCGTGGTAAACAGTCCCTTGTGATCATGCTTAGAACAGCCCTCTCTTGGCAATTCAAACACTTGATAAATCAAAACTTTTGATGATTCAAAATATAAAAAAATAGTCTGTAGAGAATCTCTTAATAGTTTGTACTTTTCCATGCATCTTGATACACTGGGTATTTTGAAGTCCAAGCAGAGGGCAGGCTCTGAACATTGATTTGGAACATGCAGTAATTCAAAATGTCGTAGGCAAACACTCTTATAATTTTGAAAGGGAAGGATTGCTTCCTGTCATAACAGGAAAGTAGTTTGTCTTAAATAATGCTATTGATGACACCAGAATCAATAGCAAAAAAAGCAAAATAAACATACTTTTTTTTAACTTAACTGAAAAATAAGCTGTTGTTTGGTGTAAAAGTAACTAAACTAGGTACTCTTTGTAGGAAATTCAAAACTCTTGATGATTAAACTTTCGAATCATCAAGTGTTTACTGTATTAGGTTTAACAGTTTAAATACTTTATTTTGTTTGTCACCTCAATTTCTTTCTTTTGGACACTTGAATCACCAAAGTCCTCTTTTCCTTATCACTTGCCTTGGCTTTCCTGATGGGCTGCTGGGTCAGCGAACTTGGTTAAATGTTGTTTACTGTCATTTTGAGTTTACAAGAATTCCACAAACTAAAAACCTAACAAATTTTCTACTAAGGAATTTATCACAAAATGCTAGTTTTTTTGTTAGACCATACAACATTATTATATATAATCAATTTGATAACAATTGTTAATACCACAAACATCAACAGGAAAAATGATTTGTGATTATTACAACTGTGATTATTGTATGGTAAACAGTAAACACCAATTTGACCTTATGGCTAACTTTTTCATCAACGATAATCTGATAACCCCATAAAGTTGTCTTATCTTGTGAGGAAAGGTCAATGAAAAATTATAGATTGGATTTTTTTATTCAATATTGAAAATGCATAAGTTTTCCTTTAAAATAGTAATCATATTTATCCCGCATGAATGCATATCAGTATTTAATCTAGTACAGGGTTAGGCAAAATTATGGATACGCCCGGTTAACTTTTCATTGGTTACGTCAGGAAAAGTAACGTTTATATTGCACATCTTTATATTGTATAATAGTGCCCTATTTAGTTAGTATGATTCAAAATGGGGTATTTTTGGCGCAGCTTAAACATCTTGAATGTAAAGCCCCATCGATTAACACCTCATGTTAAAGGCCTTTATTTTCATACTTAAAAGAGATAATATTAATGAAAACCAGAAATTTCTATCGCACCCCTGTACAATATGACGGCCTCTTGAAAATACATAGAAAATTATTATGAAGATTAATAATGTTATATTGTGCTTGCGGTTATTATGGCTAAGGCAAAGCTATGTTGTAATGTTACATTAAATAAAAAAAAATAGTTGTGCTACGTAATGAATATTTTAGTCGTAATTAAATAGAGTGAATTAACCGTTACAAGGTAACTACATGAAAAACATGCAAATTCCAAAGCTCACAATCCTAAGCAAATACCACAATAGTGTTGGATTTACATGGACACAACAACTCCGGACAACACAGGACAGTCACAAACACTAAACTTGCCTTCAGTTGGTTTGTTTGTGGTTGGAATGTCCTGTGTAGGCCCACATGGAGAGCAACTTGTACTTATGTGGCAATCGTTTGTCCACGAAATTGAAACCTTAATTAACTTTCCTGTAAGAGAAGTGGATAAAACAATAAACAAGTTGAATAACCCAAGCAATTTCAAGTGTATAGGAGTGTATATAGTGTATATAGGAGTGATTTTGACTTAGTGGTCATCTTAGAACATGATTTACGTGACTTTCCTCTTAGAACATGATTTACATAACTTTTCATCCTCTTAGAAAATGATTTACATAACTTTTCATCCTCTTAGAAAATGATTTACGTGACTTGTTATCCTCTTAGAACACGATTTGCGTGACTTGTCATCCTATTAGAACATGATTTAAACATGACTTGTCATCCTCTTAATACATGATTTACGTGACTTGTCATCCTCTTGGAACATGATTTACGGGACTTGTCATCCTCTTAGAACATGATTTACGTGACTTGTGACTCGTTGAATTTGATTTATGTGACATAACAAGGTGAAAATTGAAATTTCCAAAATCCTGTGCAAAACTTATTCTCAGATTTTTTCCTCCGACATCAAAGTTCCTATGCAATTTTAGACGAGTCGATTTAGCCCAAAAAAGCCTATAAGATAAAACAAATTCCAACAAATGGTTTTTCGATGGTTTTTGGTAGTAATAGGTGTAGAAAGTACTAGGAAAAAAGTCTACCAAAATCGGACAACCGGAAGTCGGGTTTTTCCAAGATGGCCGCCGTGAGGCCCTCAAATCGACAAGATGACTGCAAATTCGTCGATTCATAGATCCAGGATTGGCCGATTTCTACGAAAATTGGCAAACACATGAAGAACTATATTTCCAACCTTAAATATGAAAACTAGGCAGACAAAGTAACCCAAAGATGAATTTTCAGGGTATTATGTGCTAAAAAATAAGATTTTTTACCTCAAATATATGTTTTTCTAATATTTTGTACAAAGTTTGTTATAATTTCAAATTTATTTTTTCACCATTAGATTCAACACAAAAAACCTAACAATTTAGTATATTGGATCTTTGTTCTGCTTCAATTTGTTACAGAGATATTGAAAGTAATAACTTTAGTATGTTTTCTTGTCGAGATAGCTCAATGTTAATCTTATGGAGAATAAGCATAAATATTAATATTATTTTTCATTAAACGTATATAGATAAGACTTTTTGTTCTGCTTCATATTATCTGTTTTAATATTTTTTTTACTAAAAATTCCTTTTTTGGCAGTTACCATTGCAGCAAACCTACGTGTTAATCATAAAGAGAATAAGTAAAAATCAATTTCTTATTAGTCCGAGAAGTATACAATATAACCTTAAAAACAATACAAGAAAACGTTTTATGGTTTTATGTTGTAGTTTTGGGTGTGCAGAGTCGGATTTTCCCAACATTGGACAAATTTTGAAAAAAAAGATACCATAAGCATTTTCTATGCACAATTTTCTAAATATTGACTTGGGACCAACATCGATATTTATTGGGTGGTCAGTACTTCATTTCGATGGGAAACGTATTTTTGCTGCCATTTTGGATCCACCTTATTGGATAAATTTTTTTTGTGTTGTAACGACAGTGTTGTGACACATTATTACTATATATATACTAGATTTTCAAGCATATTCCATTGCCGAAATCCGTTTTCAAATACATTTTTTTGTTTTAATCGTTTTGTACTTTGAATTTTTTTACGATTATTTTCCTTATCTTCAGTTAGTAGTTCATTCTTAAATAATTAATGATGTAAGGGCTTTCATTTGAGCTATTGATCATTAAAATTGGACGAGTTAGAGACGAGATACCAATCCCAACAAAATATTAAATTTAACTTTTTATAAATCAGTTTTTATTAAATGATTTATATCTCGGGTTCTTAATACGTCACCAAGTTCTTTCTGGTCTCAAATTACTCAGTAGAGAAATAGGTTTTTTATTTTATTAGTCACTAAATAATATCTGACAAATTAATAAAAAATGAGTCATGCACCTTAATTTAATATTAAACTATTTGCATTTGAAATTTGTCTTTAGTTAAGTAGCCTACATATATCCCATAACTACAGTAAAAGTTAATACTTTGATGAATCTTTTAAGATTATAAAGGGTATTGGGAGTTATTTTTCGATTTTGGATATGTCTTAAACTAAAGACAAATCTCGAAAAAAAATTATTGTTAAATAAGACGGACCCATATTAAATTTCTCACATTTTATTTAGTGATTAAAAAAATCAACCCAAACATTTACTGAGTAATATGAAACCAGGAAGAACTTGGTGGCGTATTAAGAACCCGAGATATAAATATTTTAATAAAAATGTATTTCTAAAAAGTTAAATTTAATATTTTGTTGGGGTTGGTAACTAGTCTCTAACTCGTCAGATTTTAATTATCAATAGCTCAAATGAAAGCCCTTACATTACTAAATGTTTAAGGCTAGAACGAACTGCAAGCGTTAATAAGTACTGGAGATATAAGAAAAAATAATCTTAAAAAATGTTCAAAATACGAAACATCCTTAAGAAATGTATGCAGGAGAATTTTCGTTTGAATATATCTTTAAAACGAAAAAAATTTAAAAACTCATTTTGCCAATAGAATGGGCGTGAAAATCTAGTTTAAAATGATGTGGGACAACATTGCCATTACATTAAACAAAATTATTTATATCCAATATGGCCGTTCCAAGATGACGGCAAAAGACACGTTCCCTATTGAAATGACACTGTCATTACATTTCAAATAATATTTGTATCCGATAGGGGGATCCAAAATGACGGCCGAAAACACGTTCCCTATCGAAATGAAGAAATGACCACCCAATAAATATCGGTGGTGGTCTGAAGTCAATATCAATGAAAATGCATGTGGGTTTTTTTAAATTTTTCCAATGTTGAGAAAATTCGTAATATTAAATCTTGATTCTAGGGGTTTTCCAGTAGACCGATTTTTGGCAATTTTTACTATGTTACTCTGCATACCTAACACTACAACATAAAACCATAAAACGTTTTCTTGCAATTTTTTTAGGTAATATTCTATTCTTCTCAGACTAATAAAAAAATTGATTTTTGCTTATTCTCTTTATGATTAAAACTGAGGAACCGAATACGTAGGTTTGCTGCAATGGTAACTGCCAAAAAAGGAATTTTTAGTAAAAAAAATATTAAAACAGATTATATGAAGCAGAACAAAAAGTCTTATCTATATACGTTTAATGAAAAATAATATTAATATTTATGCTTATTCTCCATAAGATTAACATGAGCTATCTCGGCAAGAAAACATACTAAAGTTATTACTTTCAATATCTCTGTAACAAATTGAAGCAGAACAAAGATTCAATATACTAAATTGTTAGGTTTTTTGTGTTGAATCTAATGGTGAAAAAATAAATTTGAAATTATAACAAACTTTGTACAAAATATTAGAAAAACATATATTTGAGGTAAAAAATCTTATTTTTTAGCATATAATACCCTGAAAATTCATCTTTGGGTTACTTTGTCTGCCTAGTTTTCATATTTAAGGTTTGAAATATAGTTCTACATGTGTTTGCCAATTTTCGTGGAAATCGGCCAATCCTGGATCCAGTGGCGGATCCAGAGGGGGGGGCGAGGGGGGCGACCGCCCCCCCCCTCGGGCATACATATACATATATTTTTTACTGCATGTAATACAGTAGTGCATACAAATTGCGTAAAATAATTTGTCACACACTAACTTTGGACAAAGAAATGGTAAAAAACTGTGATTTAGGAGACTTAGTTTACACACATTTTTCGGAGGGGTACCCCCGAACCGCCCCTGACTCCCTGGTTCGCCCCCCCCTTGTGACTGCTCTAGATCCGCCACTGCCTGGATCTATGAATCGACGAATTTGCAGTCATCTTGTCGATTTGAGGGCCTCGCGGCGGCCATCTTGGAAAAAGCCGACTTCCGGTTGTCCGATTTTGGTAGACTTTTTTCCTGGTACTTTCTAGACCTATTACTACTAAAAACCGTCGAAAAACCATTTTTTGGAATTTGTTCTATCTCAAGTGCCTATATTTACTCGACTATTTGCAGTTTTTAAGGCTGGCTTTATTTGCTGCAATGTATGCCTTAAATATCTATAATATTAAAACGAAACAGTGTTTTTTTATTTCACGATTCTGAATCAACCACTCGACGAATTTTCATGATTTTTGCGTTGAAAGAAAGACAATTTTGAGAACTAGGGAATGTCGAAGTCATAATTTTAGTTTAAGGTCCCAGTTTTTTTGAAATTAAGTTTGAATTTTTAAAAAGTCTAGCAGCCGACGCTAAGATTCTAAACTAGCTTTTGGCATAAAATAATTTGCTTAACATATTTAAGGTTATAAAGCTGGTAATATTCAGCTTTTGTGTCACAAATTCAGCATTTGGATAATAATTACATGCATAGGGTTGACTTATTTATACTATGTGTAATGCTATGCTTATTGATACGTCCATTTTATGCGTAAGAGGATGGCAGCCTATTTAAATATTCATGGTAAAATGATAGATGTTCTAATTTATTTTTTAGAGCAATCTTTAAAATTTTAAGTTTGTTTTAGTGCAATATAATTTGTTTTAACTAACAGCTGGTTGAATATAAAAGTTGTCTTTCAAACTAACAGGTTAGTTTATTATTCTGGGATGTTGGCATTGAATATAGAAAATAAGTAAGATTCAAGATTCTATAACCACTGATGTATACAAATCGAGGCTCTGCCCCCCGAGTATTCAAAGGAAAAATTATGCAAATTATTTTCTGTTCGACTTTTTGAGGAAAGAATAGGAAAATAACATTGTGTACATGTTTTAATTCATCTTGGCAGCTTTTTGTTTACAGGAAATGGTTAACTGCTTGAACTTTGCTTGGATTAGAAATGGAAATATTAATATAATTTCAGTTTTAGTTGACTTTTCAATCCCGTACGTAGGACGGGCCAACAGCTCGTTTGGTTTTAAATAAATAATATTTTACCAGATTTATAATATTGGTATATCTGTTTGATAAAATTGAAAAAGCTTATAAAGAAAATAGGTGTAGCGGCGTCTCCACCAAACCAACACCAAACAATGTTTGGCAGCTATCACAAATGTCTGTCGAACACTGTTCGGTGTTGGTTTGGTGTTGTTTTGATGAGAAATTGTTGTTGGCTGTAAAAGTTCGCTCCTGCAAGAAAATCTCGTTTCTGGTTGTACTAATCCCATGGAGTGATGAAAAACTAGAGTTTAATATTTACAGAAAACCAACCCATAACAATAGGTTTATCACTCAAGATTCTCTTCACCCTCCAGAACAAAAAAGGTCAGCTTTTTTGCAAGCACTACCCATACCAAACAATATAAAGACATCAAGAAAACGTTTAAGAAAAATGCTGAATTTATGGTTTAATTTAAGGCAAAAACAAAAAATTAAAAATATTCTTGGAAATAATAAAAGTAAATTAGAAAATAAGACACAATATGGCATTTATCAAATCCAGTGTGACAGTTGTGAGATGAAGTATGTTGGACAAACAAAGAGAACACACAACAGACTTGAAAAATCTGCAAATAGCAAAACATTGTTTAGAAACAGGCCTCACAATTTCAATCAAAAATACTAAATTTACAAAGTTATAAGTTAAATTTACTTTATATTTCATTTTTATGCACATAAATTGTTTTGGTAACTTTACCTAAATCTACTTAACAGAATATCTTTTTTTATTTTTAACTTCCCATATATTAAATTTTTAAAATTTATTATTGTAAATATAAACATAACCTTCAGTTTTGTGATGTTTCTGATGATGCCAGCATAGCTGGCAAAAGGCCTCATAAAATTAAAAATTCATTAAATATTGGTGATGTTTTTATTTTAAATTGGAAACCTAATTAGTTATAAACTAATTAGTCATAATTACCAAGGCTATTTAATTACTTACTTATAAACTGGCTCTGAGACAAACATGCGACACAGGAAAGTAGAAAGAAGAGTTTGTAAACAGAAGACATCTCTAGGCTGCAACCTTAGACACACAACAACAGTATACAGTGTGATGGCACCAACACCGACACTGGCACTGGCACGGGTGCCGGAACTGGTTCAGTTTCATCGGCCAATGACGTCATCAGGAATACCAACAGTCAAGGTCATGATTGTTGCATCCAACCAAATTTAACAAAGGGCACTTTTCCCTATAGGAAAATTCATTATTAAAATTGATTTAGTTTTTTTATTGAAAGAGAAATAATGTTGAGAAAAAATTGTTGATAAGGGTTTTGTGAATATTCAGAATTTAAAGGTTGGTGTGGGTTATTTGCAGTTATTTAGTTGCTGAAACTAACAATTTAAATTTACTCACACAGAATCAATCTGAACTTATTTTTAAGAATAACTTTTTCAATTAGAGTTAAGTTAATTGAAAAAGATTTCAATTTATTGAGGAAAATTAGTCTGATTTGAGAATATTTATGAATTTTAAGGTTGGCAGGTTATTGGTAGTGGTAGTTGTTATGCTATATTATTGCTCTTCTGTGCTATATTGTTGAACTTGGTTTAATTTTTTTTTTTAGTTAGTATATCTAATTATTCTTTTTATTTTTTGACTATAGTGTGGTTCCGCCCCAATAGGTATGAGGGATTTTTCTGTGCTGTTAGAATTTATTTTACTGTTGATGATTTATGAGACAAAAAATGTTAGATATTAACAATTTTTATGTAATCAATACGCATTTTATTTTCTAAGTCGCTTCAGTAATCATTGTTCCTAAGGCTCAAACTTATTTTAATTCATGAGTTTTCCTCAAATTCTATCCAGCCCTTATGGTTTATACATAAGTGAAAACACCTCTGTACACCTAAGAGTACTTTATGGGTTTAATTTCAAGTACACAAAACATCCAGTTCAATTTCATGACTACATTTATTGTAATTAGTACACCCAACTGAATGGCTCACAACTCTAGAATGTCCACCACAATGTCTGTGTTGTCGCCAGTTTTCTCAATACTAATCTCGCTACGGTATTCCGTGACGTGTTTTTCCTCTTTGGCCACACTTTTCCCCTCCAGTTCGGCTCTCTTTTTAGCCGCAAAGTCTTGCAGTTGCATTTTCTCGTTGAGTCTGCGCATTTCCTTGGCGTATTGTCCCTCCTCGTCAGTCACCATACACTTCAGCAGCCCCTTCCTCCTCATTCTGTTCCAAAAGTTCAAGTTTCCCTTGTTTTGGCATCCGAAGGGTCCGAGAGTATGAATGGCTGCATAATCTACGCAGTCCACTTTCCCATCTCCATTGCAGTCCTGGGAAATAATATCAGTGTTACAATGATGGATGATCATTGGTAATTATTTAAATCTAATTGTGTGTATCTTATTCATGACCACATGACCACATTTGGCCTTAGGCTCGTGAGAAAGGTGCGGTCACACAGGGCCCAGTGCCTTGGGGTCCCTGTTCTTGGTGTAGAATACAATGTTGTAAAAATTCTGTAAATGTTATTTCAATTATGAAAAATAAAATAATGGGGTATAAATAAATGCTAATATAATACATAACTTATAATACAGGGTGATTCTAAACTATTGTTACACTTTTGAAACTATATAAATGAGAAACTATTCAACCCATCATCATGGGGTGAGAATCAATTGAAAGAGGAGATTCTAAAGTTTTGTTTGACACCACATTGGTAAAAATAGTTGCAATGTTAGCATCTACAGACATTTTTAGATTTTAACTAGGGTTTAAATTAGTTACACAGTTTAAAATCTAGGAAAATCGCGACTTAAAAAAGTATGTCCACAATAAGGTGATTTAATAAAAGAAATTGGACAAGTTTATGGCTAAAAAATATAAATGCTCTATGTGCCCCGCTCTGGCTGCACAAAACACTTATTCGATGATTGAAGTCATCCCAAACTCTAAAAAACTTTTTAGTTTTTGAAGGTTCCTCACAGCTTACAATAATGGCGGACAGCAATAACTGAGTGGTAAATTATAGAACTAATTGACCCCTAGTAGTATTACTTAAAACGTTTGACAATTCAACGTCGAGTATATATTTTGAGAGGTTAAAGTGTATAATTCATTACAAATCATAGTTAAAAACTAAAAATGTCTGTACAGGCTAATTTTGCAACTATGTTTACCAAAGTAGTGTCAAACAAAACTTTAGAATCTCCTCTTTGAATTGATTCTCACCTCGTGATGATAGGCTGTATTTGTTTTCATTTATAGAGTTTCAAAAGTGTAACAACAATTTAGAATCACCCTGTATACCAAAAATTACTTAATGCCATTTAGCTACTTATTCTTCTTTAGACCATGACTCCACTAGCCGTTATTTGTTGCGTGACAAAGTGTGGTTGTTAGCTATCAAACAAATTTAGCTCCAATAGCAAGAGTCTGCAGCGGGATTCATACTACAATGCGCTGCAGAATGAAACCTCGCACGGAAATGGAACCTGTCTTATTTTTATGGTACACTTTGCCGTTACCAGGCTGTTCCACTAGCTGGAGAGGGCAGTACCGCGTCAAGTCTCAGTCAAGAGCCAACCAGCATATAGGCGCAAGGCACATTGACGCTATATGTTGACAGTAAAGGCGAAGACAATTTCAAAATTTTTTAGACAGAAAGTTTTGAGACATTTCATACGGTAATGATAAAAAAAAAAAAAAACTTCTCTGAATTCTTTTTTAGTTTGGTATGTACCAAATGGAACATCCCTTCAGAGTGTCTGATGCTTATTATTGGATGGATCCACCATTTTATCTTATATAATCACAGTACTTTTTTGTTGTCCTAAGACACTAGGCACAAGCCCGAAATTGTTTTTCACATTACTTCAGGCTAGACGTAGGGATTGCGGCATCACTACTAGATAAAATCCAATGGTGACTTGGCAGTATTTGAACCCGGGACCTCGGGGACTGAAATCCCGCACTCCAACCACTAGACCAGCTCGCTCCCCCACACTGAGTTCACTACAAATATTAATCTGCAGAATGATAGATCCAGGGTTATGTCTACCGCCACACTTAAACAGCTAGTGATGCCACAGCGCATGCGATGACGCTGCAGATGTTGATTCATACACATACTCTGTTGCTTGTGTTAATGTGGAGCCACCCAAACGTCTATCCAAAATATACGGCCAGTGGAGCCACAGCCTTATTGCATTGACTATGAGATTCATAGTCAATGCTTATTGTAAACTCAGTTGAGCGGCTGTCACACTGGGGAACAATACGTGGCTCAGGACACAAACCCAACCCTTGGCTCAGCATAGGTTGTCCAGAATTGTAGTAGCTGAGTACCAGCAGTTTTGCGCTCCCTTCAAACATTGCCTTAGCCACATACAGCAATTTTTGTACCTCTGCCGCATAAATCGCCTGTTTCATATTGTTTTTTGAACATTTTTTCATATCCCAATAAGCAATTCTATTGTGTTGGTTTTTTATTTGTAATTCCCAAGTTTTAGGGTATAGTTTGTACAGTTGTTTGCACTAAATACTGATTGTTATAACTTAGAAAAAATATGTATGTGAACTGTTGCTTCAAAAAATTAACTAAATTAAACATAACTAAGCTAATTTGAGGATTGAACAAAGACACACAATCACTGCACACAACCCCACAATCATCTGTTCGTGCTTTAAGTAATTATTTACTGAACAGTGCAAATAAAATATTGTTAATATAGGTATACTCACATGAGGGTATTTTTGAAAATATTTTTTCATAGTTTCTGTTGCACACATCAAATCAAGGGAGCATGTTCTCCAATCATTCTCCATAGCAGCATCGCCTTTAAAATTAAACAAATTGGATGGATAAAAATCTTTTGTTTAGTTCCTTTTGTAAAAGTTAACTTTACTTCAAATATCATTCAAATATCATATGGATGTACAAATATTAAAAATACATCTAAATTCTTTCTGTTTGATAATATTTAAATCCCGAAATGACCAAAAAGTATCTGTGTAATCATAATTTGCCAAGAATATATTTATTTTAAAACCAAACAACTAATTGTTTTCGGTTTAAGATGTGTAGCGGACAAACGTTAATGTAGCTCTTTCAATGTGTGTCTTTGTATGGCACAGTTATACTCTGCTAAGTACGGTACCATTTGGGGGTATATTTTGTCATTACTGCATACAGAAAGTTACTATTTTTTATAACAGCTGATATCAAAGAAAGTAATATTGGTTACCAAGCTCTAATTTAGCTTTTGAGCTACGGCATCTAATACTACCTAAATCCAAATTCACGTTGTTTGCATCTGCCCAAAACGGAAAGCTTATGTGGAATGGGCCACAATCTCCTCTTGCGAATCCGTCATCAGATGAAAAAAAGATATGTCTGGGCAAAACACATTCTCTGGTCATATCACAGTCAGTGGCAAAGTAACACAGGCAGTCCAAGCATTTCATCGATATGTCAATAACTTCTCCTTTGCCTAGAATTTAAAAAATGAGAAAAGTTAACTCTACCTTTGAAAGATGGGCCATCTGGGCGTTTGTAGTCTAAAGCATCTTCCCAAAACTCATAGGAAATTCCAAACAGATTGAAATTTGGTAAGCTGCAGCCGATGAAGCGGCAAAGACAGTCCAAGCAATGTGTGGAAAGGTGCCATTTACCATTTATTAGCCCTGGAGTGCAATTGTGAATCAGAAAACAGCTTGGAAAGTGATTATTTTAATTTTCGCTATACCTAAAGCTGGTTAAGGTGTAGAGTGGATGGTGTATTGGAGGGATGAGGGAAATGCTTCCAACAACTCTGAGAGTTTCAACAATCACTCGGTAGTGATATCCAAGTGATCCAAAGCAATTAATATTTAGGATGACCATGCAAGAATAAAAGCGTTAGTATTGGGGAGGGGTTATTGCATGAATGGTCATCTCGCTCCCTATTGTAATTAGCACAGATATTTTAAAATGTGCTGTATAAAAAAAATAAATTACAGACAATTTGTAACTACCTTTGTGTTTTAGTGTTTTATTTCTGTGTTACAAACCTTATCATCATTAAAAAAAATTAACAATCATTAGATAAATGATAAGGTAAGGATGATAATAATAGTTC